GAAATAACCAAGGTGGCAGCACTTACGATAAAAGAAAATTTGGCAACGCCGGCAGTAAGGCGGTGAAGTTAGCTGGAGGTCAAATGAAACATAACCCTAGTATGACAGATGACAGCGGAGAATCAAGGTACGAAGTCAGATTTTGCAAGATTTGTAAAAGAAGACACAGAGGTGAATGCAGATTTAAGTATCAAAACAAGAGGAAATTCAACTACGTGGATTACACATCAGACGCTGAAGAGGAGAGCGAACACCAAGAACTGTTCTACTGCGAAGATGGTGATTGTGAAATGGACAGAAACGTAAGAGAAACTGTAGGAAAGGACAATAATAAAAAAAAAGAAAGTGATAAAAACGTGATAAACGCTGTAAGTACTTTTGACGACTTTAATTTAAATGTGAAAATAAACAATGTAGACGTAATAATGCAAGCTGACACGGGAGCAGCAGTTTCTGCTATTAACTTAGATTTATTTAAAAAGCATTTCAAAATAACCGAATTATGTACGGATAATATAGTTTTAAAATCATTCAATAATTCTAAATTTAAACCAAAAGGCTATTTTTATGCTAATGTAAAATATAAAAATAAGGTTATTAATGTAAAATTGTATGTAATAGGAGAAGCCAGTTCGTGCATTCTTGGACGAGATGCATTATTAAAATTGGGAATTGGTTTGGAAATGAATATGGTGACTAAGGCAGAAGTGGACTCTGTAATCAACAAGTACAATGAGGTTTTTGAAGGAATAGGTAGATATAAATTGTCAAAAATAAAATTACACATGCAATCAGAGGCTGTACCAATTTTCATGAGACCAAGGCCAGTGCCATTAGCATTCAGAAAAAAAATGGAGGATGAATTAAGAAGTTTAGAACAGCAAGGAATAATATCAGCAATAGAAACTAGTGAATGGGCTTCGCCATTGGTGCCGATACTCAAAGAAGACAAAACATTAAGGTTATGTGCAGATTACAAGGTGACAATAAACAAATATCTATGTAATATGAACCATGAATTGCCAACAAAAGAGCAATTATTTGCCAAAATTTCAGGAGGACAAAAGTTTAGCAAACTTGATATGTCAAAGGCTTATAACCAATTTGAGATGGATGATGACAGCAAAAGGTTATTAACATGGTCAACACCTTGGGGTTTATACCAGGTAAATAGATTAGCCTTCGGAGTAAAAACGGCAAGTTTCATATTTCAGAAACATTTAGAAGAATTATTGATGGGCATTGAGTATGCTGCAAACTTTCTGGATGACATCATAATTACGGGCCCAGACGATGAGACACATCTTAAAACGCTGATCAAAGTGATTGAAAAGTTAAAAATGGCCGGATTAACGGTAAATAAAAACAAATGCAAATTTTTCATGGAAGAGATAGAGTATCTGGGGCATAAGATAGATAAAAATGGTATTCAAAAATCGGATAAAAAGGTAGAAGCTATCTTAAAGGCTCCTGAACCTAAAAATATTACCCAAGTAAGAAGCATTTTGGGGTTAGTCAACTATTACCATAGTTTTATCCCTAATGCTGCAATGGTAATGAAACCTATTTATGATCTACTAATCAAAACCAAGGAAAAATTTATGTGGGAGTCAAAACATCAAGAAGCTTTCAAAGAAATGAAGAAGATTATTGCTTCAAAAATTGTATTGACACACTTTGATCCAAAGTTACCTATCTACCTAACAACAGACAGTTCCGATTATGGTATTTCAGCAACAATATCGCATAAAATCAACGGAATGGAGAGACCAATTGCGATGGCATCTCGGACCTTAGGAAAAAGTGAGCTTAATTATCCAATTGTGCATAAAGAAGGGGCAGCAATATACTTTGGACTCCAAAAATTTTACCAATATTTGGCTGGAAGAAAGTTTACCATACGCACTGACGCGAAAACCTTAGTAGGTTTATTCAATGAGAATAAAAGACTGCCAGTAATGTATAATAGCCGAATACAACGTTGGGCAGCATTTTTAGCAAATTTCGAGTACACTATTGAGCATGTTAAAGGATCAGACAACAATTTATGCGATTTTCTATCAAGAGTTCCTTTAGCACAAACAACAGCAGAGGACAATGGTAATATAATTAATTTTACTGAAGTTTTAGATGAATGGCCAATTGATAATGAAAGAATAAGAGAGGAGACAAAACAAGACAAGGAATTACAAGAAGTAATTCGATATATAAGGACAGAAAAATGGCCAGAGAAAGTATTAAGCAACATTAAACCTTACAAAAATAGAAAAGAGGAATTAGCACTGGAAAACGACATATTACTCTGGGGACATAAAATTGTAATTCCGCAGAAACTAAGAAATAAATTATTAAAGGAGTTACATGAAAATCATTTTGGTATAGTTAAGACCAAAAGTTTGGCTAGATCATACCTATATTGGCCAGGAATTGACATGAACATAGAAGAAATCTGTAAAAGTTGTATTTACTGCTTGCAAAACCAGGCAGCACCACCCAGAAATATATTAACACCATGGAAAGTGGAAAATAGGCCGTGGATACGCATCCATGTAGACCATGGAGAAATCAACAACTTTAGATTCTTAGTGGTGGTGGATTCTTTCTCTAAATGGGTGGAGGTTATACCAGTAAAAAATTTGTCAGCGATAGAAACAGAAGAAAGGCTAAAAGAAGTATTTAGTAGATTTGGTTTACCGAAAGTGATAGTCAGCGATAATGGTACAAGTTTAATGGCAGAAAACGTACAGACGCTTTTTAAGAGATGCTCCATCAAACATTTAACATCGTGCCCAGGAAATCAATCAGGGAATGGACTAGCGGAAAACGCAGTTAAGTCATTCAAAAGGAATTTTGCAATTAGACTAAAAGATCCCAAAAATAAAGGTAAATCTATTAATACAGTAATTTACGAATATTTATTCGCCTACAGAACAACTAAACACTGCACGACCAAAGAAACACCAGCAAAATTGATGATGAATAGAGAACTAAGAATAAGACTAGATACAATGAAGGTAAAAGAAGATTTTATTGAAGAACAGCCCATAGACAATCATTTAAAGGCGCAGGCGAGACAGATCAAGAACCATAGAGGAAGGATACGAGAATTTACAGAGGGAGAAGTAGTAATGGCAATGGATTACAGAAATCAAAATAAAAGAACATTCACAAAAGCCAAAATAATAGAGAGGAAAGGAAGATCAATTTACATATGTAAGTTAAGCGATGGTAGAATTTGGAAACGACATATTTCACAACTAATACGAGCTTCAAGCACGCTCGAAGATAACGAACAATGTACAGATAACAACCACAAGATAAGAAGATCAGTAACCACAAGAAGCTTTCCAGATCCTGAGTGTAACATTACACAAAACCAAGACCTTAGCCTAAACACCAATCAGACAAACAATAATGATAATGCACGTCCAACACGAACTGAGTTAGTAACAGCCGAAGCTTCACGTTCAAAGCGTGAGATTCGAAAACCACAAAGGTTTAGAGATTTTGTAGTAAATAATTCAAGTTAATGTATAGGTTGTAAATATAGGATTATGTATATATATTGTAAATGTAAGATAATGTATATATTGCAAATGTAAGATATGTATATGTTGTAAATGTAAGATAATGTAAATGTTGTAAAGACTAATTAAAATGTGATATTAGGAGATTGTAAGAACGGGGGTGTGAGATCTGGCAACAATGCATGACGAAGAAGGTTAATACGCAAGCACTGCAAGCCAGTCTAGATCGATCTGTCGCACGGTTAATAAATCGATAATAAATATAATCACGTTTATCATTCCTAATAAGTATCCCTGGCAAGGCAAGTATATCACAATATCAAATAACAGTAATTAACATTCCTAAATAATTCATGCTGTTAATAAAACATAATTACAATAATAATAATAAAACGATCAAACTCCACCCAATGATAAAATCAACACACTACAGAGCGCCAGTGTTGCCGCGCTGAATTTCTAAAATGTACTGAGCGGAAGCAATAAAATGTACTAGATTGTACTAGATTTACAATAAAGTGCAACATTGCCGTTTTTCATAGAATGTACCTTAGGTTGTTTCAAAAAAAACTAAAATTATTTTTTTTTCTAATGGTGTTGAAAAATTAATAGTACATTAAAAAACAAAAATTTTGGCGCATATTTGAGCTCTTAATATTAATATTAAGGTTTGCCTCAATTCATTTGTTGTTTTTCCATTTCAATAACACGGGAATTTTTATTTTTTAAATTTTGAATTCTTATAACTTTGGAATGGTTCGTTTTCGCAACACCCAAGCGAGAGGAGTTATAGACAATTTCACGCTCTACAAAAAACATCTGAAGGTCAAATTTTTCAGGTCAACCGTTTCAAAGATATCAGCGATCAAAAATAACACTAATAAAAAATTTCAAATATTTTCAAATAAAATACAAAAAAATATCATATGCCATATTTATATTATTTTTTATGTAAAATCACTTTAATTCTGTTAACCTGAGACTGTAAACTTTTTTTTATATATATATGACATATTATATGTATATGTATATATATATATATAATATACATTGTATATATAAGTATATGTACCTTTATATAAATAAAAAAAATTGTCTATAACTCCTCTTGCTTGGGTGTTGCGAAAACAAACCTAATGATTGGCAAGTTGCCATACAAAATTCGATTTTGTTACATTCGATGCTAGTCATTAGGTTTGTTCAGGTTGCACTGGCAACGCTGCACTTATGTCAATTAAACTTGACGTAAGCAATGCGATGTTGCCACACAAAATTTGATGCCGCGTTATTCAAAGTCCGGTGTCGTTTTTTTCGGTAATTCTCCTTTATTTTTCACAATGTTAAAATGTACTAGACTAAGGGACATTTGTAAGAAAATGTACTTTTGTACTGAGTTCTTCAAAATGTACTAGATTTAGTACAAATGTACTAGAACGGCAACACTGCAGAGCGCTGTGCAAACACAAAAGCAGAAACCTGCACCCAATTTTCCTACTACCGCCTAGATGGCGCTAGCTGTCAACATCTTATTGTGAGGTTAAAAAGCCTTTATTTCAGTTTAAACATTCCTGAGGTAAAATATAGTGCAAATAACAATAAAAATACTCAATTCAACATTTTAGATGTCCCTAAGAAACCTCTCGAGAACGCTGAATAAAATAATCAGCATTAATTCAGCGAGATGTTATTCAACCAATATACAAGATTATAAAGTGGCTTTAACAGACGATAAAACAACCATAGTGGCATGGCATCCCAGACAAGATTTCCCCTATGAGTGTACAAGACCCTTGCCGGAAATTAAAGTCGAGGAAAGTACTTCGGTGCTGAAAACGCAGCTTACACCTGAGTTGTTATCAGTGTTCAATAAGAAAACCCCGGAGCAAGCTAGGCAAGAGTTGATGAACATCACGCACACGACTAAGCATAGGTGGTTCCCCAGAGCCAGGGATAAGAAGGCCAAGAAAACGCCAATGGATAGGGAGTATTTGTAATTTTTGTTTGTTAACTGTAGATAATAAAAAACATTTTTAGAGAAACTGTTTATTAGTTGGTAAGTTCTATCAAAGCATTAACTACATTTCCATGGTATTCTCTTAATGTACGTTCAGCCAGTGTCCTTGAAATCTCCATTTCCTGCACAATAAGATCGACATCCTCTTTTTTGATCGAAACCTTCATCAATTCTTTCTCCCTCGCTTGTTTTTCAAGGGCTTCCTTGTTTCTTCTGTCCCCTATGGCCGAAATCGCATTGGCCATGTCTTGGGTGGTAATTTCGGTTTCCTCGGCATAGTCGGTTACCCTTTCCAAATCCGCCGCCCCGCTGTCGTATTTTGCGATTTTCTTTTGCAATTTTTCCGGCAAATCTTCTTCCGTACCGTTTACAACCTCTTCATCTGCCATTTTTGTGCTATTTATTGACGAACTACGGGTATTTTGATGATTAAAAAAAGTTGGTTAGTCTTCTTCTTCTAACTTTAAAATGACATTTAAGATTGCACTGTTGTCAGGTGTACAATTTTAAATAAATATTTTATTAAAATGTTATAGAAAATGTCTCTATGTTGAAATAAATATAAAATTTATGGAAATATCTGTTAAAATATATTTATAGAAAACTCCATAAACATTGTATTTATTTATTAACTACAAAATTTTGGTCAATGTGGCAACAGAGAAAACATTTCAAAAACTAAAAATGGGGTTATATTGTAATACATAGAAGAAAAACGCAACAATAAATATGTTTTTAACACTATATAGAATAAGTCGATGTGTAAACATAAAGAATACCTCCCCCTCTAGTCTAAAATCACACAAACACAACTTTTTCACGAACTCTAACCACACTTTTCAACAAAAAGTTAACAATGCCAGTGATACGCGAAAAAAGAACATAAAATCGACTTTGTACTATGTAATGGCAGCAGGAGTTGTGACCGCGGGTATGAGTTACGCTGCAGTGCCTTTATATAGAATGTTCTGCCAAGCTTACAGCTATGGAGGAACAACAGCTCAGGGACACGATGCTAGCAAAGTGGAACATATGAGCGCAGTGAGGAACAAACCGATTAAAATTAAGTTTAACGCCGACACGGCGGCGAGTATGCGGTGGAATTTCAAGCCCCAACAAACCGAAATTACGGTATATAAGATTCTATGATTGTTCTCTTGATATAGTTGGTCTTTGTTGTAGGTCGTTCCAGGGGAAACTGCTTTGGCGTTTTACACGGCCAAAAACCCCACTGATAGCCCTGTGATTGGTATTAGTACGTATAATGTGGTTCCGTTTGAGGCTGGGCAGTATTTTAACAAGATTCAGTGTTTCTGTTTCGAGGAGCAACAGTTAAATCCTCATGAACAAGTAAGATGTTTTGTTTTTAAAATTATTATTTGCACAGTACTTAAAGATGTATTTTTATACTATTGCACTTTTTCGGTACACAAATTAATTATTTTGTATTTTTATGCTGTTAAAAATATCTAGAATTATTTTATCTACTTCTACATTTAAAAAACTAAAAAAGTGAGGTTAAAACCGTTTGACAGATCTCATATTGGGATAAAGTGAGGTTAACTCCGTCTGACAGATGTGTTTGGTTGTCTTTAATCTACCTACTGCTTAAAATGTTTCTTGTTTTAAAACTTTCTAAATTTCCTGAAACTGTTTAAAAACCATTCTAGAACTGTCTAAAATATTCTAAAACTGCTGAAAAGATGTGTTGGAGCAATCTAAAATGTTTCTTGTTTTAAAACTGTCTAAAATGTCTTGCAACTGTCTAAAAAACATTCTGTCTAAAATGTTCAAAAACTGCTGAAAAGATGTGTAGCTATCTAAAATGTTGATGGTTTTAAAACTGTCTAAAATGTCTTGGAACTGTCTAAAAACCATTCTAGAACTGTCTTAAATGTTCCAAAACTGTTGAAAAAATGTTTATATGTGTTGGAGCTATCTAAAATATTTCTTGTTTTAAAACTGTCTAAAATGTCTTGCAACTGTCTAAAAACCATTCTAGAACTGTCTAAAATGTGCTAAAACTGCTGAAAAGATTATTAAATGTCTAAGAGCTATTTAAAATGTTTCTTGTTTTAAAACTGTCTAAAAAATGTCTAAAATTTACTAAAACTGTCTAAAATGTTCTAAAACTGCTGAAAGGATGTTTTAAAACTGTCCAAAATGTGTAAAAACCATTCTAGAACTGTTTAAAATGTTTTAAAACTGCCTAAAATGTCTTGGAACACTCTAAAAACTATTCTAGAACAGTTTAAAACTGCTAAAAAGGTGTTTGAAGGTCTTAGATCTTTCTAAAATGTTTCTTGTTTTAAAGCTCTCTAAAAAATGTTTAAAAACCATCCTAGAACTCTAAAATTTTCTAAAACTGCTAAAAAAATGTTTATAGGTCTTGGAGCTTTCTAAAATGTCTTGGTACTGTCTAAAATGTTTTAAAACTGCTGAAAACTACTAAAATGTTTAAATGTCTTGGAGCTATCTTAAATGTTTCTTGTTTTAAAACTGCCTAAATGTCTTAAAACTGCCTTAAAACCATTCTAGAATTGTCCAAAATGTTCAAAAACTGATGGAAAAAGTTTAAATGTCAAAAATGTTTCTTGTTTTTAAACTGTCTTAGAAATGTCTAAAAACCATTCTAGAACTGTCTAAAGTGTTATAAAACTGTCTAAAATGTCTTGGAACTGTCTAAAAACCATTCTAGAACAGTTTAAAATGTTCTAAAACTTCTAAAATGTTTATTTTTTAAAACTGTCCAAAATGTCTTGTAACAGTCTAAAAACCATTCTAGAACTGTCCAAAATGTTCTAAAACTGCTGAAAAGAAGTTTAAAGGTCTTGAAGCTTTCTGAAATGTTTATATTTAAAAACTATCTAAAATGTTCTAAAATTGCTAAAAAAATGTTTAAATGTCTAGGAGCTATCTTAAATGTTTCTTTTTTTAAAACTAACTGTCTTTAAACCATTCTAAAACTGTCCAAAATGTTCAAAAACTGCTGAAAAGATGTTTAAATGTCTACTTAAAATGTTTCTTGTTTAAAAACTGTCTAAAAAATGTCTAAAAACCATTCTAGAACTGTCTAAAATGTTCTAAAACTGCTAAAAAGATGTTTTAAATGTTCTAGATGTGTCTAAAAAAGCATATTAAGTTTAAAACTTATTTTTTTTAAGGTTGATATGCCAGTATTTTTCTACATAGACCCGGAAATAATGGACGACCCATATATGGAATATGTGAATGAAATTACTTTATCATATACGTTTTTTGAAGCCAAAGATGGCCTTAAGTTACCAATTCCATCATATGTTAAGTAGTAGTAGTAAGAAATAAAACTGTTGTTGTTGTTACATATGTTTATTTCTGCACAGTAAAATTTTCAATGAGTGATATAAGGTGATGTACTAAAATTTATTATTGTCATTATTTTTAATTTTTAATACTTGATTGTGGTTGTTATGGGGAACGATCGTCTCATTCCCATGCATTTTTCTCTGTCAATAAAGATAGTGTTGACTTTATTGTGCAAATCAGACTCCAAATTTGCCCTGGTCTTCAATAATTGCTGGTGCTGGGCCTCTGCCTCCTGCAATTTTCTATGCAAGTTCTCTATGCAATCTTGCAAGTCCACTACTTCTTGCACCAACCTAAAAAAACAGTTAATTAGTTCAGTTAAATCGGTTAAAATCGTGCTAAATATAGAAAATCAAAGGAGGTAAAACAGTTTTTCTCGATTATCTCGTAATTATCAATTCTACGTAATTTTGTAAAAAAAATTGTAAATCCGTATAATGGTCCTATACAAAATTGACGTAGGACCAATAGTTTTCGAGATATGAGTTTGGGAAGTACGTTATTTCTCGAGAACCACAAGTTCTGCGTAATTTTTGTATAGGACCTTTTTATGCATATTTATATGAGGAAGAATTTTTATAATGAGAACATTTTACGTTAAATCAATGGTTAAGGAGATAATAGAAAAAAACTGTGTTGTCCTTCGTTTGCATATGGGGAATGCCGCGTGAATTCGACACGAAAAAAACCCTTGCCATTTCGAAATTCCTTGGCAATTTTTCCATGGGTTCCCTGACTCAAAATATAAATTCAATTTTAATTTTAGCACGGTTTATCAATTGTTTTTGGAGATAGGTATGATTTTTTAAATTTTCATGATTAAAACTATTTTGCCAATATGTCATCGTTCGTAACTTTGGTTCCAATTGAGCGATTTCTACGAACGACCAATCATTTTTCTTGTCTTGAAACAAGCTATTTAAAATACATATTTTTGATGCTGTGGTATATCGGCACACTATGATTTTTTTCTTCGAAAAATAAAAATCCATTTTCTACACTGTTTTTAATCTTTAAGGTAGTTGTGGTACAATATAGTCAAATTTTTTTAGATTATACGCACCGTAAAAGTATACGAGCTTGTAGCTAAGTGATTCATAATTTTTCGCAAGACTGTACCCTTGGAGACGTTACCTATACGTAATACTCACATATTTTCATAAGTTTTAATCCGGCAACGTCGCTTATGCGCAACCAATAGATATATTGGAGACTGAATCAGTCTGTTTGAATTTACTGCGCAAATAATATCTATACTCGCGTACAGCGTTCCAAGTTGTTTTTATCTGACTCACTAATATGTATACTTTTTTACAAATTGTTGAACTTTAAACAGTTATTTATAAACAATCGGACTGTCAAAAAAATTTTATTATTTTGTTTTAAGCTCAGCAAAAATACATTAAAAAAATGTTAGTTGCTTTAAAGCTTCTGAAAGTTTGTTTTTTTTCATATAACTAACAAACTGGTACAGAACCACAAAAAGCTTATACAATCCATGTTAATTATCCAATTTTTAATTGAATTTATCTCGGGTTATAGACGGTCAATCGACTTCAAATTTTAAGGATAATTGTTTTGTCATGTCCTTAATAAGTATACAAAAATTTTAACTATTACAATTGTTTAAAAAAATTAAAAAGTAGTGCCTATGAATATATAGTAAAATGATTGATTCATTGATTTTCAATCTTAAAATAATTATTAAAAATAATTTTTTTTACAATTTTAATAGTTAAAAGGGCTAAATATAAAAAGATTAAATAAAAAAAATCATTTTTGATATTACAAAATGTCCGAAAGTGGAAAAAATCAAAATTATTAAAATTTAAAATTCCAAAAAAATATTAATATTGGATAGCCACAATCTAATATAGATAAAAAAAACTTGTATTCGCTTAAAGATTAAAAACAAAAAAAATAAAAATAAAAAAAAAGAAAAATGATTGATCATTCGTCGAAATCGCTCAATTGGAACCAAAGTTATGATCGATGACATATTGGCAATCATGAAAAATTTAAAAATCATGTCTCCAAAAACAATTGATAAACCGTGCTAAAATTAAAATTGAATTCATATTTTGAGTCAGGGAACCCATGAATTTTGAAATGGCAAGGGTTTTTTAAACTTTTCTCAAAACGATTAAAAAGGTTCCCAATTTATTATTAATTTTTTGAGCAGCATTAAAAATGAGTTATTTTGCAAAAAATCTAGATTTTGGCGCTTGGTTCCTTTTCGATAAACGCTATCTATTTGGAAAGAGTCCATAAATTTTTAATACAAAAAATCTAACATTACATTTAAATGTTTTGTAATTTTTGGATTAAATATTTCTCGACTATCATTTAAACTACTCTTGAGAAATTTAAACCCAAAACTTTTATTTTTTACAAATTTAAATTGATACACTTTGTAAAGTCATTTAAATGATGGTTGATTAATTTTTAATCCTAAAATTACCACTTCAAAATTTAAAACTTACATTTAAATGTAATGTAAGAATTTTTGAAAAATAAAATATTTGAACCTAAATTTTTGAACATCAATATTTTTAAGCTTAAAGTTTGACAGTTGTATTATTATAATTAAACAATTTTTTGGACTATAAATTGATTTAACTTTGTAAATTTCTGTTAAAACATCATTAAAGTGCTAAACTTTTATCTTTAAACTATTATGTAATAAATGCTAAAATGGCGTGCCATACATTTGACCATAATTATTTTTCAATTAGTAAAAAAATTTTAAATAAATTCTTCAAACTTTAATTTTGTATATCTTTGATGAGAACTTTCTAGAGGTGCCTAAGAACCAATTTTTCAGTTTCTGAAGTAAAAAAAATATTCGATTTTTTGTTATCACTTTTAAATACCTGTCTTGCGCAGTATCCCTGCACAGCTCCACATCCTTCCTATGAACCCTAGCCTCCAAGCGGGTGTGCGCGACCTTCATCGGGTTACTCTTGTCCATGATGCCCTTCTTCAGCAGCTCGATGTTCTTCTCGACGTCGAAAATTTCCTGCTGTATCTTGTGCAGGTGCATCTGCAGCTTGCTCTTGGCTTCCAGAGTCTCGCCGGCTCTTCTGGCTAGAGCGTTGTTCGTGTTGCTCCACGCGTCCCAGATGCCCGTGGAAACTTCGTTCACCAAATTTTCGATGTCCGATCTCATCTGGGAGGACTTTCCGCGCTCCGATTGCGACCTCTGCACTATGCGGTTGCTGTTCTCTGCCCACGTCGTCGTGTTGCTCACCCTACACAAGAGGTTGTAATATGGAACCCTTCTTTGTTACCCAGAGATCCATATCGGGTTAAAACTTGGCCAAGAACTGCCCTTTCACCTTTGGAAACGCTTTGCCAATAAATGTACAATATTCCTACGATTTTTGTGCAATTGCAATGGCCAACAATAAGTGATAAAATTGTGCGCAATAATATGTAAAAGCAGTTTGGATTAAGTTAGGTAGGTTACCGTTGGATTTAATTACAAATACAGGCACAGAAAACAATTAAAAAATTTTGTATTTAAAATAATTTAATTATAAAAAAAAGTATTTAAAAAAATAAAAAAAAATTATAATCAAAAAATACTTAAAAAAAAATTGGAACAAAAATATTGTTTTTTATGAATAATTCCAAGAAAAGTTGTTAAATTAAAAGTAAAATAAGGCTTTTCTTTGATTTCTGGCACGTTGCTCTAGAAAAAGTACCTTTATACGTGTTATACAGGGTGTTTCTTTTAACTTAAGACAGCTCAATATCTCGAGAAATACGCATTTCACGGAAAAATGTCTTGAATAAAAAGTTAATGTGACCAAAGGGGACATTATTTGGTGCTACCGCTAGCCACCCCCTACCCCTCCTTAAGGGTGAAATGGGGGGTAACTTTGGAAAGTCAAATGGGATGACCCGATTCTTTTTACAGATTTTGGTAGTACAGGGTGATCCCCTATAATGTCGCCCCCCTTTAACTTTTTTATTTTAAGTGTCCCAAAAAATTTAAAAGTGTGGTTATGTAGGAACTAAAAAATACTTTTTTTCTACGTATAAAGAAAATTGGAAAATTTATCAGTATACAGGGAAAAACAAAAAGTTAATTTTTTTTCAATGGATCACCCTATATATGAATTTATTTTTCGATTCCTTGTAAAATTCTAAGCATATTTCATATATTATACCATATACCTAAATTCAACCGTTTCTATAATATTTAAATTATTTTTAAGATAATAAGTTGAAATAGTTTGTCTTTCTCTGTCTGAGTACGCCATTTTTACTTATTTAACAACACTTATTGACATAATGTCACTATAGTAATTTATTTTCAATAAAAATTTTAGTATACTGAGGCTTCTTGATTTTTAACAGTTTAAAAAAACATTTAATGATGACATTTCGAATGCGAATATTTCAGAAACGGTTGAATTTAGGTATATGGTTTGTATATAAATTATCCTCAGAATTTTACAAGGAATCGAAAAATAAATTCAAATATAGGGTGATCCATTGGAAAAAAATAAACTTTTTGTTTTTCCCTGTATACTGATCAATTTTCTAATTTTCTTTATACGTAGAAAAAAAGTATTTTTTAGTTCCTACATAACCACACTTTTAAATTTTTTGGGACACTTAAAATAAAAAAGTTAAAGGGGGGCGACATTATAGGGGATCACCCTGTACATAAAAAAATAAATAACTTTTATTTGAAACTTTTTTTAATTTATCAACAGATGGCGCTGTAATTCAAAATTTAAGAAAAAAGGGTTTCCTTGTAAAATGTATTATTTGAATCGTTTGAAAAACAAAAATTAACATTAAATCAACAATAGTCGGCTCTGAAAACAATTTGTATGAATTTACCTTAAGTACAAAATTGACACAATGATGCAATGCAAATTGTAAATTTGACGTTACCTAATTATTGTTGATTGTGTTATTTTTGTAATTAAGGTTAATTTACACAAAATGTCCCGATATTTTTTGACATTTATTTATTAAAAAACTTGAAAACATAACCTTAATTACTTACTCAAAATTTAAAGCCGTTTAAAACTTAACACACGTTTAGTTAGTGCACGGATGATTATATTTTTTTGTAATAACTTTCACACAAGCACTTTTTTACGCCTTTTTGTAGAGAAGGTCTTGAAATATTAATTTACTTCTTACAACGTACCTATAACTCGCTATTGCGCATAGTAAACTGATTCTTTTTCCATGCTGATCAGTTTCAATCAACCTGCATTACAAACGCTTTGCCAATTTTCGACCTTCATTACAAACAAAGTTGGCCAAAAATAACTCTACTTAAGTCTTTATTTTCATGCATTTTTTGTGCTATCGCGTTGGGAAATGATTGGCATAAAATATGTTCATTTTTGGTCAAACTTAATGAAAATACAATTTATATGTCCAAATAAACCCCAATAAATGTAAAATATCGTACACCAAACTTGGTTGGGAAAAAGTTGACTAATTTCTTTCCCAAACCATGGTTCTCTGGTTAGAGCATATAAAATGATTCTTAGAGCATACAACTCACGCCGGGTCGTATTTTTCGATGCCGCCGTAGTAGTTGATGCCTTTGGAGTAGTTGTTCAGTTGGTGGCACATGTTGTCTATGCCGAGAGCCGCTTCTTTGCTTTTGACGTCCGTTTCTAACTCGAATTGCGCCGCCCTGTTGTTACGCAGTTGGTCCTGGATTTTTACGAACAGGCAGCGCAGTTTTTCTTGCGCGTTCCTGTAGATTTCGATTTCTTTTAGCAGCGCCACCTCGGCCTGGTCGTGAACCAAATCGATGCCTGAGTAAATGATGAAAAATATAAGTATAGCTATCTAAAATGTTTCTCATTTTAAAACTGTCTAAAATGTTCTAAAACGGCTGAAAAGATGTTTAAATATCTTAGAGCTATTTGTTTTTTATTTATTTATTTATTTTAAAACTGTTTAAAATGTTTTGTAAGTCTATAAACCACTCTAGAACTAAAATGTGTCTTGTTTTAAAATTGCCTAAAATGTTCAAGAACTGTCTAAATTGTTCTAAAACTGCTGAAAAAATCTTAAATGTCTTGAAGCTATTTAAAATGTTTTTTGTTTTAAAACTGTTTAAAATGTTTTGTAACAGTCTAAAAACCATTCTAGAACTCTCTAAAATATTCTAAAAGGGCTATTTAAAATATGTTTTGTTTTAAAATTGTTTAAAATGTTTTGGAACTGTTTAAAAACCATTCTTGAACTGTCTAAAATGTTCTAAAACAGCTGAAAAGATGTTTAAATGTCTTGAAACTATTTAAAATGTTTTTTGTTTTAAAACTGTTTAAAATGTTTTGTAACAGCCTAAAAACCATTTTTGTTTAAAAATTGTTTAAAATGTTTTGGAACTGTTTAAAAACCATTCTAGAACTGTCTAAAATGTTCTAAAACAGCTGAAAAGATGTTTAAATGTCTTGAAACTATTTAAAATGTTTTTTGTTTTAAAACTGTTTAAAATATTTTGTAACAGCCTAAAAACCATTTTTGTTTAAAAATTGTTTAAAATGTTTTGGAACTGTTTAAAAACCATTCTAGAACTGTCTAAAATGTTCTAAAACAGCTGAAAAGATGTTTAAATGTCTTGAAACTATTTAAAATGTTTTTTGTTTTAAAACTGTTTAAAATGTTTTGTAACAGCCTAAAAACCATTTTTGTTTTAAAATTGTTTAAAATGTTTTGGAACTGTATAAAAACCATTCTAGAACTGTCTAAAATGTTCTAAAACAGCTGAAAAGATGTTTAAATGTCTTAAAACTATTTAAAATGTTTTTTGTTTTAAAACTGTTTAAATGTTTTGTAATGTTCAGGCTAAAAACTATTTTTGTTTTAAAATTGTTTAAAATGTTTTGGAACTGTTTAAAAACCATTCTAGAATTGTCTAAAATGTCCAAAACCATTCTAGAACTGTCTAAATTTTTCTAAAACTGCTGAAAAAATGCTTAAATGTCTTGAAATTATTTAAAATATTTTTTGGTTTAAAATTGTTTAAAATTTTTGGAATTGTTTAAAAACCATTCTAGAACTGTCTAAAATGTTCTAAAACAGCTGAAAAGATGTGTAGAAATGTTTTGGAAAAGTCTAAAAACCATTCTAGAACTGTCTAAAATGTTCTAAAAGGGCTAAAATGGTGTTTAAATGTCTTAAAACTATCTAAAATGTTTCTTGTTTTAAAATTGTTAAAATGTCTTGAAACTGTCCAAAACCATTCTAGAACTGTCTAAAATGTTCTAAAACAGCTGAAAATCTGTTTAAATGTCCAGAGCTATCTAAAATCTTTTTTTGTTTTAAAACTGTCTAAATGTCTTGCAGCTGTCTAAAAACCATTCTAGAACTGTCTAAAATGTTTTAAAATGGCTGAAAATTTGTTTAATTGTTTTAGAGCTATCTAAAATGTTTCTTGTAATAAAACTGTCTAAAATGTCTTGCAGCTCTCTAAAAACATTCTAGAAGTGTTCTAAAACAGCTGAAAAGATGTTAAAATGTCTTGAAACTATTTAAAATGTTTCTTGTTTTAAAATTGTCTCAAATGTCCAAAACCATTCTAGAACTGTCTAAATTGTTCTAAAACTGCTGAAAAAATGCTTAAATGTCTTGGTTATTTAAAATATTTTTTGTTTTAAAATTGTTTAAAATTTTTGGAACTGTTTAAAAACCATTCTAGAACTGTATAAAATGTTCTAAAACAGTTGAAAAGATGTTTTTAAAAATGTATAAGAGCTATCTAAAAATGTTTCTTGTTTTAAAATTGTCTAAAATGTCCAAAACCATTCTAGAACTGTCTAAATTGTTCTAAAAGGGCTAAAAAGGTGTTTAAATGTCTTAGAACTATCTAAAATGTTTCTTGTTTTAAAATTGTTTAAAATGTTTTAGAATAGTCTAAAAACCATTCTAGAACTGTCTAAAATGTTCTAAAACAGCTGAAAATGTTTTTTTGTTTTAAAACTGTTTAAAATGTTTTGGAATAGTCTAAAAACCATTCTAGAACTGTCTAAAATGTTCTAAAAGGGATAAAAAGATGTTTAAATGTCTTAGAGCTATCTAAAATGTTTCTTGTTTTAAAATTGTTTAAATGTCTTGAAACTGTCCAACACCATTCTAGAGCTGTCTTGCAGCTGTCTAAAAACCATTCTAGAACTGTCTATAATGTTCTAAAACGGCTGAAAAGATGTTTAAATGTTTTAGAGCTATGTATCTAAAATGTTTCTTGTAATAAAACTGTCTAAAATTTCTTGCAGCTGTCTAAAAACATTCTAGAAGTGTCTAAAATGTTCTTATGTTGCTAAAAAAAATGTAAATGCCTTGGAGCTATCTTGATTTAAAACTGCCTAAAATATTCTAAAACTGCTGAAAAGATGTTTAAAAAAATTCTAGTTTCTAGGCTGTTAAGCTAAACTAGTTTTTAATGTAACCAAACCGCGACCTCTATCGGTGAAAACACTGTATTAAGAAAATAATATTACCCCCTCTATTTTCCCTGTGATACAAGCACTCTTGTGCGATATGTAGTGGCGCCTCTATATCGTCTATGGCCTTGTGAATGTTTCTGCGCATGTCAGATAACAAAGTCGACTCGGCCAAAATTCTCTCCAACTCATTTCTCACCTCGTTCCTCCAAAATGTCGTGTCTGTAATGCGTTCTCCCAACTTTCTACCCGACTCCCTCTGACCCTGGTTCGTTTTCTCATCAGTTTCCCTAAGAATCAAAGTGAAAATATTGTTCTACATATTAAAATACAAATTCAGTCCAATTTTGAGCTCTTAAGTTTTAATTGTAAGTTTAAAATTTGTTGCCAACACTTTTTTACCTCATAACTCTAATAAAATCGCCGCGCAACCTTTCAGAGTAATTTCTATTCGTATCTGCTTCATTATAGTGCCTCAGATTGCCCTGTGTCCACTCAATTGGCGTGTACCGCGTATAGAGGGCAGCACGGGCAGCATGGGCGGGGTTTCTCTCGAACCCGGTCACTAGATTCGGGTACCTCAGAGGCTCTGTTGCCATGCCGTACGGAGTGTAACAAGGATCGATCATGGCGTTTGTTACAGGCTGTTTTGGACTAAAAAATATGTAAAATACGAAGAATTCAAAAACAATATTTATTTAAAATAAGATATACGCACAGCGGTGTAACTTCGATGTTTTCGTAGCCTAAAGTTGGTCGCCATGGATGTGGTCTAGGAGTTTGGTAATAAGTGCCAATTCTGGTAGGTATGGGGGGCCCTGCTACTTGTTCCATGCACGGTGTTGCCGCTACAGTGCTCCATGGTTGTAATTGCTAAAATAATTGTTAATACGCGAAAAACATTGTAACTTTCTTAATACGTACTGAATATAACACAGTTTCGTTTTTATCCCCCATTTTTAATCAAAGTAATGCAAAAAAACATCTATGTCAAAAGTGACGTTTAAATTTCCCGCAATTTAATTTTTATTATATTGGCTATTTACATTTGTCAACCTTTTTCTATGGTTGTCAACATTGGAAAAGTGGGGTTATCGTGACAAAAAGTGGGGTTACTTTGTATTTAAATTAAAAATTGTAACATTTTATGCAACAAACAACTTTATATTCGCAATGGCAAGCACTGAAAATACTGTACCAGAACGTAAGACTTATTCACAATTTATTATCATAATTCTAAAAAAATACATTTCAGATTGTCCTGGGACTGAAAGTGCAAACGCAGGGAAAGATTCTGCGTGTGCAGGGTGCCCAAACCAACAAATATGTGCAACAGGGCCGAAAGGCCCCGACCCTGGCATACAGTTGGTAAAAGAACGGCTGGAATGTGTTAAACATAAGATTCTTGTATTGTCGGGGAAAGGAGGTGTAGGAAAAAGTACTGTAACGGCTTTATTAAGCAGGGCTTTGGCTGCAAATGATATAGAAAAAAATGTGAGTACATACTCTATTATATCTGCTTCGACGAGCTTCATCAAGACCAAATTGCATCTGTGTTTTTTTATATTAATTAATATTAATATTAAGATGGTTTGTGGAGGACTAAATTATTTTCATGGTGCAGAAATAAAATCAATGATGATTTTAGCTGGTATCAGGCAGTATCAAGTGATTTGTCCTATTTAGTAAATATGAAAAATCAATATCTTAACCTTACATTACTTTGAAATTATTGGGTTCCAAATTTAGCATTTTATGTTGTTGAAAACCTTTTTCAAAAACATTTTATTTTTTCAGATGAATTTTTTATTCCAAAAAAAAAAAAATAATAATAATAATAATAATAATAAAGTTTATTTTTTTTCATAAATAAAGTACATATAAAAATTTTGTTGTACAAGTATACTTAAATATTATGAAGAAAAACCACAAGATTGTGCTCAAGAAGATAGAAGTATTCTATCCCTCGGTTTTCAGCACAAATCATTTTTGTGTTGAATTATTGACCATGTTTCAAAATTTTTCAAAGTAATTTTTTAACCATCACTTTTTATTTCAATTTTATTGAGTTTGAAAGTTCAGAAAATTGTTTCCTAAAATTTCCATATGAAAAAACTCTAAATGTCAAAACAAAAATTTGGGCCATTTCATTTAAATCTGTACAAAAACATTAATTAAAATTCAATTATTATGTTAACCAAGAAATTCCTTGATCAAAGTCCAGGCAAGTATTTTCAAGAAATCTTTTTTATAGAATTAATAACAATGGTTAATTATGTTTACAAATAAATGTATTGCATATACATATGTATACACTATTTGTTGTCTGGATTATAGGTCATTATTATACATACAATTATGAAGATATCCATGTCAACTCAACACACCCATTTTACCACACCACCTCAGATTTTCTTAAAATTTGATATACTTATAGGTACTATGTACTAAGACTAAGAAAAATACCAATTTTTAAATTTTTATCTCACACCGTTTCCGATATATGGCTATGTAAAGTTTTTAAAAACTCGCGAAAAAAGTGTGAACGTGTATTTTTTAAATTGCTCTGGAAGCTGTCCTAATTCAGCTAGAACGCTGGGAGAGGTGTCATTTTGCAGCATTTTAAATGCTCTTTCAAATGACATACGAACGCCAAGGGTATTAATGAAAAGATTTTGTTCAAAATCCATATATATATTTTGATTCAATTTTTTTTCAAAAAGTACATAATTTAAAATTCTCAAAATATTTGTATTTTTCTTAGTCTTAGTACATAGTATAAGTATACCAAATTTTAGGAAAATCTGAAATGGTGAGGAAAAATTTCTTTTTAAAGTGTGTTGATTTGGCATGGAATGGCTCATCACTGTTTTGAAAAACCTTGTTTTCCTTTTATTATATGTACAAGTTGTATTTTTTAAATGAATTAAGTAATTAAATTAACTTACACACAAATTTTTTTGTAAAAAATGCTCAAAAAGTCTAAAAAGACCCAGCAAACACAACAGTAAAGGTTTAATGAACTAAAGGCCCTATAAATGCTAACGATACTTTGAAGTATCTATTATGGTGGATTAAATGTGGTAGGTATATATTTATTAGATAAGGATATTCCACAATAATCAGAAATTGTATTACCTACAGGGCCGTAGCGAGGCTGGTGCAGGCGGTGCGGTGCACCAGGGCCCCCGACCTCAAAGGGGCCCCCAAAACTAAAAAGTATTACTAAAAAATCGTAATTTTCGATATCCTATCCTATCCTAAAGTTTTGCACCTGGGCCCCTGAGTCCGTCGCTACGGCCCTGATTACCTACCGTCACAATACAATTTCTGACGGTCGGGATAAAAATTTCCGATTATCGTGGAATATCCTACCCAATAAATATAAACAAACCACATTTAAATTAAATCCACTGTAAATAACACCATAATAAATACGTTTCTTATCCATTACATTCATTAATATATTATCGTGAAATGTAATACTAAAACATTCTTAAATTTATATTATAAGAAAAAATACAAAGTAATGTGTTCTAATAAAGACCTGTATAAGTAAAACAATTTTTTTTAAACTGTTAATTAGGTAATAAATGGAATTCATAATATTTAAATAAATGAAAAAATCCGTAAACTAAATAGAAAATATTTAAATTTAAAATATGTATACCTATATTTACAAATAAGTTCACTTGATTTTTTTAATAGATTGTCCTCTATAACAAAGAAAACCAGGTTTTCTTTGCCATTATTAATTTCTTTTGTTCACAATTGCCCCAATTTTGACCTTATCAATTAAACCTTTCTACTAAATTCTTTGGAGGTATTTTAAATTGTCTGTAATAAGAGTAAATTTGTAAAATTAAAAATGCACCTACCTACTCATTTAAATTTAACAACCATTAGGTATTATTATTATTTTTTTATGTGGTATTATAATAACACACTATTAAAACTATAGGAATTACACTGAGCGTCATTTTTAAAATATGGCGTTAACCAAAGTCCCATTAACTTGATACTGGCATATAATATGGATCTTTTATGGTAAAATCCAATGCAAATATTACTTTCTATAGTTGGGTATATCTATAGTTAAAGTCTACATTCTTAAGACAGTTAGTTATATTCCAACTTAAATCGCACCTAGTGTGCTGTGTATAATGCCGTGCTGTGATTGGTTTATTGCTTTCTATAGAGTTCATTTTCAAATAAACCAGCGCCATCTTTTTTAATTTTCTCCAACATTAAAGACCATTTGAACTACTTTTTCAGAGGGGAAATAATCGTATTTTCTATTCTTGAAATTAAAATTTTAGGTAGCTGTGTTGGATATTGACATTTGCGGACCTTCGCAACCAAGAGTTTTGGGTGTTTTAGATGAAGAGGTCCATCAGTCAGGCTCTGGTTGGTCGCCAGTAGTAAGCATTGTAAAAAATAAATAAAATATAACACAAATTATCCATATCTTTTTAGTATGTGGATGATAATTTATCGGTGATGTCAATAGGGTTTCTTTTATCGTCGCCAGATGACGCCATCATTTGGAGGGGGCCAAAGAAAAACGGCATGATTAAGCAGTTTTTGAGTGAGGTCGATTGGGGAAATTTAGATTATTTACTTATGGATACACCACCAGGTAAAATTTTAGTTACAGAGCAACTCTTAATTTTTTTTTGTTTTTTTTTTAATTTTTGATTGTTTTTGTACATTTTTCCAGGGTAAAAACTATTTTACGTCATTTTAGCAAGGAAATAAATTTAATTTTTTTTAACATTGTTATTTCAGGAACTTCCGATGAACATCTTTCGGCCTCTACATATTTATCACAAGCAGGTCTAACAGGGGCTGTAATTGTTACCACCCCACAGGAAGTAGCTTTAATAGATGTCAGAAAAGAAATCGATTTTTGCAGAAAAGTTAACATAAATATACTGGGGGTTGTAGAAAACATGTCCATATTTGTATGCCCTAGCTGTATTGTAAGCTCTATACTTTAATAATGTATTTTTTAACTTTAAATATATTTTTTTTAACGCAGAGACAAAGCGAAATATTCCCAGCAACAACAGGTGGCGCCCAAAAAATGTGTGAAGATTTAAATGTGCCATTTTTGGGTAAATTACCCCTGGATCCTAAAATCGCAAGGTGCTGTGACGAAGGCAAAAACCCCATTGAAACATTACCAGACTCACCTGCTGTCAAATCCGTACTAACCATTACAAAAAGTAAGTTTTATCAGCGTTGAATCAAGTTTATATTTTAAAAAAATATTTTTTTGTTTCAGAACTTATTGAAGCCTGTGAGAAGTCATAAAGTGTACTACGTTGTATATACATGAATAATTTATAGCCTAATAAACTTATATATATATTTGTTATTTGTCTTTTTATTCCCTCTATTACGAAGGCGTAGAAGGGACAATTACACTAAATTCATTTTTATTATTTAATTCTGCGTTAGCTAACACAGAATTAAATCCGCCATATTTAATTCTGCGTTAGCTAACACAGAATTAAATCCGCCATATTTAATTCTGCGTTAACTAATACAGAATTAAATCCGCCATATTTAATTCTGCGTTAGCTAACACAGAATTAAATCCGCCATATTTAATTCTGCGTTAGCTAACACAGAATTAAATCCGACATATTTAATTCTGCGTTACCTAACACAGAATTAAATGCAATTAATTCCGTGTTAGCTAACCCAGAATTAAATATGGTGGATTTAATTCTGTGTTAGCTAACGCAGAATTAAATATGGCGGATTTAATTCTGTGTTAGCTAACGCAGAATTAAATATGGCGGATTTAATTCTGTGTTAGCTAACGCAGAATTAAATAGTAAAAATGAATTTAGTGTAATTGTCCCTTCTACGCCTTCGTACTCTATTGCATTTTCTATTAAAAATTATCTCTATAGAAGGCAATAAACCAATGAAAGCACCAGCGCCATCTCTTAATTTTCTCCAACATTTGGTAGCATTTGAACTACTTTCCGAACAGTGTTACCACTCGTCTAAAATCAAAACCAATTAAATTTATTTATCTCCTTTTTGAGGTCATTCGTTAAACAACATTAAAAACGTGTTTAAGATGTAGTGTTGTAAGTATGTAGCCTAATTGTTGTAATTATTCGGGTAAAATATGCATGAAAGTGAAAGATGTTGGTTAGAACTACCAACATAACGTAAATAAGCAGAACAACGATGGCTGCTAACAGTATATTTTTATAAAAATTAGTGGAAATTAACAATGGAAAATGAGGACGATAATAATGTGGACACCAGCGAGTTTGAGGAGATCGAAGAGTTGAGTTCGAAACGTTACAGATTGCCGCGTAAGCAGAAAATTACGTCTAAAAAAGTTTGTGCCAAAGAGGAGAGAAATGCATCCATAAAAAAGGTAAATAAACGTATGGCCATTAATGTTTTTATTTATAATCTTTATCTCATTCCCCATAACCTTCAAATATACAATAAAACAGAAATAGTGAAATAGGTACATCATTTGCCAAAACTAAAGTTTCCAACAATTTTTGGAACTGTCCAAAGTTTTGTAAACTCTGAAATAAAAGAGGGTTATTTATATGAATTTGAGCTTCTAAAAATGTGAACAGTTGTATTAAAATTCTTGGGAAAACAAACAAAAATTGCAAGGCTAAAATAATGTCAATTTAAGCTGCATATAACTGTCTTTAAAATGTCAATTTAAGCTAGATATAACTGTTCAAAAAATGTCAAATAAAGCTAGATATGACTGTCTAAAAATATTATAATATATATATATATATATATAAGAAGTCCCAGAAGCTATTGCCTTAATCGTAATTCTTATGACATATTTTAAATTGAATTTGACATTCTTAAAACAGTTATATCTAGCTTAACTTAAGTTGCCATTCCTCAGTTAGGTATACCTAACTGAGGAATGGCAACTTAAGTTAAGCTAGATATAACTGTTTTAAGAATGTCAAATTCAATTTAAAATATGTCATAAGAATTACGATTAAGGCAATAGCTTCTGGGACTTCTTAGGAAGTAAGGGTGCTAGAATAACTGTCTTACAAAAATCAACTTTAGCAAGATATGTTCTAAGAATGTCTAATTGAACTTAAACTAAAAATAACTATCTTAAATAATGTAAGTTTTAGCAAAATATTACTGTCTTAAGAATGTTAAATTTTAGCTAGATATAACTGTTTAAAGAATTACGATAAAGGCCTAGTATACTTAACTTTCTTAAGACTGTTTAAACAAGGTCAATTTAAGCTAAAATATACATACCTAATTGTCTAAAAATAACTATCTTAAAAAATAAAAATTTGAGCAAAATATATATATTTTGCTCAAATTTTTATTTTTTAAGATAGTTATAACTCTTAAAAATGTCATTTAAGCTGAATATAACTGTTTTAAGAATGTCAATTTAACTAGAATATAAGTAACTGTCTTAAAAATATCATTTTTATCAAGATATAGGTAACTTTTCTAAGAATGTTAAATTTAAGCAAAATATAACTGTTTAAAGAATTACGATAAAGGCCTAGTATACTTAACTTTCTTAAGACTGTTTAAAGAAGGTCAATTTAAGCTAGAATATACATAATTGTCTAAAAATAATTATCTTAAAAAATAAAAATTTGAGCAAAATATAACTCTTAAAAATCTAATTTAAGCTGAAAATAACTGTTTTAAGAATGTCAATTTAACTAGAATATAAGTAACTGTCTTAAAAATATCATTTGTTTCAAGATATAACTGTTCTAAGAATTTAAATTTAAGCAAAATATAACTGCCTTAAGAATATCAAATTTAAGCCGGAAATAATTGTTTAAAAATTTTGATTAAGCCATTATTATTATTATAAAGTTGTCAAAGAATGTCAACTTAAGCTAGAGTGTCAAATTTAAACTTAATAAGTAATAAATTGACATTGAGCTAGAATGTCAATTTGAGCTAGAATTTAAAAATGGTAACTTAAACTAAAAATAAGTATAAAATGTAAATTTAAGCATAATATAACTGTAAAATGGCAACTAAAACTGTCCTAATAATGTAAAATTAGGCTAGAAACTAAAAAAATTAAGAATTAATAGTTGAGTTAAATATAACTGTCTTAAGAATGTCTACTTTTTCTATAAATAACAGCTCTAAGAATTAAGTTAGAATGTAGTTTGAGCTGTTTTAAGAATGTCAACTTTAGCTATATTTATGTCTTAAAAATTTAAATTTGAGCTAGAATATAACTTAAGCTACATATAAATGTTTTAAGAATGTCATTTTAGCTCGATATAAATATTCTAAAAATAAAGCTACATCAGGGCTCCCAGCAGGTAGTTTTTTTAAAGACTTGTCTATATTTTTGTCTTAAGTCTATAAAAGTCTATTTTTTTTACCTAAAGTCTATAAAGTCTATATATATATATATTTAAATATATTTTCTGTTAAAATCAACTATTAAAACATATTTTTTTAAATATAAATATTCACAATTTTATAAATATCGAAACCATAGTAAACTAAGTGAAACATTCGAAAACTTCGCAGTTTACATTTAAAGTTCCCGCCGTCCAGACCCGAACCGCCCGCCAAAATTATTGCTGAATTGTTTCTGGTTTGGTCTAGGGTTTCGTTTACGTTTATAGTCAGTGATGCCAGGTCTCCCGTTTTAGCGGTAGATATACCGTTTTTGGAAACAATCTCCCGTTCTACCGCTATTGAAAAAAATCTCCCGCTTTTTTTACTTCTTTTTATAAATAAAATTCACAAATTCTCCTTCGTATTATACAATTTATATGAAACATAAGTAAAATATGGGTTGCCTAAACCAAATATTGATATGACACAATTAGTTGGTTCTATCATTGAGTAAGATTCTTTACTCAATGGTTCTATCATTCACAAATGTCAGTGTCTCAGTCACGGGGTATTTCAGCCAACCAAATTTGTAGTACGCGAATATTCAAATTTGATTGGATGAAATTATTTTCTTTAGGCATGAACATAGAAAAAGAACTTTAAAGTAAGAGATTCTTAAGTTAAAGATTTCGATTAGTGAATATTTATTTAAGGTTGTGAAAGTTGTGAAATATCTATAGAATATATTTTCTGTTTTGTTTATCATATTTTGTTTTATTTTGACAAATTCAATCTATTTTTTTTTGGTTACGTAAGTATTAAAATTATTTAAATAGAGAAAACCATGGTATTAAAAAAAAATTAAAAACTACCGTTTTTTATTCGAATCTCCCGCTTTTTTTTAACTAAATCTGCCGCTTTAAAAAAAAACGACCTGGCATCACTGTTTATAGTTTCGGTTCGCTAGGTTAACACTACCTATATATGCATTTTTCATGAAATTAGTAAGTACCTAGTATCTATCAAAGAACATGTGACAAAGAATGTGTTTTATCATCCATTCCATAACCCTAAAAAAATATGTTCAGACGATAGCAAAGGTAAGTGTATAACTACAGTTTTGATTATTAAAAATTATACATTTATATTATTTATTAAAAACAAAGTTTAAATGTACTTGTACTGACATAAAAAGAATTAAATTGAACGATTAAGGAAGGGTGCAGAAAATAAATGACTAAAATATGTAGGTATGTCTCAACTAATTTTTGAAGGAGTGAACCATCCCAAAAAAGAAGCGGGGAAGGTAACTTACAAGATTAGTCGTCTTGCCCAAGATTTAGAAAAACGAAAGGCGAAAATTATAGATCAGCTGCAGCCCACCAAAAAAAATGTGCCTTTTATATAAATGTGATTCTATTTATTATAAGTTATAATTTATTACAGAATTTAATTTTTTTTTTGTTATTTATGTATTTTATAACAGTTATGGTTACTTGTTAAATTTAATTCAATAAAAATTTATAATTTCAAGTTATCTCTACATATATGTATTTTAAATTCAAATTTAGATCTTTTATCCCAAAAAAATGTATACCTCCATTTTGTAGTTATTTCGGTAATTAATTTGGTCTATATTTGGTCGTTTATTTTTTATTATTAGTCTCTTAAGTCACTATTTCTCGCAACATGGACTGCTGGGAGCCCTGAGCTACATGTAACTGTCTAAAAATGTTAACTTAAGTTAAAAATAACTATCTTAAATAATGAAACTTTGAGCTAGATATACATAACTGTTTTAGAATGTCAATTTAAGCTAGAATATAACTGTCTTAAAATGTTAAATTTAGCTGGATATAACTGTTTTAAAAATGAAACTTCAAGCTAGTTATACATAACTGTCTTAAGAATGTCAATTTAAGCTAGAATATAAAATGTTAACTTTACCTAGATATAACTGTTTTAAAAATGTCAAATTAAGCTAGATATGACTGTCTTTACGAATGTCAATTCAAACTAAAAATAACTATGTTGAAGAATTTAAATTTAAGCCAGCATAACTGTTTTTAGAATGTCATTTTAGCTAGATATAACTTTTCTAAAAAATGTTAAATCAAGCTAGATATAACTTTCTAAAAATGTTAACTTAAGTTAAAAATAACTATCTTAAAAAATGAAACTTTGAGCTAGATAAACATAACTGTTTTAGAATGTCAATTTAAGCTAGAATATAACTGCCTTAAAATGTTAACTTTAGCTGGATGTAACTGTTTTAAGAATGTCAAATTAAGCTAGATAAGAATGTCAATTCAAACTAAAAATAACTAGGTATATTAAAGAATTTAAATTTAAGCTAGATATAACTGCTTTCAAAAATGTCACATGTCATTATTTTAGATATCAATTATTCTGCAAAAACCACTTCAAGAGCGAAGCTTCGAAGAAACGGAGGTGTTGAAAGGATGCAGCGTCGAAGTGGAAGAAGCGCAAGAAAGATTAAGAAAGCGCACGGAAGCCAAGAGACGTCTGGAAGAGATCGAAGACCCCGAAGAGGAGCTAAGATACAAATGCCAAATATTAGCCCAGGCGATTGCGCAGTCGCAACACCTGGTCGTGTATACGGGCGCCGGCATCAGCACTGCGGCCGAGATACCCGACTACAGGGGGCCCAACGGTATCTGGACCAGGCTGCAGAAAGGAAAGGATATTGGGTGAGTGAAGCATTATAAAAAAAAATGTTGTTTTCCCAAGTAACAAACTATTTTTGCATCGATAATAAAACCCAAAGGTTTCATTATATTTACTTTAATAAGGTTGTCACAGCTTTCACACCTGTATAAAGCTAAATGGTAGTTAAGTGAGCGTCCTTAGACGAAAATATCGATAAAGCTGGTTAGCATGTAAGCAGTATTCTCTTTAAACATTTTTGCCGCAGTATATACAATATTGCTTTGGTTTAGAATCATATTATCTCTCAAATAAATACTTTAATATAATATTAATAATATTTTATGACCCAAGTATATGGCACGCCGTTTTAGCATTTATTAGATAAAAGTTTAAAGATTAAAGTTTAGCTCTTAAATAATGTTTTAACAGAAATTTATAAAGTTAAATTTTATTAAACTCAAAACAATTATTAGTCAAAAAATATTTTAAATATAAAATGCAACAGTAAAAATGTATGTTTAAAAATATTGATTTTTTAAAGTTTTGGTTGTAATATTTTATTCTAAAAAATTATTGGTTTCAATTTTTAAAGAGTCATTTAAATGATAGTTGATAAATTTTTAATACAAAAATTCTCACATTACATGAAATGTAAGTTTTAAATTTTAAAGTAGTAATTTTTGGATTAAAAATTTATCGACTATCATTTTCACGGTGGATTTTTAGGGTCAATTTTCGGATCATCAGGCAACCACGGTTTTTTTTCATAAATCGATTATATGCCTATTATAGACAAAAATTACCAAAAATAAAAAAAATCTCTCGGTTTTTTTGTTATTTATTAAGAAAAATATAATATAAATGGGTCTAATTTTACTTTTTTGGTTATTTTGCAAAAAGTATCAATTTTATCAAAATTCTGTTTTAACAAAGATATAGAATAATAAATTTTCTACAAAAAAGGTTATTACCATATTTGCTTTCCTGTAATTTTTAAACGTAGTTTTTCTAAACAAATGGTTTGCTTAATTTTTTTTATTTAACTTGGGAAAAAAATTTGTTGGTCGGCCTTTATGCAGATAAGTTTTTAAAAATTTATCTCTTTTTCGATTGTAATACTTTATGACTAAGAAAAAATCGATAAAAGAAGCATAGAATTAAAAAAAATTCAGTAAAAAGAAATAAAAAAATCTACTTTTTAAACAATGTGATACGATATTTAATTTTTAATCATAGTTACCCAAGCAAAATGTAAACGTCAAAACCCGAAAAAAAAGTTTTTCAAGATTTTAAGTGGTAAGAACCAAAAAATTAAGTTAAATTACTTATTAAAATAAGAAAAGTTATTTTAAAATTGTATTATACATTACGTTTTTTCTACTTAATTAAATATTATTAATTCTAAGTATTATTATATATAATTGAAGAGAGGAAATAAGAAAAGGCTTTTTTACATAAAAAGGTTCTCTGTGCCATGCTTTGCAACCTATGAAAAATTCTAATTGCCAAAATTACAATTTACAGCCGCGGCTAGCCGGTCTAGTATGTCGAGGGATGTTTTTTTCGATTATCTCAAAACTTTATTTTTGGCATTTAGGCCCTTTCTAATGTAGAAACTTTATCCACTTTTATGTGTCAATGTAATTCCAATTACAAGAACCAGCAAATGCGATTTTTAAAAAATGTATAACTTTGTACGGATATTACTCCTAAAGTATATATATTACAAACAAAATGCTTATAACCTTTTTTGTAGAAAATTTAATATTCTATATCACTGTTAAAACAGAATTTCGATAAAATTGATACTTTATGCAAAATAACCAATAAAGTAAAATTAAACCCATTTATATTATATTTTTCTTAATAAAAAACCAAAAAACTGAGAGATTTTTTTTTTTTGGTATTTTTTGTCTACAACAGGCATATAATCGATTTATGAAAAAAAACCGTGGTTGCCTGATTATCCGAAAATTGACCCTAAAAATCCACCGTGTTTTAATGACTCTTTACAAATTTAAACCAATTTTTTTTATTTTTAACAATTTTAAAGTGATATATTTTAAGACAAAATTTATAACTTTACATATAAATGTAAGTCGATAATTTTTAAATTACAAAGTGTAAACGTAGCTTTAGTAGAAGGCACAAGAGTCTGGGATCGGGGCCACGATGCAGCCAGTTTGACCCGTTGATGTTTTTTAATTGACTTAGTACAATAGGCACTAAAAAAGTTGTTCTATTATTAAATTTATGTAATAAAGAAATATTTTATTACGAGAATTTGTAAAACGCGTCAAATATTTATGGAGCAAGCACGATTTGGCAACACTGCGGAATAAACTGGCTGCATCGTGGCTCCGATCCCAGACTCTTGTGACTTCTACTAATGTTACGTTTACACTTTGTAATTTAAAAATTATCGACTTACATTTAAATGTAAAGTTATAAATTTTGTCTTAAAAATGGTTTAAATTTGTAAAGAGTCATTTAAATGATAAAGGATCAGCTGGGATTTTGATAAATACATTTTTGTGTTACCAAAAGAGTCTATAATCAGATTATGCTATCAGTTTTGGTTGGCATTTTTGTTCGTCCTATACTTTAGTTTTGACCACCGTTTCTAATTTAAAGCAATTTTCTTTTCTGGAAACAAAGTGGTTTTATGAGGGAAGTAGTGCCGGCACCTCATAAGAATATAGGTTATAATTATACCTTTAATTTATTTTCTTATTCGGTCTCCCGCGCGCTTTATTTCATGGTGTTTTAATCGAAGTATTATTACGATTACGACGCTTGAAGCAGTTTTCTGCGACGCCTTTTTTAATTTTTCATAAAATTTGACACTGCTTTTCACTTTAACCCACTTGTTGAATAATGATGGCATCTTGCCTTGATTTAAATTTAAAATGCCTTTTAATGTATTGCCATCAAGACAAACTGTTCTTAGAAGGTAGCACACAGGAGTATAATAAAGCTGATTAAAGTGTTAGCTGTAAAAAGTACTTACAGCCCAAGCAAATAGTCTTAGGACGGTTTTCTTCGTAAATTTGGTTTTAACTGCTTCCATAAAACATACTTTTTAAGAACACTTAAAACCTATTGGTATATTTACTGTCGTAAAGCTAAATAGGCCTTAAGGGTATCTTGAGTAAATATGGATTTATAAGGGTATAAATGACAATACATAATAAGGCAAAGTTAAAACTTGCAAGCGTAATAGGCGTTGTGGTTTTAAAAGTAAGTATTGTTGTGATTAATAAAACTTTCTATTAAATTAATATGGTTCTAAGAACAATTAACCCTTGTGATAACTCCCATAAACCCAAACATCTTTTCAAAGAGTGTGATAAACCTTTGATATAGTATTTGGGTAAAAGCCAAGAGTCACATCCCAGAGAGCCATATCAGGTTAAAACGTGGCCAAGAATTGCCTTTTCACCTTTGGAAAGGTTTTGCCAATAAATGTACAATATAGGAGATGGTAGGTTACCGTTGGTTTAATTTTTGGGAATGTTTAGGCATGGAAAAACTATGACAAATTATTTATGTTTATTTGTGCAAATATTAGGCTTTTGAAAAATTGACCATTACATGATATTGGGAAATATTTGAACAAATCCAGAGGATTTACAAATATTATTATTATTATTATATTTGAAATAATATTACTAAAAAAGCTTTTTCTTGTTTAAATTAAAATCTATTAATTTTTTAAATTAACGAGGGAATAACAATCTTCGAAAAGTAAGAAATTGTATAATAATGAAATATTTACTCAAACTTGAAAACATAACCTTAATTACTTACTCAAAATTTAAAGCCGTTTAAATATAACACACGTTTAGTTAGTGCACGGATGATTATATTTTTTGTAATAACTTTCACACAAGCACTTTGTACGCCTTTTTGTAGAGAAGGTCTTGAAATATTAATTTACTTTTTACGACGTACCTATAACCATATACCTATAACTAGTTATAGGTATATGGGCAAATTTTCGTTAAATGTACATTTGCTGTCCCCAGCTTATTTTATTTTTATTTTTGACCTTTGTTGATAAGTTTTGTATTTATTATATTTAAATACCCCCTTCCTGTTGGGACCCATCGTATTTTTTTTTTAATTACTTTGTGTTTCTATATATCTAAAAACTAGGTGAAATGTCCTGTAACCTAACTGTCCCCAGGCAATTTTTTAATTTAAATTATTATATTCTTCTTCTTTGCAGCTTTCTTCTGAAAAAATTAATTAATTTTGAACAATGGAAAGTTATTTTATTCGTATATAAAACTAAAATAGTTTTCTACAAAGTAGTTTAAACAGAAAAAAATATTAAAGTTGACATTCAAAAATCTTGTCTTTTTCCTAACGTCGTCTTCTATGCCGACTGCTTCGAAATAGAGACACGAGATAGAGATACTTTTATAGAGATAGCGTTTTATTTCTAGAGGGCATCCAGTTTGATAGTTCGGCAACAACAAGTGAGCATGTGTAAAGTGTGTGAATTTTTTTGTAAATATTTTAAAGGTAATATTTTTTTGCGTACACTTTTTGGTGTCTTTTACAAAACGCTACATACAACTCTTGTTTTAGAAGTTAACTTTTTTATTTTCATTTTGTATTATAGCATAGTAGAAATGCCAAACAAATGCCGAAAGATATTTACATTTAACAGTATTTCTGAAAAATAACGGTTGAAAAAGTCAAAAGCAATGTGTCATAAAACGTTCAGGAAGATGCGTTAGGAGGAGGACAATGTTTCATTTCTTCCTTGTGTTCCTTTCCTATTTCAGATTAACCCTACGTATAAGTTTTATTTCTTTAAAGTTTATTTGTTATTTATAAACTTATAGAATTTTTTTGCAGTCTATTACACTGTTCTATCACAAAGGAAAAAAATTGATCAAATTGACCTGCCTGGACAAAATGTACATTTAACGAAAATTCGCCCATATGCCTATAACTCGCTATAGCGCATAGTAAACTGTTTATTTTTCCATGCTGATCAATTATTTGCCAAGTTTTGATCAACTTTCATTACAAACGAAGTTGGCCAAAGATAACTCTACTTAATTCTTTATTTTCATGCACTTTTTGTGTTATCGCGTTGGGAACGAATTGGCATAAAATATGTTAATTCTTGGTCAAACTTAACAAAAATACATATATGTTATTTTTAGGGACCACGACCTCACGCTAGCCAAACCGACCTTCACCCACATGGCTCTCTCGGAGCTGTACAAACGTAAAATACTCAAATACGTGGTTTCGCAAAACTGCGACGGCTTGCACTTGCGCAGCGGACTACCGAGGACCGCGCTGTCCGAGGTGCACGGCAACATGTACATCGAGGTGTGCAAAGCGTGCAAGCCGCACAGAGAGTACTTGAGGCTTTTCGATGTAACGGAAAACACGGCCAGATTCTCTCACAAGACCTACCGGAAGTGCTACGAGTGCAATTCCGCGTTGGTCGACTCCATAGTGCATTTCGGGGAGCGTGGCAGTTTGGCGTGGCCTCTGAACTGGTCGGGGGCGTGCAAAAACGCCAAAAGCGCCACAACTATTCTCTGCTTGGGCTCGAGTCTTAAAGTGTTGAAGAAGTACCCGTGGCTGTGGCAGATGGACAAGCCCGCAAAAAGGCGGCCAAATTTGTACATTGTGAACTTGCAGTGGACCCCTAAAGACGACTGCGCGAACGTTAAAATACACGGTAAATGCGACGAGGTTATGAAGTTGGTTATGCAGATGTTGGGGGTTAATGTTGCCGCCTACGACGAAGCAAAGGATCCTATTTTCGCGCACGCCACCGATTTGGACGATTTAGAGTTGCACACGACCACGCAACCGCAACTAAAGTCGACCAAAATGAAAGAAAAAAGCGACGACGTCAAGTTGGAGTCGGTTGATAAAGAGGATAAAGACTGCCCCAAAAGTAATAAAGATCTCTCGGAACCGGTAAATTCTCCTGCACCCGCCTGTGATAACTCTAAAAGTAGCTATAGTAACAACTCGCCTGCACGTCTTCCTAGCGCAGCTAAACTCACCAACAACTCGTCCTCGTTCTCCATAGACAGTTTGTTGACCGGCCCCGCTGCGAACAACACGATCCTGCTGAACAATCTGCCCCCGCAGCAGCAAGTGGCGCCCAACTCCTACCTAACGAACAATTTCAACGCGGCGCTGCTGCTGCACCGGCAGATTTTCGGCGGGTACACGGACTTCCTGCTCTACCCGTACCAGACGAGTTTCCTGTACCCCGGACTGCACAGCATCATAAACCCGGTGCCGCTGTTTCGCGAGCCGGAAACGGCCGCGGCGAAAATCGAGCCTTCGTGCGCGTTTTGCGATGGACACTTCAAATCGCCGGTGTGCCTGTTTTACGCCAAGTTCGACGCCAAATTCGGCAACAAGCAGCTCAGGTACAGCAAAATCGAGTGCAAGAACAAACCCAACGTTTGCGTGTGTTGCGACTACACGACCGAAGAAGAAGAAGACGTCGAGGAGTTCAACGAAAGAGACAGTAAAGACGATAAGGATCAAATAAAAAGTAAGATACAGGCGGGTTGGTTCGGGAAAGGGTACAAAAAGTATAAGAGGTACAAAAAGAAATCCATTTAAATTTATTTTTCTGCAGTATTATTACATTTCGTTATTGTGTTTAGTGAACGTATTTTCGTGTCTGTACCTAATTATTTTTAATCTGTGTGATTATGTACATTATTTTATATATTTCCCTTTTTTTACATTTTTCTTTAATAAAACAACAATTTTTACTAAACTTTCGTTTTATTGCCAGCCGAATACCGAATAAAAGTCAAGAGAAAAAAACAATAAAAAAAGTAAAAAATATAGTGACACTATTGCCAGGCGTATTTTATGGGAGATTGCTTAAAAATCATGTAAATTACCTTAAAATGAAAATGAATTCGTTTCATTTATTACCTAGGTACTTAAAAATTTTACTAAACTTTTGTATTTATTACTGGCTGAAAACCGAATATGTCAAAGAAAATTAAAAAAACAAAAAAGAGACAAAAAGCAAAAAGGATTGTAAAAAAGAAGAAAAAAAGCTAAATTAATTAAAAATTATATAAAACACGCCGATAAAAGCGAGGATAAAGACTGCCCCAATAATAATAAAGATCTCTCGGAACCGCAAAATTCTCCTGCACCCGCCTGTGATAACTCTAAAAGTAGCTATAGTAACAACTCGCCTGCGCGTCTTCCCAGCGCAGCTAAAAGCTGGCCATACACAGGCGTTATTTCGCGCGGTTTATCGTGGCGTGTTGGGATGTAGCGGTTAGTATGCACGAAAGAACGGCATGGCAAAAAAGCGTCATGTTCCATACACTTGATAAAGTATTCAAATGATTTAGCAAGTGATTGCCCGTGGTATATCAGTTTCAAAGGAAAAATCGTATGTGAGTGGGCAAAAAGTGTCATTTATCGAGTCGTTTGAAACTGCATGTGATCATGTACAAATTTTCAACGTGAAATTTTGCCAAGCAAAGGTAAACCGTGACGCGGAATGTGGCGTGTGGACACTCCACACTCCAGAGGAAAGCACGTCTGAAATCCCTTCCCGTTCTATCATTGCGCGCGGCGATACTCACTCACGTACATGATTTTCCATATGTTTTTGCAGATAACACGATAAACCGCGCGCAATAACGTCTGTGTATGGCCAGCTAAACTCACCAACAACTCGTCCTCGTTCTCCATAGACAGTTTGTTGACCGGCCCCGCTGCGAACAACACGATCCTGCTGAACAATCTGCCCCCGCAGCAGCAAGTGGCGCCCAACTCCTACCTAACGAACAATTTCAACGCGGCGCTGCTGCTGCACCGGCAGATTTTCGGCGGGTACACGGACTTCCTGCTCTACCCGTACCAGACGAGTTTCCTGTACCCCGGACTGCACAGCATCATAAACCCGGTGCCGCTGTTTCGCGAGCCGGAAACGGCCGCGGCGAAAATCGAGCCTTCGTGCGCGTTTTGCGATGGACACTTCAAATCGCCGGTGTGCCTGTTTTACGCCAAGTTCGACGCCAAATTCGGCAACAAGCAGCTCAGGTACAGCAAAATCGAGTGCAAGAACAAACCCAACGTTTGCGTGTGTTGCGACTACACGACCGAAGAAGAAGAAGACGTCGAGGAGTTCAACGAAAGAGACAGTAAAGACGATAAGGATCAAATAAAAAGTAAGATACAGGCGGGTTGGTTCGGGAAAGGGTACAAAAAGTATAAGAGGTACAAAAAGAAATCCATTTAAATTTATTTTTCTGCAGTATTATTACATTTCGTTATTGTGTTTAGTGAACGTATTTTCGTGTCTGTACCTAATTATTTTTAATCTGTGTGATTATGTACATTATTTTATATATTTCCCTTTTTTTACATTTTTCTTTAATAAAACAACAATTTTTACTAAACTTTCGTTTTATTGCCAGCCGAATACCGAATAAAAGTCAAGAGAAAAAAACAATAAAAAAAGTAAAAAATATAGTGACACTATTGCCAGGCGTATTTTATGGGAGATTGCTTAAAAATCATGTAAATTACCTTAAAATGAAAATGAATTCGTTTCATTTATTACCTAGGTACTTAAAAATTTTACTAAACTTTTGTATTTATTACTGGCTGAAAACCGAATATGTCAAAGAAAATTAAAAAAACAAAAAAGAGACAAAAAGCAAAAAGGATTGTAAAAAAGAAGAAAAAAAGCTAAATTAATTAAAAATTATATAAAACACGCCGATAAAAGCGAGGATAAAGACTGCCCCAATAATAATAAAGATCTCTCGGAACCGCAAAATTCTCCTGCACCCGCCTGTGATAACTCTAAAAGTAGCTATAGTAACAACTCGCCTGCGCGTCTTCCCAGCGCAGCTAAAAGCTGGCCATACACAGGCGTTATTTCGCGCGGTTTATCGTGGCGTGTTGGGATGTAGCGGTTAGTATGCACGAAAGAACGGCATGGCAAAAAAGCGTCATGTTCCATACACTTGATAAAGTATTCAAATGATTTAGCAAGTGATTGCCCGTGGTATATCAGTTTCAAAGGAAAAATCGTATGTGAGTGGGCAAAAAGTGTCATTTATCGAGTCGTTTGAAACTGCATGTGATCATGTACAAATTTTCAACGTGAAATTTTGCCAAGCAAAGGTAAACCGTGACGCGGAATGTGGCGTGTGGACACTCCACACTCCAGAGGAAAGCACGTCTGAAATCCCTTCCCGTTCTATCATTGCGCGCGGCGATACTCACTCACGTACATGATTTTCCATATGTTTTTGCAGATAACACGATAAACCGCGCGCAATAACGTCTGTGTATGGCCAGCTAAACTCACCAACAACTCGTCCTCGTTCTCCATAGACAGTTTGTTGACCGGCCCCGCTGCGAACAACACGATCCTGCTGAACAATCTGCCCCCGCAGCAGCAAGTGGCGCCCAACTCCTACCTAACGAACAATTTCAACGCGGCGCTGCTGCTGCACCGGCAGATTTTCGGCGGGTACACGGACTTCCTGCTCTACCCGTACCAGACGAGTTTCCTGTACCCCGGACTGCACAGCATCATAAACCCGGTGCCGCTGTTTCGAGAGCCGGAAACGGCCGCGGTGAAGATCGAGCCTTCGTGCGCGTTTTGCGATGGACACTTCAAATCGCCGGTGTGCCTGTTTTACGCCAAGTTCGACGCCAAATTCGGCAACAAGCAGCTCAGGTACAGCAAAATCGAGTGCAAGAACAAACCCAACGTTTGCGTGTGTTGCGACTACACGACTGAAGAAGAAGAAGACGTCGAGGAGTTCAACGAAAGAGACAGTAAAGACGATAAGGATCAAATAAAAAGTAAGATACAGGCGGGTTGGTTCGGGAAAGGGTACAAAAAGTATAAGAGGTACAAAAAGAAATCCATTTAAATTTATTTTTCTGCAGTATTATTACATTTCGTTATTGTGTTTAGTGAACGTATTTTCGTGTCTGTACCTAATTATTGTTAATCTGTGTGATTATGTACATTATTTTATATATTTCCCTTTTTTTACATTTTTCTTTAATAAAAACAACAATTTTTACTAAACTTTTGTTTTATTGCCAACTGAATAACGAATAAAAGTCAAAAGAAAAAACAAAATAAAAAATATAGTGACACTATTGCCAGGCGTATTTTATGGGAGATTGCTTAAAAAAATCATGTAAATTACCTTAAAATGAAAATGAATTAGTTTCATTTATTAGGTACTTTTGTATTTTTACTAAACTTTTGTATTTATTACTGGCTTAAAACCGAATAAGTCAAAGAATATTAAAAAAAAACAAAACAAAAAAGAGACAAAAAGGAAAAAGGATTGGTAAAAAGAAGAAAAAAAGGTAAATTAATTAAAAAATATATAAAACACGCCGATAAAAGCGACGACGTCAAGTTGGAGTCGGTTGATAAAGAGGATAAAGACTGCCCCAAAAGTAATAAAGATCTCTCGGAACCGGTAAATTCTCCTGCACCCGCCTGTGATAACACTAAAAGTAGCTATAGTAACAACTCGCCTGCACGTCTTCCTAGCGCAGCTAAACTCACCAACAACTCGTCCTCGTTCTCCATAGACAGTTTGTTGACCGGCCCCACTGCGAACAACACGATCCTGCTGAACAATCTGCCCCCGCAGCAGCAAGTGGCGCCCAACTCCTACCTAACGAACAATTTCAACGCGGCGCTGCTGCTGCACCGGCAGATTTTCGGCGGGTACACGGACTTCCTGCTGTACCCGTACCAGACGAGTTTCCTGTACCCCGGACTGCACAGCATCATAAACCCGGTGCCGCTGTTTCGCGAGCCGGAAACGGCCGCGGCGAAAGTCGAGCCTTCGTGCGCGTTTTGCGATAGACACTTCAAATCGCCGGTGTGCCTGTTTTACGCCAAGTTCGACGCCAAATTCGGCAACAAGCAGCTCAGGTACAGCAAAATCGAGTGCAAGAACAAACCCAACGTTTGCGTGTGTTGCGACTACACGACTGAAGAAGAAGAAGACGTGGAGGAGTTCAACGAAAGAGACAGTAAAGACGATAAGGATCAAATAAAAAGTAAGATACAGGCGGGTTGGTTCGGGAAAGGGTACAAAAAGTATAAGAGGTACAAAAAGAAATCGATTTGAATTTATTTTTCTGCAGTATTATTACATTTCGTTATTGTGTTTAGTGAACGTATTTTCGTGTCTGTACCTAATTATTTTTAATCTGTGTGATTATGTACATTATTTTATATATTTCCCTTTTTTTACATTTTTCTTTAATAAAACAACAATTTTTACTAAACTTTTGTTTTATTGCCAGCTGAATGCCGAATAAAAGTCAAAAGAAAAAACAATAAAAAACGTAAAAAAAGGCAAAAAGAATGGTACAATTAATTTAAAAAATATAGTGACACTGTTGCCAGACGTATCTTACGGGAGATTTTATTATTTCTTACTTGGCAATTTTTACTACCTAAAAAAACTTTTGTTTTTATTACTGGCTGAAAACCGAATAAGAAATTAAAAAAATACACAAAAAAGAGACAAAAAGCAAAAATGATTGTAAAAAAGACAACAGAAAAGTTAAAAAGAAGAAAAAAAAAGGTAATTAATTAAAAAAATATATAGTGACACTGTTAGCCAGAGGTATACTATATATAAAATATATTTTATGGGAGATAGCATAAAAAATCATATAAATTACCTTAAAATATAAACGAATTCGTTTAATTTATTACTTAACAATTTTTACTAAACTTTTGTTTTTATTACTTATAAGTAGCTGAATACCTACCGAATTCGATTATAGTATCACTCAGAGATGTATCCCCAGATAACATTAGTGAAATCATTATGGATGCATATATGCATTCACTCAAGTAAAATTATGAGCTCATTTTAGCATCCTATTGTGTATTCATAGTGAGTGCAGAATGGATGCATATAAATGAATTTCGTTAAAAGAAACTTGCGCATACGCATACGATTTTTAAATATGGCGGGATTTTTAATTTATAGATGTCAAAAAATCAAGGTTGTATTATTATTTTTCATTTTATTTTAAATACAAATTATGTTACAAACCAAATGTTTAATATATATTAATTAATTAATATCAAATAAAGCTATAATGAAGGTGTATCTTCCTAAACAGATAAAAATTAAGTATTTTTTACTTGCCTAATTTAATTAAGAACCTAATAATTATTAGGATCTTACTTAAGTAACCAAGTAAAAAAATATTTAATTTTTATCTCTATACAAAGATATTTCTTTGTTATAGCGCAGATCAGGAATACAAGGCTTCCGATGAAGAGATAAAATACTATACATGCAAAGTTTATAAAAACAAATGCAAAAAACATTAATGGGTGATTTCTAAACCAATTTTCAAAATGTTCCAACCCAGGTTTAAGTTAAAATTTTATTTAAAAAAATATGTACATACAGAGTGTCCCAAAAGTCAATGATACCCTATGAAGGACTAATAGGTCAGCTCATGACTAATCAGAATATCAAAACATGACCTTAGTAAAAAATCATTAGTTTTTAAGAATTTTGTGGAACTTGACACCTAAGATCAGGTTTTTGAGTGCCACAGCTACAAAATTCTATATTCTTAGATTATATATAATTACACAACATAAAATATATATTTTATGTTGTGTAACCCTGAATAGGGCTGCTATTAATTACAATTCAAAATTAAACTAATAGTAGATTTTGTAGCTGTGTCAAGTTTTACAAAATTCATAAAAATTACTATATCTCAAAACTAACTATTTTTTACTAAGGTCATGTTTTGATTTTCTGCTTAGTCATGAGTTGGTCTATCAGTCCTCCAAAGGATATTGTTGACTTTTGGGACACCCTGTATACGTATATGTTAAATAATTATATAAATATTTGACATATGTATTTTAATAAAACAGTGTTTTTTAAACAAAAGGCTTTGAACAGGTAATTTTTTAAATATAAAATATTTTAGGCAAAAAGTACCCTTAAGCATGTTTTAGACAATTTCTTTTTAAGGTACAGGCATGTATCTTAAAAAGAAAGTGTTTAGAACACACTGATGTTATATGTTAATAAACATATGTTCTAATTGCTAAAAGGTACCTATTTATGTACATAATATTACATATTTTTTTAAATAAAATTTTAACTTTAACCTGGGAACATTTTGAAAATTGGTTCAGAAATCATCAATTAATGTTTTTTTCATTTGTTTATATATATATACATATATGTATAATAATATATAATATTATATCTCTTCATTGGAAGCTCTTTATGGTCGACGTATTCAATATTGTCGTTTTCGTCATTATCATAATCGGAGATGTATTCGATTACATATTCATCCGTCTCCTCCAGAAATGTATTGGGAACTTTATCATTTCCATTATTTTTAACATATTGGAGCTCACCAATGCTTTGGCCTTTTTTGTAGCTTTTTAGTATGATCAGCATTTTCGTTCTTGCAAATTTTCTTTTATTTTAAAACCTTGTTTTAGAACTCTCATCGCTTGACCAAATTCAAAACTAAAAATCCTTAGGTTTTCCGGCCCTTCAAAAGTACTACATTCTCTTGCAGCATCTATATATTAAGAAAAAAAAGTTTTATTGATTTAGTGAGCAAAAGTAATTTAAAGTGCAAAAATTTACCAAACATTGCTGTGGCCATTTTGGTGTCTTCAAATTTGTATGAATTTCCTGCCCCAGTCCAAGTTATCTTTTTAATTAATGATGGTTCCATTGAATCATTTAGAGCAATTTTAATGAAGTCTCTAAGTTTCGTTGCCCCAATTGCTTTCCAATGTTCTTGCTGAAAATATTAAAATTATTAAAGTCTAGATATTTTTTTGGTTGAATGAAAATGAACAAGAAACATAAGAAATATTACCAATTGCAATCTGGTCATATCCATATCCTCATTTTCCAGGGCTTCAAGACCTTCTACTGATTTCTTAGGGAATCCTGGCAATTTTTCGCGTGGTTTTCTCCTCAGCCTTTGTAATTTTGATTGTCGCCATGCGACTTTCCTTGCAAGAGCGCGTACGTCTTTTCAAGTAAATTGAACGTGCGAATTTGAGTGATTTCCAGTTTCCTAGAATTATTCAACATAAAATAAGTAACTTTTTATCAAAATATGAATGTCGTTCCCCCTGTTATTAAGTTCATTAATTAATTGTTAGGATCCTTAATACAAATTCCAGTAGCAGGGAGAACGACATATAGAGAAAGTTACAGCTTATCGTACTTACTCAAGTCTATCTCGAATCTCAGAGTTGGTCAGCGTTCCGCATTCTTTTATTTCTTGGGGAGAAGAATACATTTTAATTTGATTTGGAGTGTCCAAAGATTTAAAAATTTCCTTATTTGGTGTTTTGCTGTAAAGTCAACTTATTGTAAATGATTTTTTGTTATTATATTTTATTTATTTTTTTTGTTACTGTAGGTATTCTCTTATAGTTTTTGGGTGGGTTAATAATATATAAAATATTATTTTTTTTTTGTTTAACGAAACTTAAAATTAATGGACTTTTAATTTTGAAATATTAAACTCACCTTTTGGCAATGACTTTTTCAGGCGACTTTTTCGCACGATTCCATAAAAGGTCCTTTTTTAAGTTGCTGTATTCCTTCAGATACTGATAGGTCAAATGTTAATATTTTTGGGGGGGGCAGTTCTTCGGATTCTGTAGTATTTTGCTTCAGAGGGCGGTAAACAATTCGACCCGATTTTGTTTGTGCAGTCATTTTTCTTTTGACGTTTACTTCTTTGTATATTCTTCAGGTTTGAAGGAACTCATTGTTGACTTTGATTATATTTTAAGAACAAAAAAATGTACTAAAATAAAGTAAAAAATTATCTGAATGAACATAAAAAATCTCGATAAAATTATTTATTTAAATCCTATAAAAAATGGTTTATTTATTTAAGGGATGTTCTAATATTTTAAAAGAAATTTAAAGGTGATTGATTTAATTACTATAAGATAACCTAAGTTATCATAGATGTATACATTAAAAAATTGATCTTAAAATGGATTTCAAACAAAAGATTATAAATAAATTTCTTTAAATTATACATACTATATGTAGGTATCCAAAAATAATAAAAGCAAAAAATGACAGCCTCGGAAACAGCACAACCCCCTACTATGGTATCGATTTAACATCAGGTATAGGTATACTGATTACCCAACAAATTTTAAATATGCCAATAAAAAGAATATACGCTTATCCTTTAATGGCATATACGTATAATAATAATACGTATTATGGTAGGTACTCATAAATATTTGCATAATTATGCAAACACCATTATGTCAAAAAATAAGTAGGATTTTTAGTGTTTTCATTTCTATACAAAGTTGAGTAACCGAAAAAAAGGTACCTAATTGCTTTAATTGATTCATAAAAATAATTTTTTACAAGTAAAAATAGTATTTTGTTTTCTGTTACTTGACTTCGTATCAAAATATATATTTATGAACTTTTAACACATTCACTGCCCACCCCAAAAAAGAGTATTGCTTCAGGTGCCACCTAAATTTTTCTTCATATTTTTTTTATTTAAATAAGTGCATCTTGTTTCAAATAAATTCTAGTATAGGTTTTCAATTTTATTTTTTGCAAAAAACAAAAAACGCACCAGTTGTAGGCACTGGTTGAGTGATAAACCATGTTCAGTGCCTATAAACATAAACATAATAACGCGTTCTTGTTAATAAAATGGGAAAATCTTGTAAAATAATGTTATTTATTATTAAGAACGCGCCTAGCGCGGTGTGGGCATATGGCCGCAGTACTTGTAAACGCGCCACGCGCGTTTTGGGCAGTGAATGTGTTAAGTAGGTACTTACCGCTATAATAAGCATAAATTAATTAATTAAATCAATATTTAATATTATTTGCCCAGCCAAATTTAGAAAAAGCGTAATGTGATAATGACAGAACAAACCAACTAAAAAAAAAATTAAAAATAGTGAGGTTATGATTATACCGGGTAAACAACGCCTGCTACAGGAAGAGCGCGCCGAATTTAAAAATAGAATCGGAATCGTTTCCGTGAATTCACTTTGACTGCATAAATGAGGAGCGTTTATTCAAAAAGGGACATGTCCATTTAAGCGATTTTCAGAAATAAGTCAAAAGCAAAAGAATTCTATTATTTTTGACTTATTTCTGCAAATCGCTAAAATGGACATGTCACTTTTTGAATAAACGCTCCTCAAATGCTTTCACTATGTGAATCATTCACTCCATTTTATCCGTGAGTCAGAAAATGTTATCTGGGTCACTTTAGGTCGACGCGTTATGTCCACGTTGACAAAATGACGTATATGGTTGGTAAGGGTTGTGACGTCGTAGAGACGTCGATGTAAGGTCGTCGACGTCATTTACCAATATATACCAATAATCGATTAATAAGCCAAAGAAAAGTAAAAAAAGAGACAAAAGAAATAAAGACAACAAAAAAGCTAAAGAAAAGTAAAAAAGACAATAAGAATAGGAATGGGGTATTTTATGAAAAACTGCTTCAATAATTATGTGAAAGAAAAGTAAAAAAAGAGACAAAAGAAATAAAGACAACAAAAAAGCTAAAGAAAAGTAAAAAAGACAATAAGAATGGGAATGGGGTATTTTATGAAAAACTGCTTCAATAATTATGTGAATTACTTTATCTACTCCCATTGCATAATATTTTTTTTTCTGTATATAATAAACATAAATTTCCTGCATAACAACGGGACTAATGAACTCATTATTCACGTTGTTAGGCATCAGTGATTGGTCGATTTCAATATTCAATGTGATTTGAACCAATCGGGTTTTAAATTGGGAGGCGACCATAATATTTATAATTGGTAAAAATTAGGGTTAACCATTTGACAGATGTCAGATTTTATTCTATTTTTAAAAAATATTAAATTACCTACTTATTGGAGTAGATCAAGTACAGTATTACACTGAAGATTATGCGATTTGAGTCTCTCGTCTAGCGACTTGAGACACAAACCTTATCCTTGTGAATAATAGCCTACATTATATCTCATATAATAATATACTATTAAAATAACAACAAACTCATTTCACTTGTTTTATTTATTACTTAACACTACTATATACAAAAACAAAAACTATTTTTGGAAAGGATAATAGTCCAAACCGCTATTATAACTAAACTTAGGTTTTTCTAACTTCCTTGCCTCTGATATCAACTCCTGAACGTCTTTTCTGTAAGCAGGAGGCAAAATTTCATCATTCAAAGTACACTCAAACGGTTCTATCGCTTTCTTCTTGTAAATCTGCCGTCTAATTATATCGACATCTCTGCTATACGCGTCCAAAAGCGTCTCCAAACTGCTTGGCGGAGCATTAAACTCATACAAAAAATAACTTGCTTTTTTGTGTACCGCACCGTGCACGCTGGTTTTATATGGCATGTCTCTTGTGCCCAAGTTTTCTAGCTTCCTAATAATGCCTCCTTTCTCGAAAATTGCCTCGGCAGCTCTCTTTAAAGTGGTTGTTAACTCGGGCTTAAAACAAAATCAATACAAATGTTACTACCACCGTTTTAGGTTCAAAAAGTGCTTACCTTTGGCATTACTCGCAATAATAAGCATAATTCGTAGGTAATCATTGTTATTTAATCTATATTAAAATAGGATAATAAAAAGAAAATATTCCTTGTTAAAAAGTCAGGTTACGTTAAAAATCAGTGTTGCCAATGCTATTCAAGACAATGCTACCAACAAAAAGCAGAGATATCTCTGCACAAAGTAACTGTTGCTAGCTTCATGACAAGGTATTGCCAACTTTGGGCGATGAAATGTGACTAAAATTTTGGAGGGGACCACGAGGAATTTGTGCAGGTAAAGAAAGTTGGCTTTTTTAATGCGTTATGTGAGCGTTTTCGGTGAAAATAACATTTTGGAGTGTGTTTTTAACGTCCAAATGTCAGATGGGCCCACCGAGCAGCTGAAGAAGTTTGTGTTTACCTCTAAATGCAACAATAGAGGGGAACCTCAGGAGGAAACGCTCGAAATTATTATTCCGGAGGTATTTTTTACAGAGCTACAATTACGAGTAGTGGAGCATGTTTGAGACTAACCACCTATTTTTGCCGTAGTTTTTGTGCGTTTGTTAGTATAATTTATTTTTATGACCTTTACACCCAAGTTGACATTTCGAGACAGTTGTTTGTATCTTGCATATTATGTTGACATTATTAAGACAGTTGTATCTAGATCAGGTTAACATTGTTAAAACAGTCTGTTTAGCTTAATTTGACATTCTTAGGGTAGTCGTTTCCAGCTACAGCTGAAATTCTTAAAACAGTTATATCTAGTTTAATTTGACATTTTTAAAACAGTTATATTTAGCTTAAATTGACATTCTTAAAATAGTTATATCTAGCTTAAATTTGTCATTCTTAAAACAGTTATATATAGCTTAAATTTTACATCTTAAGAGTTATATATTGCCCAAACTTACATTTTTTAAGATATTTATTTTAAAGAGTCATCTAGCTTAAATTATTATTCTTACGAGAGTTGTATCTAGCTTATATTGGCATTTTTATGACAGTTATATCTAGCTACAGCTGAAATTCTTAAAACAGTTATATCTAGTTTATTTTGACATTTTCAAAACAGTTATATTTAGCTTAAATTGTCATTCTTAACAGTTACGATCCAGCTTAAATTTGTCATTCTTAAAACAGTTAAATATAGCTTAAATTTTACATCTTAAGAGTTATATATTGCCCAAACTTACATTTTTTAAGATATTTATTTTAAAGACTAGCTTAAATTATTATTCTTACAACAGTTGTATCTAGCTTATATTGACATTTTTATGACAGTTATATCTAGCTACAGCTGAAATTCTTAAAACAGTTATATCTAGTTTAATTCAGGGACCCGGACCGAAATGAAATATCGGTTCCGGTACGGTTTTGGTTCACCCTATTTTCGTTTTAATGGTTCCGGTTTCGGTTTCGTGGAGTTATAACGGTTCGGTTCTTTTCGGTTTTAAGCGGTTCCACTGAGGTTATTTGTTTTAGGTAATTTTAATCTATAACCTAATATGTTATATAATGTTATTAGAATGAAAGCAAATAAAGGTTTCGGTTCCGGTCCAACAGATTTTATCAAAAGCGAAAACGGTTCCGGTTCGGGTTTCGGTTCGGAAAAAAAAACCGGTTCCGTTCCGGTTTTCGGTTTTTTTCGGTTTCGGTCCGGGTCCCTGGTTTAATTTGACATTTTTAAAACAGTTATATTTAGCTTAAATTGACATTCTTAACAGTTACGATCCAGCTTAAATTTGTCATTCTTAAAACAGTTATATATAGCTTAAATTTGACAGTTTTAAGAGTTGTATATTGTCATTCTTAAGACAGTTGTATCTAGCTTATGTTGACATTTTTAACAGTTATGATCCAGGTTAAATTTGTCATTTTTTAAACAGTTAAATATAGCTTCAATTTGACATTCTTAAGATTTATATATTGCCCAAACTTACATTCTTTAAGATATTTAGTTTTAAAGACAGTCATCTAGCTTAATTTATTATTATTAAGACAGTTGTATCTAGCTAGCAGGTTAACATTGTTAAAACAGTCTAGTTAGCTTAATTTGATATTCTTAGGATAGTCGTTTCTAGCTATAGTTGACATTCTTAATAAAGTTAAATATAGCTTAAGTTGACATTCTTAAAACAGTTCATTTGACATTTTTAAAACAGTTATATTTAGCTTAAATTAATATTTTTAAGTTATGATCCAGCTTAAATTTATTATTCTTAAAACAGTTATAAATAGAATAAATTTGACATTCTTAAGAGTTATATATTGCCCAAACTTACATTCTTTAAGATATTTATTTTTAAAGACAATCATTTAGCTTAATTTATTATTCTTAAGACAGTTGTATCTAGCTTATGTTGACATTGTTAAAACAGCTCTAGTTAGCTTAATTTGATATTCTCAGGACAATCGTTTCTAGCTTAAGTTTACATTCTTAAAACATCTAGCTTAAATTTGACATTCTTAAGACAGTTTTATCCAGCTAAAATTTGACATTGTTGTGACTGTTACATCTAGCTATAGTTGATATTTTTAAGATTTTTAGCTTAAATGGGTAATCTTAGCAGTTATAATTCAATTTGTCATTCTTAAAACAGTAAAATCTAGGCAAAATTTGACATTTTTAAGACAGTTATATCTTGCTCAAATCTACATTCTTTTAGTTATCTAGCCCAATTTGACATTCTTAATACAGTTTTATCCAGCCTAAATTTGATATTCTTGGGACAGTTATTAATAACTGTCTCAAGAATGTCAAATTTATATAAATATCTAGGTAAAGTTCATATTTTTAGGATAGTTTTTATTATAGCTTAGTTGACTCTTAACATTTTGAGGACCAAAAATATATTTTACATTGCACAATTATTGTGTTATTGATGTAATACTTGAACGACCCCTGGCATTTTTAAGACAGTTAACTATAGCTAGCTCAAGTTGTCAGTTATTTATTGCTAGTGTAAAGTTGGTTGTCGAAAAACTAATTTGTTTGGTGAGGTTATGTTGTATTTAGTTTACCGGGTTAGGTATGGCGGCGCTTTAAACACTGCGCCAATTTGACTACTCCGTTTCTTTCTTTCTCTATGGGTAAACCAGTTAAAGTTGACATTTTTTGATTGATTGTGCTACAATTCGTTATTTTTATTGCAGCTTCTTCAAGGCAGTTATTCCTTCTACACTTGGCCGTCCGCTCCAGTGCTCGCGTGGTTTTTGTGGGAAAAAAGGGCCGAATTACCCGGAAGAAGAGTTTTGGAGATCGGTTCCGGAACCGCATTGCCTGGAATCGTAGCTGCAAAGTGCGGTGCTAGAGTTACGTTGAGCGACTCGGCAACCCTGCCAAAAACATTACAGCACATAAAACGGAGCTGTCACTTGAACAATCTGGTCGTCGATCGCGACATCGAAGTGATCGGTTTGACTTGGGGGCTGTTTTTCGACAACCTAGAATCAGTTATACCCGTGGACTTGATACTCGGTTCGGACTGTTTCTACGATCCCTCAGTGTTTGAGGATCTAATAGTAACCGTCTCGTTTATACTCGAGAACAGCATCAACGCGCGGTTTCTTTGCACGTACCAAGAGCGCAGCTCCGATTGGTCCATAGAACATTTACTGGTTCGCTGGAACTTGCAGTGCCAGATCCACAACATCAGTAAACTAGGCGCGAGCGCGGGAATCGACTTATTCGAACTCACCGGCGATCATACGATACTGCTGTTGGAAATCAGCAGGAAAACGTGATGGCGAGCAATGCTGTGAGGAGTATCTACAAGTTGTACGTCGGGAACATACCGTGGACGGTCGGCCACAACGAATTGAAGAAGTACTTCAGCAAGTTCGGGCACGTCAACTCCGCAAGCGTGGTTTTCGATAAAAACACCGGTTTGTCGAGGAGTTACGGTTTCGTGAATTACAGCAACAAAGACGGGTTCACCGAAGCAAGCAACTACACGAACCACAAGTTGGAGGGAAACACGCTTAAAGTGCAAACCTCGACCGAATAAATCAACACTATCACACCGCGGCAAATGGCAGAGTAAGTTGACATAACCTCAAACTGAACTCCTGCCAACTGCCCAAACAAAAACGCTGGGTTGCCTAATAGTCACTAATAGTAATCTAGCCGTCAAAAATGTCCAACCAAGACTCAGACTTGGACGAGTTTAGCTCCAACGAGGACCCATTAACGCAATCCTTCAACAATGCGGCCACCCATTTGCAATCCCTCGTTTCCAACGTAGACCACCAAACGCTGCTAACTTTATACGCCTTTTACAAGCAAGGTTCGGAGGGTGCGTGCAACACACCAAAACCTAATTGGTACGACGTTAGGGGCAAGGCGAAATGGGAGGCGTGGAAAAAATTGGGGGACATGTCCAAAGAAGAAGCGCGAAATTCGTACGTGGACAAAATCAAGGAAATTGACCCCACTTTCATCTCCGCCGACTTGAACAGCCCCCGCGATTTCTGGGTTAAAGTTTCGACGTTGCAGAATACGCAAGTAACCGATAAAAATATCGTCGATTTCATACGGGAAAACAACGTGGAAGAAGTGAAAACGCACCTTCAAAACCTCACCGTTAACGAAATAAACCAAATCGATAACGAAGGACTTTCCCTGCTGCATTACGCAGCCGACTTTGGGGCTTCCCAAGCTCTAAGTGTAATACTTGAAGCCGGTATAAACGTAAATCTGCAAGACGAAGATGGTCAAACTGCTTTACATTATGCTTCTAGTTGTGGCCAAAACGATTGCATAAAGTTACTTTTAACCCATAAAGCAGACCCAAATATTCTCGACGGCGACGGAAAAAGCCCCATTTCCGTCGCGTACGACGACGCTGTAAAAAGCTTGTTAATGAACCTCGGCTAGATTTTAATATTGTAATAATATTATGTTAGTTAATAAATAGATTTTATATATGTATCTTGTTGTTTTATTAAGTTATTTAAGATTGCAGCGATAACATTAAAGGTCGATGATTACGTAATTTAAATGTTTATCAGCCAGTAGTTGCGGAAATTCGTGTAGAAATGACGGCCGAAATTGTGGAAAAACGTGAGGTTCACAAAAAAGGTAAAAGCACTAAAAATTGCCGCCCACATGTTTAAATAGTAGGCTTTGAAATTTCATCCATTTGGATTGGTGGATTTCCTATTTCATCCAATGAAAAAATTCCACAAACGTCAAAAAGTTTGACAGTTTAGGGATATTAGTAAAACAGTTTGTATATTTTTTAGAATGTTTTAGAACTTTTAAGCAAGTAAGTACCGCTTTATAAAAAGGCATCTCTGAAATTAAAACAATTTGGAATGAAAAATATTATATACAGCAAAAAATACGGGTACACTGAAGCAAGCAACTACACGAACCACAAGTTGGAAGGAAACACGGTAAAAGTGCAATAAATCAACACCAACCACAGTTTTTCACATCGCGACAAATGGCAGAGTAAGTTGACATAACCTCAAACTGAACTCCTGCCAACTGCCCAAGCAAAAACGCTGGGTTGCCTAATAGTCATTAATAGTAATCTAGCCGTCAAAAATGTCCAACCAAGACTCGGACTTGGACGAGTTTAGCTCCAACGAGGACCCATTAACGCAATCCTTCAACAATGCGGCCACCCATTTGCAATCCCTCGTTTCCAACCTAGACCAGCAAACGCTGCTAACTTTATACGCCTTTTACAAGCAAGGTTCGGAGGGTGCGTGCAACACACCAAAACCTAATTGGTACGACGTTAGGGGCAAGGCGAAATGGGAGGCGTGGAAAAAATTGGGGGACATGTCCAAAGAAGAAGCGCGAAATTCGTACGTGGACAAAATCAAGGAAATTGACCCCACTTTCATCTCCGCTGACTTGAACAGCCCCCGCGATTTCTGGGTTAAAGTTTCGACGTTGCAGAATACGCAAGTAACCGATAAAAATATCGTCGATTTCATACGGGAAAACAACGTAGAAGAGGTCAAAACGCACCTTCAAAACCTCACCGTAAACGAAATAAACCAAGTCGATAACGAAGGACTTTCCCTGCTGCATTACGCAGCCGACTTTGGGGCTTCCCAAGCTCTAAGTGTGATACTTGAAGCCGGTATAAACGTTAATCTACAAGACGAAGATGGTCAAACTGCTTTACATTACGCTTCTAGTTGTGGCCAAAACGATTGCATAAAGTTACTTTTAACCCATAAAGCAGACCCAAATATTCTCGACGGCGACGGAAAAAGCCCCATTTCCGTCGCGTACGACGACGCTGTAAAAAGCTTGTTAATGAACCTCGGCTAGATTTTAATATTGTAATAATATTATGTTAGTTAATAAATAGATTTTATATGTATATGTATCTTGTTGTTTTATTAAGTTATTTAAGATTGCAGCAATAACATTAAAGGTCGAGGATTAGGTAATTTAAATGTTTATCAGCCAGTAGTTGCGGAAATTCCTGTAGAAATGACGGCTTAAATTGTGGAAAAACGTGAGGTTCAAAAAAAGGTAAAAGCAAAAATTGCCGCCCACATGTTTAAATAGTAAGCTTTGAAATTTCATCCATTTGGATTGGTGGATTTCCTATTTCAACCAATGAAAAAATTCTACAAACGTCAAAAAGCTTTAGGGATTTAAGTAAAAGAGTTTGTATATTTTTTAGACGATTTTAGGACTTTTAAGCAAGTAAGTACCGCTTTATAAAAATGTATCTCTGAAATTAAAACAATTAGGAATGAAAAATATTATATACAGCAAAAAATACGGGTACACTGAAGCAAGCAACTACACGAACCACAAGTTGGAAGGAAACACGGTAAAAGTGCAATAAATCAACACCAACCACAGTTTTTCACATCGCGGCAAATGGCAGAGTAAGTTGACATAACCTCAAACTGAACTCCTGCCAACTGCCCAGACAAAAACGCTGGGTTGCCTAATAGTCAATAATAATAATCTAGCCGTCAAAAATGTCCAACCAAGACTCAGACTTTGACGAGTTTAGCTCCAACGAAGACCCATTAACACAATCCTTCAACAATGCGGCCACCCATTTGAAATCCCTCGTTTCCAACCTAAATAGTTAATAAATATATTTTATATATGTATTTTGTTGTTTTATTAAGTTATTTAAGATTGCAGCGATAACATTAAAGGTCGAGGGTTAGGTAATTTAAATGTTTATCAGCCAGTAGTTTGCAGAAGTTCGTGTAGAAATGACGGCCGAAATTGTGGAAAAACGTGAAGTTATCGCGCCAGAGGCTCAGGAAAAAGGTAAAAGCATTCAAAATTGCCGCCCACGTGTTTAAATAGTAGGCTTTGAAATTTCATCCATTTGGATTGGTGGATTTCCTATTTCAACCAATGAAAAAATTCCACAAACGTCAAAAAGTTTGACAGTTTTAGGAATATTAATAAAAGGGTATATTTTTTAGACGGTTTAAGGTCTTTTTAGCAAGTAAGTAGGTATAAAAAGGTAGCTCTGAAATTAAAACAATTTGCAATGAAAAATATTCCACAAATGTCAGAAAGTTTGACAGTGAAAATTCCATCAAATTTGAGTATCGTTATCAAAAAAACAGTATTTTGCCAGAGATTTTCTAAAAAATATAAATATAGAAAATAAAGTGCAGGAATCTGCATTACCTGTATCGATTGCACAGAGCAGCGCCGTAATTTTTTTTAGATTGGCAGAACTTATCCGTGTGTATTGTGGAAGCCATCAGAGATAAAGCCATTTTTCCGTAAATTTTTCCAGGTTGATATAAGGAAATTAGCCAGGTATAATATGTTAGAATTAACGTTTAATATTAAGGTAGATAGGTAGATGTTAAGAATCGCTGTTATATAAAAGTTGCTCTTAAGATATTTTCCCCATCGCCAATGCGGTTGTCAAGTGACGTTTAAATCATTGATTACCTAATACTTTATTCTAGCTAGACAAAAGCCTTTATTTTATTTTAACATTAATGTATAATCACATGAAAATTAAAAGGTATTGATTTTTAAGTCAATGCAAATCTATTTTGTTTTTGGTTAGGCCCTAAAGCTATTTTTTCAAGTTTCAATTTCCCATTTTGATTGTTTTCGGGATGCAAATGTAACAAAAAATGTGTATAAATACAGTTAAATAATATGGGATGACCCAGGCTTTAGTAGTGGGGCTTCAGCAGCAGATGTAGAAAGTCATGTTAACCAAAAAGTTTTAATGAAGAAAGGTTTTAATTAAATTCAAAATATTTTTAAAGATTTTCTTTAGGGGTTATGCGCAGTTAGACGTGTAAAAAAATAGACAGTCTCGAGTATTTTTTATGACCTGTTGTAAAGTGATTTCTGTATAGTTCTTACACTATATTATACTTATAAGGTCCTGGATAACTTAATCAATTTTTTTAGTTCGATGGTTTATAAAAAGTTTTTATTTATTGATTAAAATTTTGCAAAATGGGTATTTCTTGAGAAAAAATCCTTTGTTTAATATTAAGTTTTGAATGCATATAATATGCTGCCTAAATTTGATCTCGATTCATTGGGTGGTTTTTAAAGAAAAAACGATTTTTTTAAGATTATAACTGTATGTATACATATAACTCCTTTTAAATCTTTAAAAATATAAAAAGATAACTATTTAAATTTGATATGCATTTATGTATATCAATAGAAATCATATTTTTAAATTATTTTTGTTTTTATTGTACTGGGTAACTTTTTTCTCACCCCACCTGGTTAAATTTAACAAAAAATAGATTTAAATCTAATTTTTTGTTAAATTTAACCAGGTACCTATTTGCAAAATGCCTATTGCGTTTTTTATACCTAGTCAAAAAAATTTAAATGTGTACAAACATTTAACCCAAAGGGACATTTTTACTCAAAATTAATTTATAGTCATAAAAACTTAGGTACTTGAAAAGGTCACACAGTGTAATAAACTATCAATGCTTAAAATACCATTAGAAAAGTCAAAATACATTTGAAAATATAAACATGAATATCCAAGTTATTAAAACTGTCAAACATATTTTAAAATGTCAAACTTACTTAAGAATGTCAAAAGCTGATTTTAAACTAACGCAACTTTTTTCTCACAGCTGCTTAAATTTGACAATAATTGTTATAAAATTGATCTATTTTCAAAAATGTTTTTGAATCCGTTTTTATGATACTTAAAAATATGTTAAGGTGGATTTAGTAATATAATGTAATGCAAAGTAACGTAATTTAATGTAATTATTAAATATATTATTTATTTATTTAACAAAAAAATGTGCCATTTATGCATTTAGTATCTATATGGGTTTTTTTGAAACCGATGTTGGCAAGACTGTTGTTACTTTTAAGCATAACACAAAGATTTTAAGCACAAACACTATAACCTTGATAATTATCTTTACTTTCAAGCAAAAAACAATATAACTAACATTTAATGGAAAATGTAAAGGTTGGTATTTCAGAGAAGTTAAAAGTTGGCCAACTTTACATTACATTAAATGCTGACTAAATCCGCCTTTTGAAATATCTTAAATATAATTTGGACATAGGTAACTTTCTTTCTGCTGCTAAAGTCCGACTACTAAAGCTATGGCACGCTGTTTTAGCATTTATTAGATAATCGCTTGAGGATTAAAGTGTAGCACTTAATTATGTTTTAACAGAAATTTACAAAGTTAAATTTTTTTTTTAATTAAAACAATTGATAGTCAAAAAATATTTTAAATATAAAATAAAATTGTAAAACTTTAAGCTTAAAAATATTGATTTTTAAAAATTTTGGTTCAAATATTTTATTCTACAAATTTTAAATTTTAAATGGTAGTCAATAAATTTTTAATCCAAAAATTACCACTTTAAATTTTAAAACTAACATTTAAATGTTATGTGAGAATTTTTGTATTAAAAAATTATCGATTTCATTTAAATGACTCTTTACAAATATAAACCGATAATTTTGTTGAATAAAATATTTCAACTACAATTTTTAAAAATCAATATTTTTAACCTAATTTGACAATAATTGTTATAAAAAAAAAATTATTAGACCGTTATGATACTTAAAAATATCTTAAATAGGATAAATATTTGGACATAGGTAACTTTCTATCTGCTGCTAAAGTCTGACTACTACCACAACAATAAAACAAATTGATAAAAACTTTTGTCTAGCTAGATGTAAAAATAAAATCACTGTGAATTAGGTAGTGAAAATTTTAGCAGTGCAAACACATGTTTTACTCTCCTGGCAGTTTCAAGAATGACTCTCACCACCTCCAAAGCATTTAACTATACCTGCAAGTTCTCTTGTAGGTCACACAGCTTTAAACACACAGATGACGTCTACGAGCTATTGGAACAACCCCCCTCCTCCCGGCACGGAGTTTGACGACGACGTGCTCCTTCCGCAAAAAGAAGAAAGTCCTCCTTCTCCAAAACCCATCGATAAAATCGATCCGCACGTAAAAAACCCCGAGTGCGAGAAATCGAGGAGTAGATCTCGCGATAAGCACCGCAAACGGCGGTCGAGATCGAGATCTCGAGACCGGCACCGCAGCCACAGAAAGCGCAGGCATCGCTCGCGTTCGAGATCTCGCAGCCACAGTCGAGAAAGACGGCACTCGTCGAGATACTCGTCGAGATACTCGCGGTCCAGGTCGAGAAACTCGCGCAGCCGCCGGTCTCGCAGACACAGATCGAGATCTCGACGGCGGGAGTCGGAGGACAGACGCGGGGGGGACGATTTGAACCCCGTCGACATGAAACTGGAGGAAGACGAGGAGGAGGAAGCGGAGGAAGAGCCGGTGAAGGAGAACGCGTTTAAAAACGACGGGTCGTTCTTGGAGATGTTCAAGAAGCTGCAGGAAGAGCAGCAGCAGAAATCCGAGGAGGCTTCGGAGTCGAAAAAGACCGCGTTGCCGGCGTTCGGGAAGCGTAGGGGGGGGAAAGTGCTGAAGACGGGGTTGGTTCAAAAAACCAAGTTAAATACGGACGACATGTCCAACGCTCAGGATGCGTGGTCGGTTTATATGAAGGAGGTTAGGAGGTACAAGGAGGCGTGCTGTGATGACGACTCCAAAACTAGGCCTCTGGTTAAATAAAAAGATTTGCTATGGAGAGTTTCTTTCGTTGTTAGGTATTAGGTACTTTCTTAAATTTGTATCAATTAGGATATTCTATTATCACTAATTTTAATGTATATTTCGAAAATGTCTTAATAATTAAGAGTTATTTTTAAAAACAATCATGCATTTATTTTTTCCCCACAATCCAGACCCTTTGGCAATGCAGAAAATATCTTAAAAGCAGCTTGAAACCCAAAACAAAAAATTATATCATTTAAAATTTTAAAAATCAAACTTAAAAATTTTGAAACGCATATTTATTTTCAGGGCTTATTTGAGAATTTAGAATGCTTAAAATACATTTAGGAAAGTCAAAATACAATTTGAAGTATTAAAACCACTAGAATAGCCAATTTTTATCCAAGTAGAAACCACTCAAAAAATGCGACCACCTTAATTTTTAGCAGTTATTTTATTTAAATTGAGTACCTACTTTCATAGTAATGATTTTTTGAATTTTGACAATAGTTTTTAACTTATTCTTAATTTTATTGCACTATAAAAATTCTCGGCTTTTCAATTATAATAATATACACTTAAGAAGTAGCGCCACAACTTTTTAATAGTAACCCCCTTTTTTACAACAATTTAAAAGAGGCTTTTTTCTTATAACAACAGTATATTAATATTAGTGTGTTACATAGGGATATTTGAGAAAAATGTCCGATAATTCAAAAAAACCTTTATTCAAAATAATGCATAAAAACCACTTAAAAAATGCGACCTCCTTAATTTTTAGCAGTTATTTTATTTATATTGAGTACCTACTTTCATAGTAATGATTTTTTGAATTTTGACAATATTTTTATAATTCATTCTTAATTTTATTGGACTATAAAAATTCTCGGCTTTTCAATTATAATATTTATTATAAATAATTAAAACTAAGGACTTAAATTAACGGTAGATTTAATCAAAACGTTATTTTCTTTAATGAATGTACATTCCCTGAATAATATACACTAAAGAAGCATCGCTAGTAGCGCCACAACTTTTTCATAGTAACTCCATTTTTTACAACATAATTTAAAAGAGTCTTTTTTCTGATAACCGTATATTAATATTAGTGTGTTACATAGGGATATAATTCAAAAAAACCTTTATTCAAAATAATGCATAAAAACAAGAATATGATTAGCCAAAGTACTTAAAGTAAGTGTTCAAAATGTTCGCCGTTAACGGCAAGACAGTGGCCTAAACGATTTTCAAATTCTTGTTTTACATTTTGCAGCCAAACGTCTTGAACATTATGAATTTCATCAACTATTTTTTCTCTGAGAACCTTTTTTTTATAGGTAGGAGGAAAATTTATCAAATAATTTTTGAACCATTAACAATTTTTCTCTGAGAACCTTAACGCAACCGAGTGCGCTAATCGTGTAGGATACGGAAGCAAGATCTGCATCTCCGTTCCCTAAGTGGTTAACGCACCGCATACGAATAAGCACTCTGCAATGAGCTTTCTAGGTGATCTTTCTTTGTATGTACATATAAAATAATAATAACCAAACAAACAGATTGACGTATGTCTTAAAGGCGCACTATTACATGTGAAAATTGCACCGAATGTCGAATTAAAAATGAATTACAGGTAAACAATGTGAAGCCTCAATTATTTTTTGTTAGATTTTTTTAAAATATCCAAACTTAAATATAAATTATATTAGGTAAAGTTATTATTAGTTAATTCTGCACCAAAAAATATACGTACCGAATTGAATCCTTTGGCAAAACATGAAAATATGACGATTTATTATTATATTTTACCATGATCACTTGGATAAAATACACACACCAACGTACTGTCCTTTCAGGCTAAGTTGAGCGGTCTAAGGAATGTCACCCCGTCCATCATCTCTATGTTCAGGCACAATTAAATACATGTATTTCGGTAGCCGCTCTATACGAACAAACGGCAAGCCGCGGCACTGATAAATCATCTTCTTGTTACCGAAATCTCGCGACGATTCGATGTTTAATTTAATTAACTGCCACATGATCCCCCACCAAAGCGCTCAACTTAGCCTGAACGAACTGTAACTATATAAGCATTAGGGTGTGCCAAAAAACCTCGATATATTTTTTTTCTTGCTCTCAACCCAAAATATCGTAGAATATGTCCGAACAAATATTCTGTTAAAAGCGGAGCTCATAATTTCAATTTTAAGAGGTCCTCCATCGAATCTGAAGTTTTGCCGCTTAAATAACACAGAAAACTGACTTTTTTACCTTATTTATTCTTGCAACCTAGGAAGAAATTTTTTTTTCATAAAATCCATGACTAATTCTTACAAAGCATTAAATTTGGAAGAAAAAATCCTATTAAGCCGAATTTCTATTTTCATTATTTGATTTTTTACAAAGCTTTAAATTTAAAATTTTACGTTTTTTGCCTTTTTCAGCTAAACTATTTAAGTTAGACGAAAAAGTCAAATGGCAATTTTTTAGCTTGTCTGATGGACCACAAAAAAGTTTTAGGCGAATTTTTTGTATCGTCAATATTCTTAAAGTTACAGGCGTATAAAGTGATCATTTTTGTATTATTAACTTTAAATTTAAAGCTCTGTAAAAAATCAAATATTGAAAATAGAAATTCAGCTTAATAAGATTTTTTTGTCCAAATTTAATGCTTTGTAAGAATTAGTCATGGATTTTATGAAAAAAAAATTTCTTCCTAGGTTGCAAGAATAAATAAGGTAAAAAAGTCAGTTTTCTGTGTTATTTAAGCGGCAAAACTTCAGATTCGATGGAGGACCTCTTAAAATTGAAATTATGAGCTCCGCTTTTAACAGAATATTTGTTCGGACATATTCTACGATATTTTGGGTTGAGAGCAAGAAAAAAAAAATATCGAGGTTTTTTGGCACACCCTAATAAGCATATAAGTGTTGAGTAACCAAAGTTTTTTAGTTTTTACCTGCAACGCGAAGCACAAATAACGCGCGCAATTTAGCTGTCAATTGAACAAAATTTGTCTCTTTCTTTCGTTGACAATTCTTGAATTCACACAATGCTTCTTTAGCGTATACTTGAGACCTGAAAAATGCATTTCCTGTAAACTTTGGGGGTTATGTTTCAGACATCATGCCAGAAGCCATCAAATCTGACGCCGTGAAGACCGCCCCCTTCGATCCGCGTTTCCCCAACACCAATCAGACTCGCTACTGCTACCAAAGCTACATCGATTACTACCGCTGTCAAAAAGTCAGGGGCCAGAACTACAAGCCCTGCGAATATTTCAGCAAAGTGTTCCACTCCGTTTGCCCCAACGCCTGGATCGAGAAATGGGACGGCCAGAGGGAGGAGGGAACATTCCCCGGCAATATTTAAACTCTCATTCGTTGTTCAATAATAATAGTTTTTAATGTAGTACATTCTTTTCTAACGTTGGCATCGATGTCATGTATATAAGTTATATTATTAATGATAATAAATTACCCTATCTACCGTATTGACCTTTTATTTTAAATCACAGTTGGCCATGAAGAAAACGGAAATGCTTTTTTGAATTTGAACGTCAAAAGCTTATTTGTTGTTTGGATAATTCGGCAACGTCGCAAGTAATCATTTGAAGGCAGTGCTGCCAACAAACAATTTATTGTAATCATTTTTTTGGTTTGTTCCAACAACTTAAAGTTTTATTTAATAAATTTATTATGTTTTTCTTTATATATATTTATATATTCCATTTATTTCTGACACAATTATGATTGAATTTAATTAAAAACAGTAATTTAATACAAACTTAAAAATTATAAAAAAAAAATTCTGAATGTCCTTGGAAAATATAATAAACGTATGTTTGTATGATCTAAAAATAACTGAATACATTTAATAATCCATTTTGGGCGTCTAATTTTGCAGATCTTTGGCTTTAAATAAAAATATTCAAAACAATTACACCGGAAGTGTCCATTTTGTCAGTGCTGCCATAACAAAAAATCAAAAAGCCGACTTTTTACGAATTAATTTTTTATATTGGTACTAAGGGCTTCTTCCAATTCAACATTTGTTGGAGGCATTTCTCTTTTACATATTAAACTGTTATTATTGTGTATAAACAGAATAGTGAGAATAAAAATGGAGCGGAAAGGTAGACAGTGTTCTGGGTGTGGCAGACATTTTGCAAACACCACGGAAGAGACGGCAACTTCCGGCGATCAAACTGACAACGAGGTAAAACCTAAGGAGGCTTGGATAGGTAAACAAACGGAAACTCTGGAACAGGAGATAAAACAAGAATCGAACAAGAAAAAGGCGAGCAAAAGATTGGCAACCGAGGAGGAGTCTGATGTTTCTGGTTCAGACTCTGAAGAACAAAGAACAAAAAAGACAAAAGCTGCTGATAAACACAAGGAAGATTATAATTATAGTGAGAATAACAAGGACAAAAAGGACAATAAATGTTTAGGAGAAGGCCAGATGTGTTGTATTTGTGTGGAAGAAAAAACCGAAGAGGAGTGGCACATACTTGTTTCTGAGAAGTGGTCTGATCCAGGAATGTGTACTAGTTGTACCTCCCACTTATACGATATGCACACGAAACCCGTGGGTTATGCGGAACCCACAATGGCTGCAAGGAGTAATTTCATGGAATTGCTGGAATGGATGAAATGGCACAATCTAGATGATTAATGTAATACATTCATTTCTAAGTTATTATTGATAATAAATTACATTACCCACTGGGCAAAAAAACATACTGTGAACGTTATAGAGACGTAGATTGTTACGTCGTGACGTTAGCCTACAAGTAAAATAAATATCCCACGAACGTCGCAACAACTGCTAATGTCCGCCTTCAGCGATGTTACTTTGATACGTTAGTAATTGAACATACCTTTAACTTTCCATTACAAATGTTTATACAACGTCATTTATGAAACATCAGATTAACGTTTAGGGCAACTGTTTCCGTGACGTTCAAATTTAACGGTCTTTACAACAGTGTCTATAAAACATTTTATTAACGTTATGAGCCCCTGTTGTTGAGCTTTTACCAATGAAACGTTTATGTCACGTTGATTTTAAAAAAAGCCAGAAAATAAATAAAACCTTTATTGGTACAAACAAATAATATATAAATAAAATACATTAATACCAAATACATTTAAATATTTAAGTTAAACTACATATTACATGTCAACACTGTATATGTACTTCAGAGCCAAACTGTAAAGTCCAATTTTTTAACATGAATATACATTTTTTGCCTACATTTTTTCACTCTTTTCTAAGTAAGCCAATCCTGTTTATCATGGGAAAGAGCCAAAAAATGTGGACTTAACACAGTTTGTCCCTGGGGTATATTTATATATATACATATATTTCAACAAAAATTAAAATAAAATTTTAACTCTCATAAAATTATGTTCCAATTCTGGGTAACCTCAAAGCAAATCTTTAACATTTTTATAAGCTTGCAATTATTTCATAGTACATACTACAATAGTTTAAAAATAAGTTTTTTTATAATTTTAAATAAATGTATTTAGATATACCTATGTAAATAAATATTGGTTGTGGCATTAATATGTAAAAAAAATTATAAACCTAAAAAGTTACAGATTTTCTTACAGGTTACCCAAAATCCAAATATCTAAATGTTGAACTAGATACATATTACATATCAACACTGAATATCTGTACCACAGAGCCAAAGTGTATTAAAGTCCACTTTTTAAAATTAAAATTACGTTACACAAATTTTGCCTACATTTTTTTGCTCTTTCCAATGGATCCACAGGATTAAGTCCTGGCTTAATTAGTTTTTTGTTGAATCAAAAACTAAGTAAGCCAAGACTAAATCCTGTTTACCATGGAAAAGAGCAAAAAAATGTAGGCAAAATTTGTGTAGTCATTTTAAAAAAGGGAACTTAATACAGTTCGGCCCTGGGGTAAATTTATATATATACCTATACATATATTTCAACGAATATAAAAATAAAATGTTAACTCTCATAAAATTATAATTGATATGGATAATGGAAAGCTTATAAAAAACTTAAAGATTTGCTTAGAGTTTACTCAGAATTGGAACATATATGTTCCAATTCTGAGTAAACTCTAAGCAAATCTTTAAGTTTTTTATAAGCTTTCCATTATTTTATAGTACATTCTAAAATAGTTTAAAAATAAAATATTTATAATATAAATTTTAATGTATAGAAATATGTAAATAAATATTGGTTTTGGCATTAATATGTAAACAATTTTATAAACCTATAGAAGAGTTACAGATTTTTGTACAGGTTACTTAGAATTGATCTATATTAAATATAAAAATTTAAACGTAAAATTAGTCCTATTTGTAATATAATATTACTAATATTTGGCTATTTGACCAGAATTATACATTTTCTGCATTTTGGGAAGCCCTAATACGGCGCTGCTTCCAATGCCGGAACCAATTCATTATGATTTCTTCAAAATCCCTGTCAATAAGGGTTGGGCTTCATTTTTTAGCAACCTGTGAAATAGAAATAGATACCTATAACAACTGTTGCATAAATTTATTTATAATTTTGTACAAATGCATATGGCACGCAAGTTATATAACAGCAGAAAATGTTACCCCTTAATGTTTCAGTTGATTGTGTCACGGTGCTGTTCTGAGAGGTGATTTTTGGACTTTCTGTAAAAGCTAATTTTTTTTTATATTCTTGTTAATTAGGTCATAACTAAAATTTTAAGAGCAAAATAAAAAAAAATTGACGGTTAATTTTGTTTTAATTAAAATTTTAGTTATGACCTAATTAACAAGAATATTAAAAAAAATTAGGTTACACAGAAAGTCCAAAAATCACCTCTCAGAACAGCACCGTGGTGTGTTTGTTGTATGTGTATCAGGGTTTATAGCTTCTTTGCTATACTCATGAGTCGTGGAAGCACAAAACTAAGAAGATTATATTCAGGAGCTTCAACTCCATATAAATTCGAGGAGTGGGGGGTCCACAAGAATGTCGCACGTGTACAATGACCGAGAACGCAAAATTGAGTTCTGCGCATCTTTTGCAGAGATAAAGAAGGTATCTTTTTAACCTCTATTATTTTGTGCACCTGTCAAGCATCAAACCAATGTTTACCTTGACCAATTTTGTAAATAAGAAGATTATAATGTAATAATAATATTTTATATTATAATAAAATCCTAGTAGTAAAGAGAACAGTTTGTTAAAACAGTGAGTAAATTTATGAACTAATCAGTATTACTGTCGTTGTAGCAGAAAACGTAAACTGCAGTTTACATGTAAACATGCATGTAATGATGTTAATTTGGTCATCAGTAATGTATTTTCACGTATAAAATAGGTAACTGAATTTTGCAATGTAAAATCAGACAATTTCAAGTTTTGTGGTGTAATTATTACACTGTAACGTTTTGTTATAAACTTACTGATGGTATTTTAAATAACTGATGTGTAGGTTTTTTATCCCTTGACAAATTAAACAATTTTTAACACAGCACAAACATCCTATACTTATGTAGTGATTTTCTCAAATAAAAATTTTAAAATTAAAATAAAGCATGTCAATCAACCTTCTTTTTTTCTGTTGTAAATCTTCCAACCAATGAGTGCACGTGCAGTCTGTCACGTGAGTTGACGATCTATGCGCGGTTGATTAATAGTTATTTGTGCGCATTGTACACGATACGACGCGTTTTCTATCCATTCTCATGCGGAGTTGAAGCTCCTGAATATAATCTTCTTACACAAAACCCTGAGCATGAGTGTGTTGTATGAGTTTATGTGCCTATTAAGCCTTAATATATGATACATTTAAAATTTTTAAATTAAAAATGGTCTTTTAGATTTATGTTTATGTTTTGGTTGTACCTAAAGGTTTTACCTATACTTTTAACATTAATAACAATTGTTAATATTCATAGATTAATAATTATTAATTGCATATCTTTTTAAATAGATATAAATTTAAGAATAGCACTTGCCAATTGCAGTTTTAATTATCAATAATATTGATTCAATATTACACTTTCTATTAGGACAAAATGGCTGAAGGCTGGTTTATCTGCCGGCCGGCTTTTAGAAAACAAAACATCTTGTTTTAGAAAGTAAGTATTTTAGTTAAGTCTAATTGATATAAGTAATATTATGTAATATGTTGAATTACCTGATTTTTGTTGTCGTCGCTCATATTGTTTCTTCAAACAGCCAGGAAATAATTTGTTAAACACACCAAACACAAAACAAACAAAGGACGCCTGGAACTTCAAGCAGCGACAACTGTTTACTTGTTGGGAGTACCATAAGATGGCGCTGTATATTAACTTCGTGCCGTTAAACTAAAGTATATTAGAGTAACTTTAGGTAACGTTTTAAAAACACCGTTGTATAAACGTTAAAATGTGAACGTTAAAAGATGAAACCTTAAGTAGATGTTGAGCCATGTATTGCTGAGTTAACATCATCAAATTGTTGAAAAACTAACGTGCAACTTACAACTTGATATTAACTTCTGCAAAATATTGTTGTATAAACATTCAAATGTGAACGTTGAAAGATTATATGTTAAGTTGATGTTGCATAGTAGATTGTTAAAGTAACATCAGCAAATTGTTGGAAATCTAACGTGCAACTTACAACTTAATATTAACTTCTGCAAAATATTGTTGTATAAACATTCAAATGTGAACGTTGAAAGATTATATGTTAAGTTGATGTTGCATAGTAGATTGTTAAAGTAACATCAGCAAATTGTTGGAAATCTAATGTTACGCAAGCAACGTCAATATTTTCGACTTTTACTGAACGTTGATAAAACATTTTATAAATAACGACTACTTGCTCACGTTACTTCAACATGTCAAGAATGTTAAATTTAGACATCCTAAATGCGATCTTATATTAACGTTACATAACGTTCACAGAACATACCTTGCCCAGTGGGTATCTACTTTTTAGGACTTTTATTTTTTGTTCACATTATCGCAAAACCCACGATACACAAAAACCGCTACGCTAGTTATGAAACGAAAACTAAAAGGAATTAATTGTTGCTTAAAAAACCTTACATTAGTATTAAAAGCGCTTGCTGCCAATTTAACTTTCTCTTAACATTTGTTACACTTAATAATAGCCGTCCCTATATTTATAAATTTTCGAATATAACGTAAATTTGCAGTGCAAATAACCTTCCAACCTTCACACCCGAGAGAGATAGCTATAACATGCGCATCAGAATACCGGTTTTTGTGTATCGTGTAATTACTTTTTATAAAGTGGGCTATGGAAAAACAGGAAACGCTTTTTTACAATCTAATGTCAAAAATAGAATTGTTAAAAGCGTAAATTTGTACAAAAAACACAATTAAAAGCCTATATATATACATAAATTGTTTGTTTCGCGAGAAGTAGGCTTGTTCGATTTTTTGATTTTGTTGTGGCAGCACTGCCAAAATGGACACTTTTTTGAAACCCTATAGGGCATGGAGCATAGAAAAAGGATGGAGCCTACACAATAGACCTATCCCATAAAATAGACTTTTGGTTAGCGCGTGCATGTAAACAAGAATCTAAGGAAAGTAGGCGCTGGTGTCCCGTTAATTCTGAAACAATTGTTAATTAATTAATTGACTAATTTGTACCGAAACGCTACCAAAAGAGCAGACGTCAGCACGCATCAACAATCAGCGCCGCTGGTGGTAAAAAAAATATACTTAATTTGTGCAATTTAGAGGGCAGGTTTTGTCAATTTTCCCTATTAAGTTCGGGCTCCTTGTGTAGGCTCCATGCTATAGGGTTTCAAAAAAGTGTCCACATTTTGGCAGTGCTGCCACAACAAAAGCAAAAAATCGAACAAGCCTACTTCTCGTGAAACAAACAATTTCGAATTTTTTAGGTTGGTACTAACGGCGTCTTCCATTTGACATTTGGTGGCGTCATTCCTCTATTATCAAACTTTGATTACCGTTTTAACGTTTTAAAGCGAAGAAAAATGAAGCACAAAGGTAGACAGTCTGCTAACAAGGCGGAAGAGGTGCCGGAAAGCGATGCGGAAAACGCCGGCGAGCAGAACGGCAACGACGTAGAACCGGAGGAGATAAAGAAGCGGGCTTCTAAAGGTAAACAATCTAAAACTTTTGAGCGCGATTCCGGCGACGAAAGGAGCGACGAAGAGGGGTCCGAAGTCGATACGAAGAAGAAAAAGGCGAGCAAACGGGCCGCAGCCAAGAAAGCCGCAGAAGATAGCGACAATAACGACGAAAAATCGGAGGAGGAGGAGTCCGAGCCGGAAACTAAGAAGAAGAGGGCCAGCAAGGCGAGCAAAAGGGCATCGCCCAAAAAAGCCGCCGTAGATAACGACCATAACGACGAAACCTCCGACCAGGAGGAGTCCGAGCCGGAAACCAAGAAGAGATCCAGCAAGGTGAACAAAAGAACCCCGGCAAAAAAGGCTGTTGAAGAAAGCGACGGAAAATCCGACGAGGAGTCTGAGCCGGAAACCAAGAAGAGATCCAGCAAGGTGAACAAAAGAACCCCGGCAAAAAAGGCTGTTGAAGAAAGCGACAATGACGCCGAAAAATCCGACGAGGAAGGGTCTGAACCGGAAACTAAGAAGAAAAAGGCCATCAGAGCCAGCAAAAAGGTGGCTGCTAAAAAGGCTGATAAACAAAAGGACAATGAGGATCAGAATGACGAGGGCGAAGAGGACGGGGAAGATTATGAGGTTGAGAAAGTGCTGGACATGAAATACATCAAAGGTGTGAAACATTTTCTCATCAGATGGAAGGGCTACGAGCCTGAAAGCGACACTTGGGAGCCTCACAACACTTTGGAGTGCTCCGAACTTATTTCTGAGTTCCTGAAGAAGAAAAAACCATCCAAAGAAGAGGGAAAGAAGAAGAAACCAAAAAAAACTACCTCATCCCTATCGGAGGAAGCTTGGAACGAAAATGAGGACTTTGAAGTGAGGATTTTTACTGAAAATTTTAAATATCTAATGTTTTTCGTTTTAGGTCATCAAAATCCTGGATGTGCATTTTAACAAAAATGGCAGCAGGGAGTTCTTGGTGGTTTGGAAGGGATATCCCTCCTCTGAAAGCACCTGGGAGCCAGAGAAGAACATGGACTGCAAGGAAATGATTGAGAGGTTCATGTCAAAGGTCGAAAAGGCACAAGAATCCACCCAAAAAGAGTTGAGGATTCATAGAAAACAAACTGATAGATTTACTTTGAACACAAAGGATACAGGCAGAAGACTCAGTAAACGGGGACAAGGACAACAAAGGTAAATACTCTTATGTCTTAATTCAAATTTTTTAGGTTTTTGTCCATTTTCTTACAGTATTTCTAAAAATTTATGTTTTGGTGGTTTTTTTATTTATTTTTACGTTTTTTGATTTTTTAATTTTTGTGTTTTTATATTTATATTTTTGTGTTTTTATATTTATATTTTTGAGGGTTTTTGATCATTTTTTTAAATATTTTTCACAATGGTTCTAATAAATTTTATATTTTGGCATTTTTTAAGTTTTGCGTTTTTTGATTTTTTAAATATTTTTTTTTTGCCACTTTTTCTTACAAGAAAAGATTAACAAAATTTTTGGTAATTTTTTATATATTTTTTTATAGGTATATTTTGTTTTTTATATTTTGATTTTTGAGGGTTATGTTTATCTTTTCTTACATTTTTAACTGTATTTCTCAGGGTTGGCATGAATAAATTGAAAATTTTACTTTTAATTTAATTGCATTGGAAAACAGGTAAAAAAATTATTTAAAGAATTCCAATTAACATTCAATTACATTTTTAAATTCAGTTGGGTCATTAAAATTTCAGTAAAAAAACTCAACAAGAACTAAAAATGGCGCGATCTGATTGGCTAACCAAAAAGAGCTTAGTTTTGAGAAATTCAAAAATTATTAAATTAAAATGTCTCGACTAATTTGTAGTTAAAATATTTTTTGGTGAAAAGTAAAATAATTATTTCAACCTGTACCTCCAAAAAAATTTATTTTGTATATTAGGTATATTAAAAACGAGATTAAAAATAAATTCACTCAAAAAGTCTGACTTAAAAAAAAACATTTTTTCGGTTTTTGAGTTTTTTTGTCAGTTTTTTAATATTTTTAACAGTATTTGCAACAATTTGTATATTTTTGAATTTTTTTATTGTTTTTTGTTTTTTATTAACTTCTTTGATTTTTTTATTTATTTTGTTTTTATTATGTTTCTTGGATTTTATTTCATTTTTGGTTTTTTTGTCCATTTCTTATATTTTTTACAATAAAAAGTTTTTTCGTTCCTTTTTTTAATTATTTTCTTGGCATTTTTTTTAATTTCAAACGTACGTTTTTAAAATTGAATTTATTTGATTTTTTGTGTTTTTATTATTTTTTTATGGTGGTTTTAATAATTTGTACATATATTTTGGTAATTTTTTATTTATTTTCTTTGATTATTGTTTTTATGTTTTTTTTATTTTTGGAGTTTTTTTGTCCATTTCTTATATTTTTATATTTTTGCGTTTTTTTAGTTATTTTTCTTGGAATTTTTTGAAAATTTTGAATTTTTGTGTTTTTATCTATTTTTTGTCATTGTTTTACAATGGTTTTAATAATTTGTATATTTTGGTAATTTTCAATTACCAAAATATACAAATTATTAAAACCACTAAAAAAATACAAAAAAAAAATATATAAAAACACAAATAATTACCAATTTTTTTAGTAATTTTTAATTTTATATTATATTTCTTTGTTTCTTTTTTCATTTTGGAGTTTTTTTTATGTTTTTTACAGTTTTTACAGTAAATTTTGAACAAGTTTTTAAAATGATTTTTCTTTGATTTTTTAGATTTTTATCTGTTTTTTGATATTTTTTTAAGCGGTTTTAATAATTTGTATATTTTGGTAATTTTTGTTTTTTTGAATTATTTTGTTTTTATTATATTTCTTTGTTTTTTTTTAATTTTTCATGTTTTTTTTGTCTATTTCTTTGTATATATTTTACAAAAAGTTTTCGCGTTTTTTATTTTTGTTAATTATTTTTGATTTTTTGTGTTTTTATCTATTTTTTACAGTAGTTTTAATAACTTGTATATTTTGGCAAGTTTGGAAGGTAAATATGTTATTGTGTTTATTTTTTTCAGAGTCCATTATTTTGATGCTGAATAAAGAATAAAAGTAGTACAAGATTAGTTTTTAAGATTTATGTATTGATAGTGATTTTGTATTAACATTAAGACTCAATTTTGCTATTTTCGACTAAACTGATCTGAATATTATTTTCATTATATTAAAAACGGGGGTGTTTCTAAAAACAGTAAAAAAACACTCAATTAGAAATTCTTCTGTCAGCTAATTTTATTTTTTTGGGCAAAGTTTTGGTTTTTTCTTAATATAGTTCCACTTAATATACTACCATAGTATGTTTCACAGAGTTTTTCTTAATTTATATATAGTTATTATTATAAGATGTTTATTTGGCGTTGTAGTGCAATCTACTTTACCAAATTTTGTACAAATTCTTTCAAAAAACCCATTTGAAAGTGTTTGGTTTTATTTCTAAAAATATCTATATTATTAAATATTTTTATAAGTTTATTTGTTTCTCTGTGTGAATAAATTTTTAATTAAACCGATCTTTTATTTCCCCCATTGCATTTTTTCGATCCAACAAAAATTTTGATTTTCCGTGCGATCTGCGACTTTCCGATCTCATCGGCAACGTCGCGATATGGATCGCGCGCTGCCAACCTAACGTAACGAAAAAACCGATACAGAGTGACAGTTGATTTTGACAGTTGCCGTCATCAATAATAACTAAAATAATGCGATAAAAGGGTTGATTGCGAATATGTGCGAGCCGCAGTGGGACGCTTTGGCCGAGATCTACCTGAAAAAGCAAAACAATCAACCGGAAATCACCTGTTTGTGCAGCAGAGTTTTTATTCGGTAAGTTTACGTTAGTTTGGTTAGAGAGCTGTCATCTGTCAAAAACCGCGTTGCTTGTTTATCGAAATTTTGAATTGCTGAACGGTTTTTTTGAGTTAAAATGTTGAATTATTAACGTTTTCCGCAAAATGAACGACACCATTGCTGTATTTAGTGTGTAAATTACTGTTTGCCTACAATTTTGTTGATATATAAAAACATGAGTTCTTCGGAAGTGAAATGCGATAAAGTAAACGTCTCAATAGCCACGAAACCGCCAGAAATCCAGGATTTCTGCATAATAAAGCCGATAAGTCGCGGCGCGTTCGGCAAAGTCTTCCTGGGCTGCAAAAAAAACGAACATGGACGTCATGTATGCGATAAAAGTGATGAAAAAGACCGAAATGGTGAACAAAAACATGTGTTCGCAAGTTGTCAACGAGCGAAACGCCCTGGCGCTCACCAAAAGCCCCTTCTGCGTGCAACTGTACTACTCCCTGCAAACCCCATCGTCAGTTTATTTGGTTATGGAGTACATGGTCGGGGGGGATTTAAAATCGCTGCTGAGTGTTTATGGCTTCTTCGATGAGTCTATGGCGAGTTTTTACGTCGCTGAAGTATGTTTGGCGTTGAAATACCTTCATCAACACAGCATTATTCATCGGGATATAAAGCCTGATAACATGCTGTTATCCAAAGACGGGCATGTGAAGTTAACCGATTTTGGTTTGAGTAATGTGCATATACACAGAGATTTGGAGATTTCGGACTTTGAGAATTGCACCCCCAACTTGTGCGCGAGAACGCCTGGTCAGTTATTGAGTTTAACCTCACATTTGAGTTTCGGGTCTGGGAATTCAAAATACGCCTGTAAGTTGAACAACAGTGATTTTATTTCGGATTCTAACTCAGATTCCACCACTAATGTGTCGGTTTTGCGGGATAATAACTCTTCTACTCTGGGAAAAAGCGAGTTATTTCAGGCGAGCTTTAAAATGCACTCTAACCTATCCGGGGTGACTTTTTTATCGACTGAGATTACAAACGACGTATCGGAAAATAGCTCGTATCACACATGCACAAGTGCGACTCAGATAGACGATAACGAGAGCCAAAATAATTCGTGTGCTTCACCTGTTAGCAGAAAAATTTCCAGCAGATGCGGTCTGTACAAAAACAGAGTCGAGAGGAAGCGGAAGTTCCGGTCCCCATCGCCAGATCAAGCCAGGAAAGCCTACATAAGAACCGGCTTAACAGGGGAGATGGAAATACTGAGAGTCGATTCGGGTAGTTCCCCGAAAGGGGTTACGTTTTCTACGCCTGTTTCCGCGCAGAAACCCGGCAAGATTAAAAATACGCGTTTCGAGCTCCCCAAGAACGTATCTGCGGATCAAGAACAAGTCTCCTCGAATGGGAACTTGGTGAGCCCCATAAACAGCGAAACAACCACCCCAAAAACCCCCCGGACCCCCTACAGAACCCCCAAGTCCGTCAGAAGGGGGCAATGGAGTTCCGACCAGAGAATCCTAGGCACCCCGGATTACCTAGCCCCCGAGCTTTTACTGAGAATAGGCCACAACTTCGCCGTTGATTGGTGGGCGTTGGGCGTTTGTTTTTACGAGTTTGTGACAGGGATACCACCCTTCAACGACTCAACACCCCAGAACGTCTTCAAAAATATCCTCGAGCACAACATAGAATGGCCTTCCGATGACGAAGCCCTATCCGAGAACACAGTGAACGCAATCGAATCGCTACTGAACCCGAACCCCGAAAAAAGGTCCGGTGCTTGCGAGCTCAGAGAGATGGCGGTTTTCAGTCACATAGACTGGGATCACTTGTTGGAGAAAACGCCCCCTTTCGTTCCCGACCCGTACGATTTAACTGATACCGGTTACTTCCAAGCCAGAAACGACTTACTCAACTTCAACATCTCCAATTTCGATATGTAGACCATTTTTTCGCTGTTTTATATTATGCTTATAGATTAAGTCCAATATTATATAATAGTCCCTCAATCTGTGTTATTTTTATTTATTAACACCAAGAATAAACTTATTTTAGTATTTTAATGTGTTTTATTATTCTGTTGTATGACGAAATTTCAATGTACCTAAACTGGAGAAGCAGGTGATTGCAGGATCTGTATTTTTGTTTATAATTTCAACAAATGACAAGAATTCGTAGGTATATTTTGTCGTTTAAAATGCAGTTGTCGGGGTTTTCTTAGAGGACTCAAATATAAAAATACTCGATTTTGGTTATGTTTGTACAACAATTAATTTTTGTTGGATTTCTTAAAAAAATATATTAGGTAAAGTTTTCATTAGTTAATTCTGCACCAACAAATATACGTACCGTATTGGATCCTTTGGCAAAACATGAAAATGCAACTGTTTAGTTTTATTTACAACTAAAAACACAATAATTCACCATGATCACTTAGATAAAATACACACTAACGTAACCATATAAGCGTTGAGTTTTTTAATGATATAAGGAATAATAAATCCAAATCGAGTAGTAAACCAAAGTGTTTTAGTTTTTACTTGCAACGCGAAACACAAATAACCTACGCGATTTAGCTGTGCAATTGAACAAAATACTTATTTATTTAAAAATGATGTGCATTTTTTATGCTTTAAATGTATTGTTAACAATTCTTGAATTCACACAATGCTATCGAACACCACCAGATGGCGCGAGCGTTGCGAAAACCCGATGCTTTAGTGTATAGAGTACTGTTAAAACCGCGCTCGATCGGTAAAGAAGAGTTCGACACTGCCGGTCGAACGGTTTTGCGTCAAAAAAGGGATATGCTGCCGATTTTTTATTTTGTGTTGTGAAATAAACTTGTAGGTAAGCTATCATGTAAATCAATTCGTCCCCAAATTCACGAAGTGGCGTATATGAAGATTTAAGTTATACAAAAAAGCAATTTTCTGAAATAAACGTTTATCATTTTAAACGTTTATTCCAGAAAATTGGTTTTTTTTGCATAACACAAAACTTCAAACACCCGTATCGGAAGATTTGTGTTATGCATCTTCATATACCTACGCCACTTCGTGAATTTGGTGACGAATTAACCAAGGTGATTGCAATTTTTACCAAGTTGGTAACTTAGATTTATAATGTAACTTCAAGGTAAAGGGAATTATTTACGAAATACTACAGTTCCTTTTACTACTACATGTGCACAACATGTATGGAATGTAATATTACAAAAAAAAAGTATTTTCCAAGTAGGTATTAACCTACCAGCGATTTGTGACCTTTGACCCCTTCCCTGGTTGTCAAACAAAGTCACAAAATTGCCACACTTGACCCCCTAGTGACGTCACAAATTAAGAGCTTGTTGTAATATGTGAACGGCCCCTTTATTTTTATAAATATGTTGGTTTAATTATTAATAGTATATTATGTATCAAGTTTTATAAACGCCATTTTAGTTACGAGTTTTATTAGGCGCGAGCGTGTGTTTAATGAAAACGAGTGTCTAGAGAAGTTTATAAAACGAGTTGCATACTATACTTTATCTACGACGAACACAAAAAAGAATTTTAAGCCAATTTTATTTGTTATAAATTTGACATCTCTCAACTGTCAACAGATTTAACCTCACTTTTTTTAAACAAGCGTTGAATAATTTATTCAAAGCCTAATTTCAAGCGTTCCCCCAAATTGCGTCAAACAAAAGGTCAGTCTGTCATAGAATTCTGTGCGAACATTAGCTAGCACCCTAGTAGCAATTTTGGAAAAGCCTTGGGCCAGCATGGGTCAAGATACTTGGAACAGATTGTTGATCAAGAATTGTATAAGAATTGGTCCAGATTCTTGATCAAGATCATTGGGCAAGACTTGGGCCAGACTGTGGCCGGAATTTGTCAAGAATTTGACCAGAAGTTTGAGGCCATCTGTTACTAAACTTAGGGACTATCCTATAGAGTAGAGGTTCGTTTATTACTGACAAGGTAAAAATAAAAAAATTATGAAATCAATTTTTTTGGAGGCATTATTTCAAACTCAACGCTAAACTGTAAAGAACTGACGTTTTCAAACTTATTGACTACATTATAATTGAGAACCACTGCAATGCTATACTATTCACTTTCAAGTGAAAGTAGGGAAATAGGAGGCGCGCTTGTCGTTTTTTCAGTTTATCACGTAAGTCTATCTCAAGACTCTAGGCCAAGAATTGTCAAATTGTGTATAAAGTGCTTCTCCAAGTATATTGCCGGAGAATCTTGTCCCATTCCATTGCTACTAGGGCATATCTGGAGTAATTGTTTCAAACGCTGTATGCATTCTTGACTCTAATTCGTCCAAATTAATCATTTTTTCATGACGGTACAAGGCAGATTTTACACAGGAAAAATGCGTTAGGAGCCAAGTCTGGCGACCTTGCTGGCCAGCGAATGGTAGAAATTATCCTTTGGGGAAAAATCTCTTCACTATTCTTGTGTTATGTGAACCGTCCTGTTGATACCAAACGTTATCCAAATTTTTTTGGGATATGTTTTGGATTGGAGGAATAATTCTATTTTGAAGAAGATCCAAATATCTCGCTCCATTTAAATTGCCCCCAATTACAAAGGGACCAATAATATTATTCCCATAAATACCAGACCACACGTTCAACTTTTCAGGATACTGAGTCTTTAAGTTTAGTTGCCTGTACTCACTTTCAATAGACCAGTACCGGAAAATAGCAGGATTGTGCATTCCATGTAATGGAAATGTGAATTCGTCGGTAAATACTATGTTTTCAATGAAATGTTCATCTTCATTTGCGCGTTCCATCATATTTTCACAAAATTCCATTCTCCGGTACTCGTCGTCTTGAAAAATTTCCTGATGTACTTGGTATTTATAGGAACGATATATATTTTTTTAATATCTTGTGGACTTTACCCACACTAATGCCGGTCTCTTCGGCTATTTTAGGAATTCATGTATTTGAATCTTCTTCTACCATTGCACAAACCATTATTTCTTTCATCTCCGCATCTACATCAATTCTGGGAGTACTGTGACATTTACACCCCAATATACAACCTTTGGATAACGTTTGTTATTGTTCCAATTGAAGGAATAGAACGTTCCGGATATTTAACTGCGAATAGGTCGCTTGTTTGACGTAGAGAATTGCCCACTAAAGACCAGCGTATCATGTCCATTTTCTCTTGCAATGTGTAGGACATTATAACTTATAATTTTAAATAAAATAAATTAATTTATGTTAAAACGCTCGAAATACACACTAGCAAAAGCAAAACATAACTGAATCGTCGCCTACGCCGGCAATCTGCTTACAATGCATCTGGGAAGGGGCATCTGGGGAGGGGCGATCGGATTCACTTGGGTTCACTCGATTGTTCAAGTTTCAAATGAAAATGCGGTATATGTCGCCTCTAGTCTCAATAAAAGAGAGGTTCCATGTATCAAGCAGGTTCTGTATTACCACCTTCTCCTCTAAATAAATCTTTGTTTAAAAACTCTTATTATCAATAATTAAAACGTTAAATTGCAGGAATAAGGACGTATACAAGGTAAACACTTTTCAAAGCGAGTTTAGTGCATCAGAAGAGGAAGTGCAGAATGAAGAGGAGATTCTGAGTGAATGCAACTCTTTACCGACCATACAACGTACGTCAAGCAAGCCCGAGGTAAATTTGAATTCCCTAGATCTAGGGGCAAAACTGAAATAGAATGCCAAAAACGCAATTTTTAGAACGAAACTGAGACTTTCAGTTGCTACTGCAGCGCCTCTGAACATTTTTGACACAACCATTTTTTAACATTTTTGACACTTGACCATTTTTTACAATTTTTACATTTTTGAAACTTTTTTACCTTTTTTGACACTACCATTTTTGACACTTTTAAACATGTTTGACACTGGAACATTTTTGACACATTTGATCATGTTTGACACTTTTAAACATTTTTGACCATTTTTGTACTTGACCATTTTTGACCATTTGTTACACTTTTGAACATTTTTGACACTTTTGACATTTTTTACCCTTTTTGACAGTACGATTTTTAACAAGACCTTTTTTGAACATTTTTGACACTTGAACATGTTCGAAACTTTTGACCATTTTAGACACATGACCGATAATTTTTGAAACTTTTGAACATTTTTGACATTTTTAAAACTTTTTTGACACTACCATTTTTTACACGACCAGTTTTAATATTTTTGACACTTCTGAACATGTTAGAAACTTATAGGTAAATTTAATTGTGTCATTTTTGTAATAAATGTGTATTCAAACAAAATCTAGCGGATTTTTTTGACAGATTCTGACATCCCTGTTGACACATATGACCATGTTTGACACTTAAAAATTTTTGACCATTTTTGACACTTTTGACACTTTTTACCATTTTGGACACTTTTGACCATTTTTGACATTTTTTACACTTTTTGACACTACAATTTTTGACACGACCATTTTAAACATTTTTGACACTTTTGAACATGTTCGACACTTGACCATTTTTGACACATGACCGATCATATTTGAAACTTTTGAACATTTTTGACATTTTTAAAACTTTTCTGACACTTTTTACCATTTTTTACACGACCACTTTGAACATTTTTGACACTTCTGAACATGTTAGAAACTTATAGGTAAATTTAAATTCCCTAGATCTAGGGGCAACACTGAAATGAAATGCCAAAAACGCATTTTTTAAAACTTTTTTGACACTTTACCATTTTTTACACGACCATTTTTTTAACTTTTGACCATTTTTAAAACTTGAACATTTCTGTCACTTTTGAACATGTTTGACAATAGAACATTTTTGACACATATGACCATGTTTGACACTTTTTGTAAAACTTTTGAGCATGTTTGAAACTTTTGACACTTTTTACCATTTCACTTTTGACCAATTTTGACCATTTTTGACATTTTTTACCCTTTTTGACCCTACAATTTTTTGACACGACCATTTTTGAACATTTTTGACACTTTTGAACATGTTCGACACTTTTGACCATTTTTGACACATGACTGATCATTTTTGACACCTGACATTTTTAAAACTTTTTTGACACTTTTTTCAATTTTTGACACGACTGATCATTTTTGACATTTTTGAACATTTTTGACACCTCTGAACATGTTTGAAACTTATAGGTAAATTTAAGTTTCCTAGATCTAGGAGCAACACTGAAATAAAATGTCAAAAACGCAATTTTCAGAACGAAACTGAGACTCTCAGCTGCTACTGCAGCGCCTCTCACACCGACAACTTTTCCACGGACGAACACGACAGCTTGAGAGACGCCTACGAAAACATCTCGCTGATAAAAGGTTTGCAATCGAGCGACAGCGGCGCCGATTTGACCGAATTCCTGCGTCACGATTTGGACGCGGACTGGCAAAAATTCTGGTCGTTGAACGGCGAAAAGCTCATATGGGAATCGTGGATCGACAAGTACAGCGCATACATTAACCCCGACTATCTTCACACGCAAGATAACACTGAAAAAGGTGAGTTGGTTGGCGTTTCTTACGAGCATAGGAAGAAACAATGCCATCGTCCATCCCTGATGTTGTTTTACCTATGCTGTCATGTTCAATCCAAATTCTGGATAGTAGAAGATCTAGGGTTTTCCATTGAAAATTATTTATTCTTTGTGTTACCATCTTGGGAAGAAACAATGCCTTTAATCATCCCTGATGTTGTTTTTCCCATGCTATCATTTTAAATGGATTCTTAGAAGATCTAGGGTTTTCCATTAAAAATTATATATTCTATGGGTTACCAGCTTGGGAAGAGGCAATGCCATCATTCATCCCTGATCTTGTTTTTTTCATGCTATCGTTTTGAATGATTTTTTTTTCAAATTCTGGATAGTAAAAGATCTAGGGTTTTCTATTGAAAATGAGTTATTCTTTGGGTTACCATCTTAGGAAGAAACAATGCCATCATTCATTCCTGATGTTTTTCTTATGCTATCATTTTGAATGGATTCTTTTTCCAAATTCTGAATAGTAGAAGATCTAGGGTTTTCCATTGAAAATTAGATATTCTTTGGGTTACTATCTTGGGAAGAAACAATGCCATTAATCATCCCATCCATGCTCTCATTTTAAATTTATTCTTAGAAGATCTAGGGTTTTCAATTGAAAATTATATATTCTTTGGGTTACCAGCTTGGGAAGAGGCAATGCCATCATTCATCCCTGATGTTTTTCTTATGCTATCATTAATCATCGCTGATGTTGATTTTCCCATGCTATCATTCTTAGAAGACCTAGGGTTTTCCATTGAAAATTATATATTCTTTGGGTTACCAGCTTGGGAAGAGGCAATGCCATCATTCATCCCTGATCTTGCTTTTTCCATACCATCATTTTCAATGACTTTTTTTTCCAAATTCTGGATAGTAGAAGATCTAGGTTTTTTTTTGAAAATTTGTTATTCATTGGGTTACCATCTTAGGAAGAAACAATGCCATCATTCATTCCTGATGTTTTTCTTATGCTTACATTTTAAATGGATTTTTTTCCAAATTCTGAATAGTAGACGATCTAGGGTTTTCCATTGAAAATTAGATATTCTTTGGGTTACCAGCTTGGGAAGAGGCAATGCCATCATTCATCCCTGATGTTTTTCTTATGCTCTCATTTTAAGTGGATTTTTTTTCCAAATTCTGAATAGTAGAAGATCTAGGGTTTTCCATTGAAAATTGGATATTCTTTGGGTTACCATCTTGGGAAGAAACAATGCCATCATCCATTCCTGATGTTTTTCCTATGCTCTTTTGCATGCTATTTACCAAATTCCAAATGTCAAACTTTACGCGGCGACCATCTTTGTTTTTCAGGATCCAGACAGCCATTGGTGCCGGACAAGTTTAAATTCGACGACAAAGATTTGGCAACGTACACCTGCGAAGTAATCAAATCCGATTCGTCGAGCATTAACAGTAAAAAAGTGCGCGGCGTTTTGAGTCGCGATTTGTCCGGTAGCGACGAGAAAATCGGCAACGACGTCTCCGAAGGGTGGAACCCTTTGTCACCGGCAAGCGTAGAATGCGAAACGGAGGTACCTAAAATAATAAAAAAAGAAGGGTGTAATGTGAAACCTGCTTACAAACATTATTCACATTTTTTTAAATTTGACCATTTTTGACGCGACCATTTTTTACACTTTTGACCATTTTTGACTTTGAAACATTTTTGACACTTTTTACCATTTTTTATACTTTTGAGAATTTTTTCACTTTTGACACTTTTGAACATGTTTGACACTTTAGAACAAGTTCGACACTGGAACATATTTGACATTTTTTACCTTTTTTGATACTACCATTTTTGACATTTTTGACCATTTTGTACAATTTTGACCATTTTGGACACGACCATTTTTTACATTTTTTTACACTTTTGACCATTTTTTATTGACACATTTGACCATGTTTGACACTTTTAAACAATTTTGGTACTTGATCATTTTTTTGAACGTTTTTGACACTTTTGTCCATTTTGACATTTTTTACCTTTTTTGATACTACCATTTTTGACATTTTTGACCATTTTGTACAATTTTCACCATTTTGGACACTTGACCATTTTTGACACATTTGACCATGTTTGACACTATTAAACAATTTTGACACTTTTGACCATTTTTTTGAACGTTTTTGACACTTATGTCCATTTTGACATTTTTTACCATTTTTGAAAGTATTTGACACTTTTGAACATGTTCGACACTTTTGACCATTTTTGACACATGACCGATCATTTTTGACAAGTAAATATTTTTTGTACAATTTTGACCATTTTGGAAACTTGACCATTTTTTACATTTTTTGACACTTTTGACCATTTTTTGTTGACACTTTTGACCATTTTTGACGCATGACCGATCATTTTTGACAAGTGAATATTTGTGACGGCCATTTTTAAACATTTTTGACACTTGACATTTTTTTTTACCTTTTTTGACACTTTACCATTTTTGACCCGACCATTTTTGAACATTTTTGACACTTCTGAACATGTTTGAAATTTTTGACCATTATTGACATTTTTTTTTACCTTTTTTGACACCACCATTTTTGACACATGACCGAACTTTTTTTAAACTTGACCATTTTTGACACTTTTGAAATTTTTTTTACAGTTTTTGACACTTTTTACCATTTTTGAACATGTTTGACTTTTGACCATTTTTGACATTTATTTACCTTTTTTGACACCACCATTTTTGACACTTGACCATTTTTGACACATGACTGAACATTTTTTAAACGACCATTTTTGAACATTTTTGACACTTGACTATTTTTGACACTCCGGACATTTTTTTTACCTTTTTGACACTTTGACACGACCATTTTTGAACATTTTTGAAACTTCTGAACATGTTTCAAACTTTTTACCATTTTTGAAATTAACTTGACCATTTTTGAACATTTTTGACACTATTTTTTGACATTTTTTTTACCTTTTTTGACACGACCATTTTTGAACATTTTTGAAACTTCTGAAGATGTTTAAAACTTTTGACTATTTTTGCACTTTTGACTTTTGACATTTTTTTACCTTTTTTGACACCACCATTTTAGACACTTAGACACTTTTGACCATTTTTGAACATGTTCGACACTTTTGACCGTTTTTGACACATGACCGATCATTTTTGACAAGTGAATATTTTTGACACTTGACTACTATTTTTGACACTTGACATTTTTTTACCTCTTTTGACACGACCATTTTTTAACATTTTTGACACTTTTGAACATTTTTGTCACTTTTGACCATTTTTGACACTTTAAATTATGTTTGACACTTTCGAACATTTTGAACACTTTTGACCATTTTTGACACTTTCTGACTCGAGAGCAAAGCAGGTACCACATTACTAACCTAAAACGATGCAAGAAGTCTTGGATGTTAAAAATTCACAATTTGTGCAGGTGGAGCGGCTTCTGAGTTCTCGTTGCGGCTCCCAGGCGAGCAGTTCCCTTCGCACTGTTGACTCCATGACAAACGTCACTCGCATGACGGTATCTTCGATAGATTTGAGCCCGAGTTCCGACAGCTTCTCATCGGTAAGTTCCGCGCAAAGCTCCCTGAGCAGCGAAGATTCCGAGGAGGACTACCAAAATCAGTGGAACGTTTTGTGGAAAAAACATTACGAGGAAGAGTACACCGAGCAGTACAACAAGTTTATGTCGTCTATGCTCGATGCGGGTGAGGTCACAACGAGTAACACGAACACCTTCTTGAAGAGTCAAGCGATTCTGCCCAAGAGAAACTTCCTGAAAACTTTGGCCTCCAAGGGGGAGTTCTCCTTATTGTCCGATACTTTGGGCGAGCTGTTGAGCTCGTTACACGTCAGCACGGAAAGCAACATGGAGGAGGAAAAATTGGCCAGCGGTTCGGAAGACAACAACGAGCAGCAAACGATGCTCGCAATGGGTCTTCCCGTATCTTTCGGCACGAAAAACAACCCCAAACAAAAACAAGACCCCAAGTTAACCTCGACGGACTCTTTCGACGCTTCCCGCAGCAGAATCAAGGCTGCCTTTAATCTAATAGGTATCGAATACCAGGAAAACAATGACGAACGTTACGGTGGCAACGTGGATTACAAGTTGAAACACATCAGGCTTCAAAACCGGCACTTAAAGTTGAAACCGCAAGCGAAGAAGGCCAAACACACTCGCTATGATGATGACGGCAACGTTGTGGAGGAGGCAGAGGTCGACGAAGCTGAGGTAAGTGCGGCAACTGTGGGTTGTTTGGGATGGGGAATTTTATTGCTATCCACTTTCCATATTTGGAAAAAGCTACTCCTGCTTTTTTTAAATAGATGGCGTACAAAAAATGTATGCTTCATTTTGATAATTTTACTTCAGAAACTAAAAAATATATAGAAAGTCGAAAGTATTTTAAATTTATCAACAATTTGAGTAAATGGGAATTATTAGCTTCTCAACAATTTTTTTATACTATTTATTCATCCGCGTCCACTTCCGCATCCGCCAACTAAAAAAATATAAACAAAATATAAAGTCAAAGTATTTTCATTTTTTTTTCAAATTAATCAACAATTTGAGTAAATGGGAATTATTAGCTTCTCAACTGGGAATTTTAAGAAAAATAGGTTGGCAATTTGATAAAACAATTTTTTTTATACTATTTATTCATCCGCGTCCACTTCCGCATCCGCAAACTAAAAAAATATAAACAAAATATAAGTCAAAGTATTTTAATTTTTTTTTAAATTTATCAACAGTTTGAGAAAAAGGGGAATTATTAGCTTCTCAACTGGGAATTTTAAGACAAATAGGTTGGCAATTGGATAAAAACAATTTTTTTATACTATTTATACATCCGCGTCCACTTCCGCAACAACTTCCGCATCCGCAAACTAAAAAAATATAAACAAAATATAATAAGTCAACTGGGAATTTTAATAAAAATAGGTTGGCATTTTGATAAAACAATTGTGTATATTATTTATACATCCGCGTCCACTTCCGCAACAACTTCCGCATTTGCAAAACAAAAAAATATAAACAAAATATAATAAGTATTTTAAATTTATCAACAATTTGAGTAAATGGGAATTATTAGCTTCTCAATTGGAAATTTTAAGAAAAATAGGTTGGCAACTTAATAAAACATTTTTTATTCTATTTATATACATATGTACTGTCTGTCCACTCTAAGTTGGCGGAACTAAGGAATTTTGTTGTTTAGATATTAAAGAATTGTCGTACTGTGTGCTTTTAAAACAGATTTTATATTATAAATAATACTAGTATATAATATGTACTAGTATTATTTATAATATAAAATCTGTTTTAAAAGCACACAGTACGACAATTCTTTAATATCTAAACTACAAAATTCCTTAGTTCCGCCAACTTAGAGTGGACAGACAGTATGTATGTTTATATTTGAAATTCTTTTAAATTTATCAACAATTTGAGTAAATAGGGAATTATTAGCTTCTCAATTGGGAATTTTAAGAAAAATAGGTTGGCAACTTAATAAAACATTTTTTAAATTCTATTTATACATCCGCGTCCACTTCCGCAACAACTTCCGCATCAGAAAACTAAAAAAATATAAACAAAATATAAAAAGTCAAAGTATTTTAAATTTATCAACAGTTTGAGAACATGGGAAATTATTAGCTTCTCAACTGGGAATTTTAAGAAAAATAGGTTTGCAACTTGATGAAACATTTTTTTTTTTAATATTTTTAGATCCGCCTTTAATTCCGCAACACAAAAAAATATAAACAAAATATAATAAGTCAAAGTATTTTAAATTTTTTTAAATTTATCAAAAATTTGAGTAAATAAGGAATTATTAGGTTGGCAACTTTATAAAACATTTTTTTATTCTATTTATACATCTGCGTCCACTTCCGCAACAATTCCGCATCCGGAAAACAAAAAAATATAAACAAAATATAATAATAAATCAAAGTATTTTAATTTTTTTAAAATTTATCAACAATTTGAGTAAATAGGGAATTATTAGGTTTGCAACTTTATGAAACATTTTTTGTATAATATTTTTACATCCGCGTCCACTTCCGCAACAACTTCCGCATCCGCAAAACAAAAAAATATAAACAAAATTTAAAAATAAGTCAAAGTATTTTAATTTTTTTTAAATTTATCAACAATTTGAGTAAATAGGTTTGCAACTTGATGAAACATTTTTTTTATAATATCCTTACATCCGCGTCCACTTCTGCAACAACTTCTGCATCCGCAAACTAAAAAAAATTAAATTTTTTTAAAATTTATTAACAGTTTGAGAAATTGGGGAATTATAAGCTAGCAAAAATATACTAATGACATCTGTTTAAGCTTCTGTTTACGATCTTTTAGCTAAATTTCCAAAGCATTTTGGAGGACGACGACAGTTCCGATAACGATTTAATTTCGTGCGAGGACGAATTCGCCTCGACGGAGACCATAACCGCAAAACTCGAGGAGACGAACCAGGACGCGAAAACGCCCAAAAAAAAGAAACGCAAAAAGAAATCCAACTTGCCGTTGGAGATCAAGGAGAATGCCAAGCTGCGGAAGTACTGGCACCGCCGCTTTTCCCTCTTCAGCAAGTTCGATCAGGGCATCAAACTGGACGAGGAAAGTTGGTACTCCGTGACGCCGGAAATAGTGGCCAAGCACACCGCAGAAAGGTTAAAATGTGACGTCATCGTGGACGCTTTCTGCGGAGCCGGCGGAAACGCCATACAGTTCGCCAAAACTTGCCAACAAGGTAAACATGCTTTAAGAATTGGTTGTCCGTGTTTTGTATGCTCTAACCCTGATAGCAAAATTTGATTCTAAGAATCTTCTAAGAAGATATGACCCGGAATAATGGAATATTCTTAGAACCTTCCCTTATTGCTAAGAATGTTCTTAGGGACTTTTAAAACATTCAATATATACCCTTTTAATGATGCAATTAGATTCTTAGAAGCTTCTTAAAACCTTCCTAAAAAGCATTCTAAGAACATTTTAAGAATACGTTTTTGGAATGTTCTTAGAAGGTTTCTTATGGAGCTTCTAGGAAGCTTTTGAGAATATTTCCAAATATGTCAGATACCCACGTTCTAATATGTTGAATTCTACATTCGTAAAATTCTTCAGGAGGCGACAAATACGCCTCACTGTCATAATATGACAGTGAAATGTATTTGTTGTCCCCTTAAAAAATTTTGCGACATATTAATATATATTTATTTAAAAATATTAAATAAACAATTTTACCTCTAAACCATAAGTTGTATGACATTATTTCATAAAAAGTAAAATTGTAAAATTTTGTGGGATAAGTCAGATTAGATTGAAGTTGAAGATAGTTAGGATTATTATACATAAAAATGTTAATGTTAAAAGATATAAAAAATCGGTATACAAATTAATAAATATTTATTTTTAACAAAATAAAATATAAAAAAACAAAATATTTCCTTATAAAATAATTCTTCTAAGAAAAAACCAAATAGTTCTTCATAAAAAAAAACATTTTTCATTGTATTTATAATCTTCTTTCCAACTTATAATTTGGATAGAAGATTTTATGTAAAAGCCGGATAATTTAGATACCTATAGTAAAAGTATTTTTGTTATCGAATATTGTTTTAATTTGACAAATAACTATAAAAAAATATTTTGGGTTGTGTTTTTTACTTAGTATTTAATAATAAGTATAGGTACCTTTATACGTAGATTATGGTATATTTTACTATTATATAGGTACCTAACTGAACTGAATATGCTTAACAGAATGTTCCAGAAATATTCCTAAATGAACTTTCTATAGCAATTACTTTCTCAACATTCTAAGCATATGTTTAGAGTGGATTAATTTTTACCACTAAGCTTTGCACCTTCTAAGAACCTGCCTATAGGCCAGTGAGAATATTCTTAGGATTTTGCTATATTTCTTCTAAGCATGTTCTTTAGAAGAAATATAGCATGATCCTAAGAATATTCTTACTGGAAGGTTTAAAAAACATTCTCAGAACATGACTAGAAGAAATATAGCATGATCCTAAGAATATTCCCACTGGAAGGTTTAAAAAACATTCTTAGAATAAACTGTGCTATCAGGGAAGGATTAATGCCACAACAACCAATCAAAATGAAGTTTCTTCTAGAAGAGTTTCTCCTGGCAAAGTCTGACAATCAAGTTGCCTGGTTTTAAAACCTTGGACAATATACTTAATGCATGCAATTATTGTCTAAGATTTTATTTAAAACCGGGCGACTTGATTGTCAGACTTTGACAGAAGAAACTTTGTTCTGATTGGTGGCTTTTTTAGTGATCGCAATAGACATAGACGCGAAGAAGATCGAGTTGGCGAAAAACAACGCCGAGGTTTACGGCGTTGCCGATAAGATCGAGTTCGTGGTGGGGGATTTTTTGACCCTCTGCAGCGGTTTGAAGGCCGACGCGGTTTTTATGAGCCCCCCTTGGGGGGGACCCTCCTACCTGAGCATGCCCGTCTACGATTTGGCAACAATGCTGCAGCCCGTGCCCTATGCGGAATTGTTGCAGTGCGGCATGCGGATTTCGCGGAATTGCGCGGTTTTCTTGCCCAGAAATAGCAATACTCATACCGTAAGTAAAAAAATAAAATAAATTGTGTGTACAAATACGATTTATTTATTTTTTCAGTTGATTTCCGAGGCAGGACCCGGCGGTAAAGTGGAAATCGAGCAGAATTTCATCAACCAAAAACTCATCGCAATTACAGCTTACTACAGTGATCTCATTAGGGAAAAATAAATTTTATTTCAAGTTTTAATTTAGTTTTAAGCTTTAAGTGTAAGTTTTTACGGGTTAATTTGAAAAATAAACCATCGCAAGTTACATGTTTGTATTATTTACACCACGTTTACAACAACTCCCGTATCCTCAAACGAAAAAAATATAAACAAAATATAATAAGTCAAAGAATTGTAGGTTTTTTTTAAATTTGAGTAAATGGGAAATTATTAGCTTCTCAACTGTGAATTTAAAAAAAAATAGGTTGGCAACTTAATAAAACATTTTTTGTATACTATTAATACATCCGCGTCCACTAAAAAAATGTAAACAAAATATAAAGTCAAAGTAATTTAAATTTTTTCAAATTTATCAACAATTTGAGTAAATGGGGAATTATTGGCTTCTCAACTAGGAATTTTAAGAAAAATATGTTGGAAACTTGATAAAACATTTTTTAATACTATTTATAGATCCCCTCCACTTTCGCAACTACTTCCGCATCCACTTCCGCAACAACTTCCTCGAACGAAAAAAATATAAACAAAATATAACAAGTCAAAAAATTTTAGGGTTTTTTTCAAATTTATCAACAATTTGAGTAAATGGGAAATTAGCTTCACAACTGTGAATTTTAAGAAAAATAGGTTGGCAACTTGATAAAACATTTTTTGTATACTATTAATACATCCGCGTCCACAAACGCATCCGCAAACTAAAAAAATATAAACAAAATATAAAGTGAAAATATTTTAATTTTTTTCAAATTTATTAACAATTTGAGTAAATGGCTTCTCAACTAGGAATTTTAAGAAAAATAGGTTGGAAACTTGATAAAACATTTTTTATACTATTTATATATCCACATCCACTTTCGCAACAACGTCCGCATCCGCAAAAGTGGGAAATTTTTACGAAAAATAGGTGGGCAACTTTATAAAACATTTTTTTAATACTATTTATACATCCGTATCCACTTCCGCATCTGCAAAATTACAAAATATAAACAAAATATAAATCAGAGTATTTTAAATTTTTTCAAATTTATCAACAATTTGAGTAAAAGTGAAAATCAAGCAAAATGAAATTTAAAGTGTAAGTTTTTACTGGTTAATTTAAAAAATAAACCATCGCCAACCAAGTTATTTGTTTGTATTATTTACAGCACGTTTTACAAAAACATGTTTTTGGTTGTTAAATCATTGCAATGATTTAAAAAGAAATCTAGCAACGTTGCACGCGGCTAAAATCTAGGGGAATTTAGTTCTAAAATGCCTGACGTTTCTCGATGTCAGTTGTTTTGTTAAAGCACCCACAAACGTCAAAAAGCCACAATTTTGGTTGAATATTGAAAAAATGGGCATATTAAAGGTAAGTTTGTTATATTTACTATTTCTCTAATTAGATTTTCCATACTATTTAAGCACAATGTAGTTAATAAGCTGGTAACCCCTTTGGTTGAGGCTTGGTTAAAATACCTACACTTCTCATTTTATCTTTATCACTGTAGAATTCGTAATCAGTGTTTGTATAATTATAATTACCTTAATTAGTCGGATTTAGATAAAAGGTAGATAAAGTACAAAATCATTTATCAAATAATTTCGGTGTGTTTACAATAGGTACACCTTTGTTTATATTATTGCAATTAGATTTTTCGTTAATTATTTGAATTAAAACTGTTTTAAAAACGCTGTTTTTCCTTAAATTCTTATCAGAAATTCTTTAAAATTTATTACTTCACTTTTACAGTAATTTACTTTTTCATTCATATTCTTATCTAGTCATTAATTATTCAAAATACTAGTTTAAATGGTTGTTTGTGGGGCATTCTAAAACAATTTATTTGCATTATTGTACATTATTTATTAGTAGTGTTTTATGGTTATATACAGGGTGTTTTGGAAGGAATCTTAGATACTTAGAAGGTGATAGAATTTGTATTTTAAGTAGAAACCTCAAAGGGTTCCACAAGGAGCCATTTGGGGACCCTTATAATCTCTCATACATATAAACAATATTTATCTTCAAATTTTTTTACGGTTTTAAGATGGTTTGGACGATTTTAAGACACTTTGGACAGAATAAAGACATTACCGAACACTTTCAGTTTTTAGAGGCCTATTCTCTTTTGTTTGGTACAGTATACAGTACAGTATCATTATCAAGCTTAGTGATTGTCTTAAATTAATTAGTAATCATGAATTAATTACTTATTCATAATTAATTCCTAATTAATTATAATTATAAATGAAAAAGGAACAAATCACATAAGGGGTCACGCCAAACAAATAAAAACATTTTTTTTTGTTGCAATATTAAAAATATTTTTATGATTTGTTTTTTTTAATTATCATAATAATATCAAAATACAAACTTTGCTTTACTAAATTGTTTAATAAAATTAAATAACTTAGAAAAAAAACAGAAAATTAAAAAATCTTAGTGTTACATGAGAATTTGGTGGAGGGAGGTCAAGACCTCTAATAACTATATATATAGGTAGAATAAAAAAATAACTTGGAAGAAATATATTTTATTAAAAAAATACAACAAATATAAAACATCAAATATTATTACTCAAAAAAAAAAATGGAAAACAAAATTATAAGAACTGATAAAATACAAAAAAATTTACATGTATATAAAAACTCATCTCAATTTTTTTCTTCAAATAAGAGCTCAAACTTTCTGTATAATTTTAAAATCCATTTTAGGATTTATCAAAATCTTTTAAACCTCTACACCAAAGAACACTCTACACCTTCGCTACTCATCAGAGTTTGAGTTGGACTTTCTCTTGGCCTCTTTTTGCCTCTCTGTTGTAGAAGGGGCCCTTCCACACAGCCTGTGTTGACCTTAAAGGCTGGTAAATGCTGAGTTCAAAATATGGTAATCCCTACACCACTAACTTCCCTGTTAGGGCTGATAATTTATCCTCAATGTCATTAAGTTGTTTTACTGGCTCCCCTTTTCCTTACATGGGACTTTAAGTCACTAAAAGTCTGTGTAAAAATAAGTTACGAATAGTTATTTTAAGATTACTCTTTTCCATTTAAGGATGGATAGCTCCACCAAAGGATCTGTTCTTTGGCTAGTTCAGCATAAAACGTTTTTTCCAAGTATTTTTAGAATTTGTGGGATTTCTTAAGTTTATTTTTAAGTACATTTAATATATTAAATATCGCCAATGATTTTTAAAATAATTATTTAACACAATTTTAGTTTACGATCTGCGACTTTTAGGTTATAAAACTAAGATACTCTCTGTCCTAGAAATAGATTTTTATGAACAGCTAGAAAGGGAATAGGCCTCTTAGTAATTTTTTTACTCGTAAGACTGTTCAAAGGTTTTTTTGATATTTTGACATTTTCAAAACATAGAAACTAAGAAAGAAATTTTATTGTATTTAAATTTGTCTTGTGTATTGTAACATGTCTATTATAATAGAGTTATAAAGTTTTTATTGTCTAAAAAAAATTCAAATTAAAATTAAAGTAAAATCAAAAATGGTTTGTTAACTGTGTAATTTTTTAAATGAATGGTTTTACGAAAAAAAATTATTTTTTGGTAAGTAGTAAAATTTCCTACAAATTTGTTTTTGTCATATTTTTCAAAATTGTTTTATACTATACTATAAATAATTAGGATAATACCCAAGTAAAAAAATATCTTGGGGGATAACACCCTAGTACACAGAATATTTTAGAATAAATCTAAAATACTTATAAGGTAATAAATAAATAGTTTAAGTAGAAACTTTCAAACCCAGCAAACACAACCGTAAAGGTTCTATAATGGCCCTTTAATGAACTAAAGGCCCTAGAAAGGTTAACTCTAATGGAACTGTACATAATATGTATAATATTATTATGTCGCGTTCACCTTTAATGGTCATGTAACGGCAGTCAATAAGCACTTACAAGAACCATTCCATTTTTTGATATGGCGCGCTAAAGGTTCTGATAGGGCAGATTAAATGTACACATGTGGCAAGCTAAAGTTTCTGATATGGGGTGGTAAAGATTCTATAGTGGTTATTTAAATAATTTTTAATGGATAAGTGAAGTATCCATTATGGTGGATTAAATGTGGGGACATTCCACGAAAATTTGAACTTTTTTGTAAAAATTAAACATTTAATATTTAATATATAAATGTTAAATTTTAAATATTAAAGGCTTAAAATATACAAAAACAATAAAAACTAAATACTAAAATTAAAAAGCAGTAGGTATTTATTTATTAATTTGAACTTATTTAATCCGTTTATTTATTTTCAATGTAAAATATAAGTAAATAATTTTGCTTTGTATTAATGATCTGGCTCTTTTTAAGGACTTTCTAACTTAAAATTTATTTAAATAAGTGTTTATTGTTAAGCTTGTTTAACGTTTGTCAAAAGAATGTAAGTTATTATTTGTTAAATAAATTGTTTTAATTGACATGCCTATTTGTCCCACCCGTCACAAAAAAACCAAAATAGTTTTGATTTTAATAGAATTAATAATTTTTTTGGAAGCAGATTTTAATAGCAAATAAAGTCAATAATATCAAAAGTTTGGGGGTAATTTCAAGTCTATTAACTAAAATTTAAATTTTTTATAAATTATTATAATTTGTCCTACCCGTCACACTACGGCGTGTTTTGTAACTTTTTAAGTTAATCTATTTAAAAATCAGTTATCAGTTATTGTTAATGCAGGTGCAGTAGGTAAAATCCAATTTTTCTGCATCTATATATAGATCTTATATAAAAATACATCTAATTTAAATTCAAAAAATTCAATATTCAAACATTGTTAAAAATGTACTACAAAAACTAATTAATAAGGTTTTTTCTTGTCACCCTTCGAAATGCTATCTATCTATCTATACTATCTTTTATTTAGATATGGATTCAGCTGAAGCTGCACGAAAAAGTGGAGATAAAATTAAAACAGACCCTATAAAATATATAAAATTTATATAAAATTAAAAAACTAGGCATATAAAAGAAGGGCTGAAAGAAAAAACTTATTGAAAAATACAGAAGATTTAAACGCTGCCTGTGTGTGGCTAAATAACGCCAAAGAAAAGATTTCGTATGCCATTTTAAGTAATAATTTATCTCATGATAAGTCTTTAGTCTGGACTTTTACAAAGAAAATAGTTTCCCATTTAAAAATTAAATGCTGCACTTTAGAACATATAACATTTTTTACCGACGGTTGTGCTGGGCAATTTAAAAATCGATATATCTTGTCTAATATATGTAACGCGCCTCATGATTGGGGTTTAAGTGTTGATTGGGCATTTTTTGTTACCAGTCATGAAAAAGGCGCAATGGGTAAGGTTGGAGCATCAGCTAAAAAAAATGTTGGTCAGAAATTAAATTTAGAAAAGGACAATTAATCCTCCAAAAGAATATTTTGAGTATTCAAAACATCTTAAAAATTTATAATTGTTTTTACATAGATACCTACTATCAAAATAAAAGAGGCTGGCGCAAATTTACCAGACAAATGAAAGAATATAAAACCCTTAATTTACAACATTTTTTTAGAGCTGAAAATGAAAATCTTTTACATAGTGTAACAGCATATTTAAAACAAAATCTTCAATGCACATTATAGGGTTAAATAATGTTTTTTCTTATAAATTTAAATTAAATAAAGTAGTAATATATTTCCTAACCTTATTAATTTCAACTTGTCCCACCCGTCACATAATAATGTCCCGCCCGTCACATTTTTAATATCGCATTATATTTTTTATTGACTTTATCAACATGTTTTTAAAAAAAATATATAAACGCATTATATAGTACAAAGACTTTTGTAACGAAAAAAAAATTAAACATATTATAGTTTTGTATAATTTAGCAGAATTTTGCTTCCAAACAATAAGTCATAAAAATATCGTTTTTTGCTTGTCCGACCCGTCACAATAAAAAATTACTTTATAAAACTAAAAAAGTCTATAAAACTAAATAGTATGACAAGAAACTTGTATTGTTTATTTAGATGTTGTATGGGTGTTTAAAAATATTAGGGTTCCATGGATAAAAAACCTTACAATAATAAAATATAAATTGAATAAACATATACAAACTAGTACAAGTGTCCCACCCGTCACATGGAATGACCCTGTGGTAGGTATATATTTATTAGATAGGGATATTCCACGATAATCAGAAATTGTAATCCCTACCGTCACAATACAATTTTTGACGGTCGGGATAAAAATTTCCGATTATCGTGGAATATCCGACCCAATAAATATAAATACACCACATTTAATCCACCATAATAAATACTTCCATCCATTACATTAATTAATATATTATCGTGAAATTTAATATTAAAACATTAATAAATTTTCAAGAGAAAATACAAAGCAATGTGTTGTAATAAAGACCTATAGAAGTAAAACATAACAATTTTATTTTAAAAACTGTTTATTAGGTAATAAATGGAATCCATAATATTTAAAAATATAAAAAACCTTAAACTAAATAGAAAATATTTAAAATTAGAATATATATTTACAAATAAGTTCACTTGATAACAAAGAAAACCAGGTTATTTTTTATGTGGTATAACACACATTGGAGCTTTCGCCAAAATGCCATTATTAGTCCATGAAACTATGCAATGGGCCATTACATTATCAAACTTATGTGTTTGCTGGGGGGTTCCCCAAGGAACCATTTGGGGACCCTTATAATCTCTCTAACATATAAACGATATTCACCTTCTTAGTTTTAAGATAATTAGGACAGTTATTTTTTTTAAATTAACAAATAACACTTTTGACAACTAAGTATTGAAAACACTCTGTACGGTTTTGTAGTGCCCCACAACAACGAATATATAGTAATGTAGAATGGGTTAAGGTATTGAAACTTCTTTCTAGGTGAGGTGACGGTGAGGTCTGCTCTCGGTAGGACACATCACAACTACTAAATTAATAAAATCACTCGTACTATAATATTTATTTACTAATTCTACCTGGTGGTTGGTAAACCTTCTAAAACACAATCATACAAACACGAATAGTACAAAAAACAAGCACGAAGCGGTGCGGGTTGCATGTTTAATATATCTAGTCACTTACACTAAAAAAAAAATGACGTACACCAAAGAAAAAGCGAAGGTACCGAAGGCTCGCAAATACGCGTGCGAGATCTGCAACAAGGTGTTTCTGGGCAGCAACGATCTGCGCAAGCACATCAGAATCCACACCGGCGAGAGGCCGTACAAATGCACCGAGTGTTCGATGGCGTTCCGGCAGGCCGGTTGCCTGAAGAACCACGTGGCCGCCAAACACTCGACCGGTGTTGTTAGAACCGAAGTCTTCATCTGCAATTATTGCCACAAGGTTTTCCCCATTAAAGAGCGACTGAGGCTGCATCTGCGCATACACACCGGCGAAACGCCGTACAAGTGCTTCGTGTGCGATAAAAAGTTCGCCAGGGGCGGCCAGTTGATACAGCACATGAGGAAACACACCGGTTCCAAACCGTTCGTTTGTAATGTGTGCAATAGATCCTTTACCTGTTCGGCAAACTTAAAGTTGCACACGAAACGTCACTTGGAGATCAGGGATTACATCTGCGATATATGCGGGAAGAGCTTTTTTCGCCGCGACGCCCTGCGTAAACATTTGAACGGCATACACAACAACATGAAGGCGTTCCACTGCGAAGTCTGCAACAAGGACCTCAAAGGGCATCTGCCGCAGCACATGCGCACTCACAACAAGGAAAAACCGCACGGGTGCGCGCACTGCGGCGCTACCTTCGCCCAACGTTCGCAACTTACAGTACATCAGAGGATACACAGCGGGGAGAAACCGTATCGGTGTCAGGTGTGCTGGAAAGCGTTCGCCCACTCCACGGCTTTGAAGCTGCACACGAGGCGTCACACCGGGGAAAAACCGTTCGTCTGCGTGCTGTGCGACAGCAGTTTCTCGCAGCTGCCGCACCTGAAGAAGCACATGCTGTGCATACACAAAAGCAGCAAGCCGTACGTGTGCAGAGATTGCAAATCGTTTCACAAGACCAAGATCGACTTGGAGGCGCATCAGAAGAAGTGCAAGGCGGCCAAAAAGAAACCGAACGTGGACAGTACCAAGGAGATAAGCACACCTATGACCATAGAGAAAATGCGCTTCTTGCTTGCCATTCTGCTTAAGAAGATATCCGCCCCGGAGAAACTCGACGAGTTGGGCTTCAATAAGCGCCTCATAGATGACGTTCTGATGGAATCCATAAAAAATTCCGGTAGGGAGCCTTGTGCCGAGAAGATTCCTCCCGCCCAGAAGCTAAAGAAAAACATACAAATACTTTTGGAATGGACTGTACCTGAACAATATTGGCTCAAATTTAAGAACGAACAACGCTCCGTTGAGGAATTACTGGAAGAGCTGACGTCGTAATTTTCAAATCATATCTCCAATGTTTAGTAGTTATCTGGACCGCCTGTTTTTTATTTTAAACGTTTTTGTGATGCGAAGTGCGAATTGCGAAAACGAATATTCGCTTTCGCCACTATTATAGGGACGTTGTTTTCTCACTAGACGATATTTGCCATGCCATTTTAAATACTTAAATAGTAAAGTTAGTTAATTGTAAAAAAATAAACATTGTCCGTTATACACTCACAGGCAAAATAATCGATCCACACAAATTTTCGATGAATTTCAATCGCAAATAACTTATTTATTTGATTTCGGATTTAAACGAATATTAAAGAATATTGTAGATAAATTTATGGACAATCGCTCAAATTTTAAAAAATTACTAAAAAATAGACGTACGTTTATAATATACAGGTTTAAACGAAAATATGTTTTTTACCATAAGTTTAAGTAGAGTGGCAAAACCGTATATTGTTCTAAATTAAGTTTTATTTATAAAAAAATATACATTTTTTTTAAATATTGCAATTTCCAATATTTTTCTGTATGAACAACTAAGGTTGCTATGGTCCATCCATAGGCTATGGAGAATGACAGTGACAGTTTTGTTGAATCATCCCATACTTGGACATGTCATACACGGCTTTCAAAAGCTATCAAATTGTTTTTTGTAAATTAATGTTTAAATTTTGAGGTGTCTTCTTACTTTAAAAAATGGATATGTCTCCGACTGATGTTGCCAGAGCCATTAATTTAATCCAGGATGGACGGCCACAGTATTACGTGGCAAGGGTTTTAATCGTCACAAGAAGTAAAGTACAAAGGGTAACATCATTGGGAGACATTTTTAAAAGTAAGAAGACACCTCAAAATTAACACATTAATTTACAAAACACAATTTCGTATATGGCATGTCAAGTATGGAATGATTCAACAAAACTGTCACTGTCGTCCTCCATAGGCTATGGATGGACCATAGCAACCTTAGTTCTTCATACAGGAAAAATATTGGAAATTGCAATGTTTTTAAAAAAAATCCATATTTTCCACAAAAATAAATATATCAAGGTGAACCAAAAACAAAACTGTTAAAAATAGATGTGACTTGATAATTAAAACTTAATTTAGAACAATATACGGTTTTGCCACTCTACAGAGTGTCTTAAACTTATGGTAAAAAACATCTTTTTGTTTAAACCTGTATATTATAAATGTACGTGTATTTTTTAGTAATTTTTAAAATGTGAGCGATTCTCCATTAATGTATCTACAATATTCTTTAATATTTGTTTAAATCCGAAATCAAATAAAAAAGTTATTTGCGATCGAAAATTTGTGTGGATCGATTATTATAGTGAGTGTATAAAACTCTAAACACTTATTTAAACAGTTCGGATAAAAGTCACGTAAACAAACACTACGATACAAACGAAATAAACATAAATCGCGTGGGTATGATAAGCAATTGCATTATCATCTATCAATCTCAAGATTCCCGCCCCCTAGATTTCAAATCTTGCGAATTCGCAGGATCTGTCAAAACGCTTTTTCCGCCAAATCAAATGGACCAACGAAAACATTTTTCGCTATTCGCATTTCGCAACTGTTTGAAACCGACTTTATCTTGCAAAGATATTTGCATACATTAAAAAATAGGTGGTCCATTGTTTAGCCTTAGTAACAAATTTAAATCTAATTATTATACAGAGAGTTGATATTGTAGCTTGTAAATTTTATAGGACACTACAACACTATTTTAATATTAGTACAACGAAATTTTACACTTGTAATCAAAAGTTCCACATAGCATACCAAAGAAATGTATAATCAAATAGGTGTTCCTAATTTAATATATCACACAGGAAAACATTTTTTCCGGTGTTTTTAGAGGGGTAGATGGGTGTTCTCAATCTAAAACTATTATATTTACTTTTTGTATATATATTTTTCACTGCCATTTAGAAGTCTTGCCTTTATGTAATAGGTATTGCGATTTGCCTACTTTTTCTTGCTTATTGTGCCATTTTTATAATGTTTCAACCAAATATTAATAGACTTATTACTTTTTTCAGAAAATAGCAATGTACTGAGCTTTATTTATATGTTTTGCCAAAGACGGTTTTTTATAAGATAACTGTAATTTTTTATTTCGTTGATTTATTATTATACATTTATTTAGTGCAATAATTTTTTTGAAGACATTGTTTATTACCAAAAATTGTGTAATTAAAAAATGATGTATAAATAAATTTTAAAAAGATTTTTTTTTATTTACTATGATTAATAAAAAATCGAAATTAAACAAATTTTGCTTTCATAATCTTATTTATTATCGATAAAATGGTTCGGATTCACATTTATTGTAATTATTCATCAAAATGGAGGGAAACACTCACTTTAGAGTAAATTTACACATAATCTAATCTACCACCTTAAAGCATACAACACATGCATAATTTTTAAATCTCATGTGTTATATGCTCTAAGTCTACTACAAGCATATTTTGATTTTTAATTCCAATTGACTTAATTTCAAGTACTCAATCAACACATTTAAAATCTTGGACATTTCAGTAACAACAATAAAGACTAATTTGATGCTAAGCAAAGTAAGGGGATCACACATTTAAGTTTTCTACACTAGAATCAGTCAGTTTTAAAAACAATTTGGCGTAAGATCAGTTCACATTTATGTTTAAATGGCGAAATTAATAAATCATGTAATATAATTTGACTAGAGATACAAATATGGTATTATTGTAAAATTAGAATTCCCAGTTGACGGTAATTGTTTTGTTGAAGCTCATATTTAAATTGTCGACGATAAGATACTGAAAAAAAAATATGTTACAATATTTTTTTCAAACTAAGAGCAGAAATGATATCTATAGAAAGTGGTCACAAATTTCAAGATTGGAAACATTGTGTTCATGGTACAAGAAAACAAGGAAACAAGGTATGTATTTTAAAGTATTTTAAAGTTTCGTAGGTGTAAAAAATGTCTACCTGCCAAGTGAAAATCTGTAAAAACAATGGGGTCATTCCACGTTACTCGGGGATTTTTGTCCCGCCCGTCACAATTGAAAATTGGGAGTAAAAACTACACGTTATAAAATTTATTTAAAAATATTGTTTTATTATGCTTTCAATAAGTTATAAGCACAATAAAAATAATATTATAAAATATTAATTTTATAACTTGTGGTGTTTACTCACAATTTTTAATTGTGTCGGGCGGGACAAAAATTACCGAGTAACGTGGAATGCCCCAATGCCAAAAGAAAAAACTGGAAATCCAATACATTTTCTTAGTATGGGCTTGAAAAAATTGATGTTAAGTATAGAAGGTAGATTTATTTTAGAAACAATTAAATAGCAGTAGTTTTTTTAGAGGTACACAGTAAGAAAAAAATTACAGAATATTACGTTGGCCTCAGAATAGCCAACGTTTTATTCTGTAAAATATTTACCTTTTACAGAATATATTCGGTAAAATCACTTAATAAGCGTAATAATTTATGCGTTTATTTGAAACACCAAATTTTTATGTAAATATTACATATTTTTATCCATAATTTTACCATCATTTCTTACTGTGCACATGTATACATAGATACCTACCTATAGGTACTTTCCTTTTGTATACACAGATTATCTGTTACAGATATGTATATAAATTAAAAAATAATTTAGGTTAATATTTCTGTTTGTTTTGCAGTGGCGGCTGGTGGATTTTAAGTATACCAATATCTCAGTTATTAGACATGGGACCCACACCAAATTTATAATAGTTTATATTGACATTAAATAAACAAGTTCGGCGCAAACAGAATTTAAATTGAAGTTTGCGAAAAAAAGTTAGTTTTTCCTGTCGCCTACCCTGCCTCCAGGCCCCCCTATTTGAGATAATTTAAATTAAAGTGGTGCAATTTATTATCTACTATAATTTATCGACAAATTTAAAATTTTATTCAAAAAATCCAAATATTACAGATTTTATTCGATTTTAAATTTTTATTATTTATTTTATTAAAATAAAAAAATATTTAAAATGGTATAAAAACTGTAATATTTGGATTTTTTATATAAAATTTTAAATTTGTCGATAAATTATAGTAGATAATAAATTGCACCACTTTAATTTGAATTATCTCAAATAGGGGGGCCTGGAGGCAGGGTAGGCGACAGGAAAAACTAACTTTTTTTCGCAAACTTCAATTTAAATTCTGTTTGCGCCGAACTTGTTTATTTAATGTCAATATAAACTATTATAAATTTGGTGTGGGTCCCATGTCTAATAACTGAGATATTGGTATACTTAAAATCCACCAGCCGCCACTGTTGTTTTGTAGCTTATATTTGTTCCATTTACTTCAAAGATGATTGATATAAAAAGGAAAATTTAATAAAAAACTACATTTTCATAAAAAAGACTTTAAAAGTGAATACGGTTCCAACTTTACACTTAACAGCAGATCTTTAAAAAAAATTAATAAATTAAAATAAAATTGGGAAAACAATATATCTTTTTACAGTGTACAAGAAATAGGACAAAACCAGGAAGCATAATATGATCTTTGAAGAAACTCAAGTACTGCAGTGTAAAAAATTAAAATAAAATTTGAAAAAGAAAATTTATCAAAACTAAATCTTTTTGCACTGTGCAGAAAATGTGCCAAGAGAAAGAAGCTAATAATAATAATATAATATTTTTCACAAATTCCATGGTGGCCAATTTAGGGTTTTTATTTGGCAACTAAACCTAAACTACAATTATTTGTAAATACAATTTTGTAATAAATAAATTTAGAAAAAATATGTTTACATTTTTCTTGCAATGTTAATGTTGTAAGTTAACTTGACGTTTTTCATTTCAATCTTTATATTTAATTTAAAACAGGATATTTATTTTATCAAAAACATTTCACTTATAAATGGCTTTAAAACAAGATATTTTATTTGAAAACCCATTATTTAAAATATTACGCTAAAAACTAAAATTAAATTTTTCTCAGCACTTTTTTATAGATGTTATTTGGTATTTCGGCCATTCCAAGCCCATGGACAGGACACATCAGAAACATGTCTAAATATATTCTTGTTACTTCCTTAAGTTTACTTATTTTTTCTACCAGTATTTATGAGAAGTATTAGCCAAATTTGGGTAATACTTCTCATAAATACTCGTAGAAAAATAAGTAAACTTAAGGAAGTAACAAGAATATATTTAGACATGTTTCTGATGTGTCCTGTCCATGGGCTTGGAATGGCCGATTTAGTAAATATTATTTGCTTTAAAACAATATATTTTACTTGATTGAAAAACCATATAAAATAGTTTTTTTATTAATAATATTTTCTTGAAATGTTAATATTGTGACAGATCGTTTTTTACCTATGATCTTCAAATTATTCGACAATTTAATTTAATCTAAAAATCGAATAATTTTATAGAAATCTGGATGAATTTCATATTAAAATTTAAAATATCATTTAAAGTGAACCAAAATTCGCCCTACTAAAGAACATACCTTGTTTTCTTGTACCATGATTGTGCTTCCCTATTGAAAATGCCATATAGAACCATATAAAAAACACGTATCTGGATTCTATATGGTTTCTATCTGGTTCAATATAGGTATTTGAAACAGACATTTCACTATAGAACCAGATAGAAGATTACATTATAGAACCAGATAAAAACACTCTAAAACACTATAGAACCAGATAGGGAAACCTATCTGGAAATACATATAGAACAGAAACCAGATAAATCCATATACATCCATATACATGTCTTTATAAAGACATGTATATGGTTGTATATGGATTTATCTGGTTTCTGTTCTATATGTATTTCCAGATAGGTTTCCCTATATGGTTGAATATGAAAATTTTTAAAATGGAAATCCATATTCAACCATATAGAATCCGTAATGTAAACCAGGACTTTCCATATAGGACCTATAAAACCATATAGAACCAGATACGTTTCCTTATCGGATTCAATATGGGTTCTATATGGCATTTTCAATAGGGTTATCAAAGTAGGACATGGTTGCCATATGTATTTTGTGACAGCCACTGCCAAGCTGAAAAAACAGTACTTACATGATGAACAGTATCAAACTGGAAGTGGTGAGCTTTTTCGTTTATAGTAACGTGCGAAACAGGTTTTTCCAAACCTAAAATTGTTATGGAGCCCAAGTTGGGCGGATATTCTTCACGATAATGGTCATTTTGGATTCTTAGCACTTTATCTTCCATTGCAAACTTCAGTAGGGAGTACCTTTTCTCTTTGTAGGTGTCTAAAATTGTTTTTTATTAGGTACTTATTACACTAATGCAAAAATGATAAATGAAAAACTTTTTTATTTTGGCGTGTACAACTTATTTGGTGACCCTGCATTGTACTTACTTAGAGTGTCCCCATCATCCCAGTAAAGTTCCCCCTGAGCCATTCCTGTACTGTCCGACGCTACCAACAAGTTTATCAACGTTTTCCTGGACTCGGTTGTCGTTTGTTTCGGGGTCTGCATGGGTATGATATACCCGCCCCTTATAAAAAGCGGAATTGTGTCCAGTGGCGCAGAAATATTAACATGCTGACCGTCACTTTTGATCGAGGAATTAGTGTGGTAATTGTACCAAATACCCCTCGGGAAATAGGCCATTACATGCTCGTCGTTCTCTTTTAGTACCGGGACAATCATGAGGGCGGGCCCCCACAAAAATTGTTCGTCTATCGATAGTACTTTGGGATCGTTTAGAAATCTAGAATTTTAGTTAGGTATATAGTTGTAAAAACCGAATTATTACAAATATTACTCGAAAAATAGGGGTCTCGCAACTGTTTCCCCGATATCGTGCGCTTTCCAAAACAGCGTGTACAAATATGGCAACATGGCATACCGTGCGGACAAAGCCTTCTTCGATGAGGTTACGACAAGGTCACCCAAGGCGGCTGGATCTTGAGGCTAAATTTAAATTAAGGTTACGAAAAAAAATTGTTTTATTTAAGAAATCTTACAATCCCATCATCTGTATTATGGTTTCTGGAGAATGGGTAAAAAGCCCCGAGTTGCATCCAACGATTGCATAAAGATTTCGTGGTGTTTCCGTTAAAACCGCATATGTCAGCGCCCATGAGAGGAATACCAAACAAACTGTAGCTTAGAAGTTCTAAAAAAATGTTACAATTAAGACCAACTTTGACAGTCTGTAGTCAGAGCTGGGAAAGTTACTTCTGAAAAGTATCTAGTTACTTTTGGGTATTTCCACGAAACCTCACCCCACCTTTACAAAAAATCAGATGTGTTGTTTAACAAAATAACAACTATATCTGAAGTCAAATACCTAGTTTAATTGCGAAGTAATTTATATCCATAAAATATTCGTACATTGTTATGCTAAGAAGCTAACATTAAGAATAAACACGGAAGAGTTTCAATACTCGATAAAATGTTCAAATGCCGCACCCGTTACATTTTGAGAAAATTTTAGATAACAATGTATACAATATTTGTGCATTTCAAATACGTGCTTGTTTAAGGTTACTATTCAAGTTTTACACAAAAAATTATTACTATATGCTTTCATCCAAAATTTTACAGTATCAACTTTAGAATCCAACTTGGTCGCATTTTTAGATTTTCTAAGGTCGCGCCCGTTACGCTATTCATAACGTTATAAAAGGTTTTTTCTACGCTTATTACGGAATTTGACAGTTCTTATATGACTTTTTAATCTGGAATTACGTATATTCCATAAAGTGTTACAGAATAATTATTCTATACAAGTTTTTATTGACATTTTGTTTGAGTAAAATACCCAATTTTTTATACTATTATATTATTATATATATGAACAAAAACTTTATTATCAAGAAAAAATGCAGTTTTAGTGTCGCACCCGTTACAATGGAAATACCTTTTTCTAAGATACTTTAAACAAAATAACTTAGTTACCCCTGGTTACTTTGAGTTAAAAGTATCTTTCGTTACAAGATACCTTAAAAAGTATCTAAGATACTATCCGAAAGTATCTAAGATACTTTTAAGTAACTAAGATACTTTTTAGTAACTAAGTTACTTTTAAATTTGAATAAAAACTATAAAATTATAAAAATTTAACAAGTTGTAGGTTAGGAAATTACTTTGAATCATTCTGGAATTCCCCCAATTTTCTCTAAGAAAGTATCTAAGTTACACTGAAAAGTATCCAAGTTACTTTAAAAAGTATCTTAGTTACTTTAAGTATCTAAGTTACTTGAATGTATCTTAGTTACTTTACCAAATAACTTAGATACTTTTTAAGAAACAAGTTACAAGATACTTTTCTAAAGTAACTAAGTAAAAGATCCACTCTGTCCAATATAAAAAGTATCTAAGATAAATAACTTAAATACTTTAAGTATCTAAGTTACTTTTAAGTATCTTTTTTTTCAAGATACTCCCAGCTCTGTCTGTAGTTTTGTTATTTTTTACCCAATTTAAAAAATAATCATATCAAAACTTAGATAATTTTATAGACTTTAAGAAAATGTAAACATCTGCCCCAGTACTAATTTTTCGAGATTATCCACAAAATATAAAGTCGTGACAATTTGAGTTCTCTTGAAATTATCACCAACTTTGGAAGTCTGTAGTTCTGTTATTTTTTACACAATTTTAAAAATGATTATATTAAAAGGTAGATAATTTTATAGACTTTAAGGAAATGTGAATATCTTAATTTGCACCAGTACTAATTTTTGGAGATAATCACAAAATATAAAGTCGTGTCAATTTAATTTCTCTTGAAATTAAGACCAACTTTGGAAGTCAGTAGTTCTGTTATTTTTTACATAATTTTAAAAATAATTACATCAAAATTTAGCTTGTGTTATTCTCTATCAGGGAAGGTACTTACGCGGTATAGTATACTTCATATCAACCCAAGCGGAAACAACGTCCCCACTCCAATGTCCAGCATAATGCCCTAAACCGGGAAAAGTAGATCTCGATATCACCACCGGTCTTTTACCACGAATTTCCGCCAACGCACTAAAAAAAAATGTCCCAAATAAACAGAGAAAATCCCGAAAGTTTTTTTTATTCAGACTTTCATAGGAAACGCAAACAATACTACCAACACAATCGAAAATTTACTCACAAGTTGGTAACAATGGCCTCGCTCAACCCGTACAAGTTGTGCACGTTGTAGTGCAAACCTGCGTAGTGTTTGGCCGACATGCACATGGTCTTGTAGTTCAAAACTCCCCCGTCGATTTTGGGGACGTAGGGGGGGCTTTCGAGGGAGTTCGTCGGGCAGCCCGTGAAAGAACCCGACAGGAAGTTCGACGGTTCGTTCATGTCGATCCAGGCGCCGTCGAACTTCATTTCGCTGTGCAGATTCGACAGCATCTTCGTCCAATAGTCCACCGTTATCGGGTGGGTGAAATCCGGCCACACGGTGGAGCCAGTGTTCCAAACCTAAGAAAGTTAAAATAAACCGTTGCCAAGTTGTCTTAAAACTTTCGAAAGTCTGTAGTTTTGTTTTCTTGAAATTAACACCAACTTTGGAAGTCTGTAGTTTTGTTGTTATTTTTTACATAATTTAAAAAATAATTATGTCAAAAGTAAGATAATTTTATAGACTTTAAGAAAATGTGAATATCTTAATAGGCCCCAGTACTAATTTTTCGAGATTATCCACAAAATATACAGTCGTGTTAATTTTAGTTCTCTTAAAATTAACATCAACTTTGGAAGTCTATAGTTTTGTTATATTTTAAACAATTTAAAAAATAATTATATCAAATGTTAGATAATTTTATGGACTTTAAGAAAATTTGAATATCTTAATATGCCCCAGTGCTAATTTTTCGAGATTATCAATAAATACAAAGGCGTGTCAATTAGAGTTATCTTCAAATTAACACCAACTTTGGATGTCTGTAGTTTTGTTATTTTTTACACAATTTAAAAGATATTGATATCAAAAGTTAGATAATTTTATGGACTTTAAGAAAATGTAAATATCCACGGTGTCCCTGAATAAATTTTAATTGAAAGGTTCAGACGTATCCGATTTTTTTTTCATATATTGATAAAAAATTACCTACAAGACAATTTTTTTTCATGATAAACTCAATTCGCTTGGCACTTTTTTAGAAAAATCAATTTTTATAAAAACATTAATGATTTTTGAGATTTTTAATAAGTGAACTCCAAATAATGACTAAAAGCACATAAAATGTGCAATTCATTAGACTAGTGAACTATTGTCACTTATCACATGTCACATGTCGAAATCGTGATTGAAAATACCGTTGCGTTATTAGGTATATTATTTTTTTTTTTTAATTTGTCGCAATTTATTTATAAATTAGATATAAATAATTATATTTGCATTGATTATAGTATATAGTGAAATGAAGCTAATAAAAAACCATGCATGGACTCACTCGGATAATCGAGAGAATTTGTTTGATTTGTCTTTAAAAAAAAAGAAAAAATGTTTAAAATATGTGGAAAGATTCTGGAAAAAGTTGTATAAGTATATGATGTAGAAGATGAACGATTACCAAAAGTTGTATGTAAAGGTTGTGAAATTTTATTATAAAAAGCAGCTAAACAAGAAATTTATAGAAACACGTTAAATTTGCCTGATTTTTCTAATTGGAAATAATTTTATAAAAAGTGCTAAAAATAAACCCATTAAAAAAGAAAAAAAGCGTGTGGTGAGAAAATGTTTCAAATGGCCGCGGTAAAAACATAAATGTAAACCTGGAGTAAAAGAAGGAAATATTGAAAACGATATTAGTGAAACAGTCCGAAACATCAGCAGCAGTTTTTTTTAAAAGAGCGATAAAAACTGCTGCTGATTTTTCGGACTTAAAGCTATTCTTTGAACTTTTTCCAGAATCTTTCCATATATATTAGACATTTTTTCTTTTTTTTAAGACAAAACAAACAAATTCTCTCGCGATTATCCGAGTGAGTCCATGCATGGTTTAAAATTAGCCTTATTGCACTATAGTGCATAGTATATATACAGTGCTTGCAAATGCAAGTCCGACCGCACTGGAAAGGACGGCTGTTCAATACCCGCGTGAAAAGAACAAGGATAGAACGCCAAATAGAATTTGATTGGCCAGAGCCCCGGATGCGTGCGAATTGTAAGCGAGGTCAACTCTGGGCCAGAGCACAATCCACACACATGGATTGTGGGCCAGAGTCTCTGGCTGCATTTAGACTAAATGATTTAGTGTTAAGCAAACTGCGTTGGAGTGGAGATGCACATTTTAATTTTCTTTTTAAATATTTTATACCCGAATCCTAAAAATAAAATGTTTTGATTTTTTTCCTTGAGAACTAGGGCAACAACAAAAATAGTATTCTTAATAAAAAAGATTTCTCAAATAAAAATAACTAAAAATAAAAATAAAACTCTAAATAAAATATATATATATAAAAATGGTAAAAAGAGAAAAAAAATAACAGTAGGATGAAACCCATTGGAAAAGGAGGGGAATATAATAAAAATTAAAGGAAAAATAAATTACGGGCGATCTGAGTTCGGGAAGTGAGAGGAGGGGGGGTTTAAGGGTAAAAAATGGTTTATCTCGATTTCCGGCAAAACTACAAGTCCTATGGAAAAAAGTTAAATGTCAAAGTTGTAGGTAATAAAAAGATCTACAACTTCTGTATTTACAATTTTTTCACATAACCTCAAAATTTATGTGAAAAAATCAAAAAACCAAGTTTTTGGTTTTTTATTTTTATCTTTTTCAAAAAAAAAATTTTTTCCATGAAATTTGGTGAAAACTTACCTTTTTATGTCCCAAATACACTGTAATTTATTTGATTTGAAATATTTATTATTTCGCCTTATTTTGACTTAATATCAAAAAAGCACCCTAATTTTCAATCAATCGTAACCAGAATGAAGTATCTAAATTCAATAGTATGATTTACATGTATTTTTATATTTTATGAGATTTTCTGACATAAATGTTATTAGAATTTAATAAATAAACTTTTTAACTAAAAAAAATTGCAACAATCACATTTTTTTGATGAAATTGTACATAATGATTAAAATAAATTTTCGAATTCGAGTTTTTTTCGTTATTCATTATAATATTTTTTGCATTTTCTGAGAACATTTACCATAGTAATGTATATTTTTTTACACCATCAGAAAGTAGAGATTTCAACAAACAAAAAGCACACCGACTTTTTGAAAAAAGCTGATATTTTGACGCGAGAATTTTCGATTGAAAATTAGGGTGCTTTTTTGATATTAAGTCAAAATAAGGCGAAATAATAAATATTTCAAATCAAATAAATTACAGTGTATTTGGGACATAAAAAGGTAAGTTTTCACCAAATTTCGTGGAAAAAATTTTTTTTTTGAAAAAGATAAAAATAAAAAACCAAAAACTTGGTTTTTTGAATTTTTCCCATAAATTTGGAGGTTATGTAAAAAAATTGTAATTACAAAAGTTGTAGATCCTTTTATTACCTACAACTTTGCCATTTAACTTTTTTCCATAGGACTTGTAGTTTTACCGGAAATCGAGATAAACCATTTTTTACCCTTAAAACCCAAAGTCAGAGCGCCCGTAATTTATTTTTCCTTTTATTTTTATTATATTCTTCTCCTTTTCCAATGGGTTTCATCCTACTTTTATTTTTTTTGGTTTCAAAAATTATCGACCCTGGTCTAATAAAACTCTAAAAATAAATAAACTGAAAAATTAAATTAAATGTTCGAACAAGCAATTATTAACGGTTCGTCGAATTGTTTCTCTGTTTGGTCTGGCCTCGAACATTCCCGCAAATAATCTTTGAATTTCTCGTTCAGAATTACCAGCAAAATGCCAGATTAAAATCTGAACTTTTTGTTCCAACGTGTACCTACATTTTTTAATTAAATAATCTTTTTTACTAAAATTACTACCTCTTGGCAAGAGGCTCTTGCTGGCACCACTGCAGTTCTCGTTCTGATATCCTCGACGAGGATTCCTCGTGTCAAGCACGCTGCGAGGTGCGCGATGGGTATGCGTTGTCGTAGCCTGCCGGCTGGCCAATCAAATTCTATTTGGCGTTCTATCCTTGTTCTTTTCACGCGGGTATTGAACAGCCGTCCTTTCCAGTGTGGTCGGACTTGGATTTGCAAGCACTGTATACTATGATCAATGCAAATATAATTATTTATATCTAATTTATAAATAAATCTGCGACAAATTGAAAAAAAAAACGGTAAAATAACGCAACGGTATTTTCAATCACGATTTCGACATGTTACATGTGACAAGCAGGGCCGGCGACAATAACGGTGCTCGCGGGCTCAAGCACCACACGTAAAGGAAAATGGTGGTGCTCAGCACCACACGTATTTTCCGCAGAAAAATTGCATTTCTTTTGCGGTCTCTAAATTTTTTATCCTGCTAGCCTGGGATACACACCAACGCCCTCTACAAATTTACGGTTGAAGCTGAGGGATCCAAAGTTTAAAGTATCAAAGTCGGTCGGTATAGTATGTATAAGTGTATGTATGTATCTTGGTCAGGGTTGGGTATCTACCTACATTTTTGTTTTCGACATGTAGAAAACCTTTTTCGACGTTTTCGACGGTAGAAAACGTAAAAAAGTAGAATACTGTCAAATATCAAAAAATGTGAGGTTATGCAAGTTTGTTGTTTATTATGATTTGTTAAATGTTGTGAAAAATCAGACACCTACCATAAATTTGAAGTTATTTGGAGTTTTTTAACATTATTATGGTGGGAAAAAAGGGCCACGTTTGGTTGGGAGACCCCAACATAATTTTTGGCATGAGGGCAAATTTTTATAAATTATAGAGAAGTGGAAGGAGAAGGTCGAATAAGGTAATTTACGTAGGTAGAAAACCCTATAGGTTCTCGACGCAAGTCGAAAACAAGTTTTCTACCCTTTTCTACCAAGGTAAATTACCTAAGGTTTTCTACTGACCCAACCCTGATCTTGGTATAGTAGGAATAACATACCGACACGTCGCGACCTGTATTTAGGGTATTTCTACTATACCGATGGTAACCGACCAAACTTTGAGTTATATTATTATTATTATTTACAGTTCGTGCGGTTTGTTTATTATCTCTGAGTTCGTGATGGCTACCACCAATTGTGTAAGTTAGTTCGAATCTTAGAGTAACTCTGTTTTAATTGTCTCTCGAAAAAAAAATTAGAACGATTATTTTAACCCCGTATTTTTGATGCTGGTAACCCTTAATCCAAGAAGTGGCAGATGCCAACCCTAAAAACGTCCGATGTAGCAGTAATATACCTATCCCATTCGATTCCATTACAGGCAGGGCCGGATTTACGAATTTGCCGCCCATGGGCCCAACGCATCATTACCCCGAATAACGAATGACTCAGCGAATAAGCTAGAGTCGCGCCCCACTCGCTTCGTGTACATCGACTGCCGCCCTTCTACGCAGTGACGCACTACGCAGAATAATAGTGTAGTCTGATATAAAATTATCTAATGTATTAAAAAACTTCTCTTCCAACTTTTTATAGTTTTAATTAGTGTATAAATCTGAGTGAAAACAAAAATTCTGCATAAAACGCTCTTGATTTTTTAGCAAAATCTTAACTGGCCTTCAAAATTTGCCGCCCCTAAAAATTTGCCGCCCTGGGCCCGGGCCCATGTGGCCCATGCCTAAATCCGGCCCTGATTACAGGGCCCTGTAATGAAATCGAATGGGTGAGTTTTTTAACTTGAAACTTAAAACTATCTGGCGTAATAAGCACTGTCGAAAAAACTATATAAACTAAATTTAATCATTCCGGGGGGGATATATTAGTGCTAAAATTAGTAGTGTGCTTATTACGCGAGATATTTCAAAGTTAAAAAACTTTCCCTGTATATAAAATGTGACTGAGTTTGATAAATAAATTGACTAAAAAACTATTCAAATTTTATTTTGTTCTCCTTCCCGCAACCTACAATAAAAAGAACACCCACACCCCCCATCCATTAACCACTGCTACCAACCAACTGTAGATGAGCACCACACGTCAAAATGAAAAGCTGCCGGCCCTGGTGACAAGTGACATATGTCAATAGTTCACTAGTCTAATGAATTGCACATTTTATGTAACAAATACATTAAAAGCTGTTAGTCATTATTTGGAGTTCACTAATTAAAATTCTCAAAAAATTGATTAAAAATCATTAATGTTTTTATAAAAATTGATTTTTCCAAAAAAGTGCCAAGCGAATTGAGTTTATCCTGAAAAAAAATTGTCTTGTAAGTGATTTTTTATCAAAATATGAAAAAAAATCGGATACGTCTGAACCTTTCAATTAAAAGTTATTCAGGGACACCGTGTATCTTAATATGCCCCAGTACTAATTTTTCGAGAAAATATATATATTTATACAGTCGTGACAATTTTAGTTTTTTGGAAATTACTTGGAAGTCTGTAGTATTGTTATTTTTTACACAATTTAAAAAATGATAATATCAAAGGTTAGATAATTTTATAGACCTTAAGAAAATATGAATATCTTAATATGCCCCAGCACTAATTTTTCAAAATTATCCACAAAATACAGTCGTGTCAATTTTAGTTTTCTTGAAATTAACACTAACTTTATAAGTCTGTAGTATTGTTATTTTTTACACAATTTAAAAATTGATTATATCAAAAGTTAGATAATTTTATCAAATCATTTAATCCACTTACTTTTCCAATGAAGGGTTGATTTGTGGAGTTTTTAACGAAAATATCCATTTTGATGCCGATATCGTATGGGGGGTATGTGCCGACTTTTTCGCTAGCACTTACACCTGGATCTATTAGGGGTATGTAATGCATGCCTCTTTGGTGTAACTTGTCGATAAACTCGGGCAAATTTTTGAATTTCGTTTTGTCGAAAGTGAAGTCGTTGCTGTTGTTCATGTAGTCCAAATCGTTCCATTGGGTGTCGAGAGGTATGCCCGCTTTAATATTTCTCTCCATCACGGTTTCAGTGTCGTTTAGAGATTTATAACCGAATCGGCATAAATGGAAACCTAGACTCCAATACGGCGGTAAATATGGTAAACCTATTAGCTGGGTGTACTGTTGGGTGACTTCTCTAGGTGTGGGACCCATGAAAAAGTAAAAATCGAATATACCCCCGATAGGTCTGAAGGTAATAGCGGGGGTTGGTTGCAAAATAACATCTAAAAATAATGTGTAATTTTTTTGTGTATTTAAAAAAAATATATATTTTTACCCATGGCATTGCTGTTAAGTAGAAGTACCCCGTGTGTTTTGGTATTGTTTTCCACCACCATATAGAATGGGTGAGAACCATACATGTTCTGCTGTAATATAATTTTTTTTAAGCAAAATGAAATATGTCCTTGACAGTCTGTAGTTTTGTTATTTTTTAACAAATTTTGGAAATATTTATATCAAATTTTACATAATTTTATCCCCTTTAGAAATAAATGATTATATTTATATGCCCCTCTACTAATTTTTGAAGATAATTCATAAGTCATGTCAATTTTAGTTCCCTTAAAATGTGACTAACTTTGGAAGTCTGTAATTTTGTTAATTTTTAAACCTGGTATAGCTAACTTACCCCAATTGATGGTATTTTATCATGGTTGAATAAAGTAAATTGTGACCACTCCGTAGATAGCATTAAATTAGTTCTGTGTTCACCTATGCCGTAAATATTTTTTGACAGCAACTTGGTAGTTATTTGCAAAAATTGGTTCGAGTAGATCAGGTTTAGGAAATTTACGGAGTCAAAACTAAAAAAAATAAAAATATATATATATAACTTGAATCAAAATTGCTCAACACTATAAGTAAACTTACATTGTAGTATTGTCAGATTTCCTTTTAATTTTAAACCCAGATTTAAGCAAGTCAAGCTCAAAATGATACAGAGTGTTTGTTGAGGCCCTATCCACTATAGGCAATTCAGGGTAAGGGGGTTCAAACCTTGATGTCAAAGGATCAACAATCTAAAAATTAAAAAAACAGTCTGTAGTTTTATTTGTTACCCAATTTTGAAAATAATTGTATTAAAAGTTAGAAAAGTTTATAGACTTTAAGAAAATATGTATATCTTAATATGTCCCCGTACAAATTTTTCGAGATAATTCACAAAATATAAAGTCGTATTAATTTTAGTTATCTTAAAATTAACACCAACTTTGGAAGTCTGTAGTTTTGTTATTTTTTACAGAATTTAAAGATGATTATATCAAAAGTTTGGTAATTTTATAGACTTTTACAAAATGTGAATATCTTAATATGCACAGTAGTTATTTTTCGAGATAATTCACAAAATATAAAGTGTCAATTTTAGTTATCTTGATATTAACACCAACTTTGGAAGTCTGTAGTTTTGTTATTTTTTACACAATTAAAAAGATGATTATAACAAAAGTTCCATAATTTTATATTCTTTAAATGAATATCTTAATGTGCCCCTGTACTAATTTTTCGAGATAATCTACAAAATATAAAGGCGTACAATGGGGTAGTTAAATTTTTTCTGACCTATACTTTTTATGGTTTTATTGAAGGCGTTTTGTAATTTTAAACATTTCTGTGAAATCGGAATTTCAATTGAGTTTACCGTTTTCGAGATATTTACAAAAAAAATCTCCTAATTACGTCACTAGGCTATTGACAACGTTGCCAGCTTTTTCTATGGTTGCCAGTGTGTTTAGTTTAAGATTTTTACGATAGATGGCGCCACGTTATAATATTTTAGTTTTAAAACCACTTGATCTATAATTTTAGTTACCAGAAGAAGAATTGATTTTTTGACGTTTCTTTTTTTAGGGTTATGTTTTTTTTAAATTTAGATTATTGAAAATCAATGTTATTGTTATGTTATTTGAAATTGATATTAGGTAAGTGATTTATTAATAACGGACTCCAAAGCAGAGGAATTTTGTGGAATGGTTGGTTACATTGAACATTGGAGCTTTTAAACAAATAAAGTAAGTACCTATAATTATAATCATATTTTGTCGTAAATGCATTTCATTAGTATAATGCCTAGTTCTTTATATTCTTTTAGATATTTCTTGGACTCTAAAATATCAAACAGTAATATGATACCTCGTAATAATTAAGGAATTTGTACATAACCTCTTCGGGTATTTTCTGACATAACCGAATGAAATCATTAACAAGACAACTTGACAACAGGGTAATTTTCAACCAATAGAAATCTTAGAATGTTGGTCACATGGCGAGGTTTGTGACGTCATAAAAATTTATATTTTTTGTAAATATCTCGAAAACGGTAAACTCAATTGAAATTCTGATTTCACAGAAATATTACAAAACGCCTTGAATAAAACCATAAAAAGTATAGGTCAGAAAAAATTTAACTACCCCATTTGAGTTCTCTTCATATTAAAACCAACTTTGGAAGTCTGTAGTTTTGTTATTTTTTACACCATTTAAAAAATATTGATATCAAAAGTTAGATAATTTACAAAATATTGAGTAATGTCAATTTTAGTTATCATGAAATTAACACCATCTTTGGAAGTCTGTAGTTTTGTTATTTTTTACACAATTTAAAAGATGATTATATTAAATGTTAGGTAATTTTATAGACTTTAAGAAAATGTAAATATCTTAATATGCCCCAGTACTAATTTTTCGAGATAATTCACGAAATATAAAGTCGTGTCAGTTTCAGTTATCATGAAATTAACACCAACTTTGGAAATCTGTAGTTTTGTTATTTTTTACACAATTTAAAAGATGATTATATCAAATAATAGGTAATTTTATACTTTGAGAAAATATATTATTAGTAATGGGGCATACTAAGATATTTATATTATAAATATCTTAGTATGCCCCAGTAGGGTTGGGAAATTTCACTTTTTGCTTGTACTTGAAATTTCACTTGAAACTTTCATGACATTTATGAAATTTATTAAAATTTTCTAAATTTCTGAAATTTCTTGAGATTTCCTTTTAAAATATTTTTAAAATTACTAAAACTAAAAGAGATATAGCACTTTTTGGTAAGCTAATGAGATTGTGACACTTTCATTGTTTTATATTTATATATATTTATTATTTTTAAATATTTTACTGAAATTTTACGAAAATTAAAGAAACTTCATCAAAATTTTATGAGCCAAAGGCATTTTTTATCCGTTTTCCGATGCAATTATAGCAAAAGTAAAAGTTTAAATTAATCATGACTTTTTAAAAAAATTTAAAGTCTGATTTAATTTACAAATTAAATTGGTAACTGAATTAAATTATTTAAATTAATTTATGCATATAAGTAACAATAATTACTTATAGTGTATTCAAATCCAAGCCGAACTAAACAAAAACGCCCAGACGCTTGATAACTCGTTCTTATTTGTCGATTCGGAATCTGTTGTAAATTATTATTAAAGGTCCCAGGGGAGGCCGCATGTGAAATTTATGCGAAATTTTCAGTAAATTGCGAAACTTTCAATGAAATTTCTGAAACTTTCACAGGCAATGTTGAAATTTTCGGATTGAAAATTTAATTTGAAATTTTTAAAAATTTCACTTTTCCAACTAAATGAAATATTTCAAGTTTGAAACTTTCAAAGTTGAAATTTTCATTTGAAAATTTCAACTGTCCCAACCACAGACCTACAAACAAGATGGACTGGCCTTTCCTATTGAAAATACACAATGTTTTGTTGCCAAGAACTATTTAGATTAGGGGTAAAGGGATAAGGGGTATTTATAAACAAGTTCCCACACCAGTGGCGTTCTGTTTTTAGGGATAAATAAAAATATTAAATTGTACATTTTTTATTGTGTTTTGCAATCCTATGTAAAAATTATATTTAATATATATAAATATATAGGTATAACAAAATACTAACCTTGTCAGTTAGTGTTCTAGATGATGTAGAATCTGGCTCTTTAAATCTAAAATTTAAGTGAATTCATTTATTTATTCAGTTTCTACGCTCCTGGCAGGGTTTGTTTTGTAAATAAACTAACCTATGACAAGAAAGTTTTAAATTCTTGGATCCAAGTCTTTTACAAACGTAGCACTGCTTCACAATTTTTATATCACTCACTATTGGTATTTTTCACTATAAAATCAAATAAAAACTATTAAATGTTGTGGATTCCAAGTATCTTTTACGTAAAATATAGAAACTTCAAAGTCAAATGTGACAACTGAGGGAAAATATTTATTTTTGTTCCTGGCCACTCTTTTCAATGTAAATAAACCGGTCCATCTTGTTTGTAGGTCTGTGGTCCCAACCCTATGCCCCAGTACTAATTTTTTGAGATAATTCACGAAATATTAAGTCCTGTAAATTTTAGTTATCTTTATATTAACTTTGGAAGTCTGTAGTTATTTTTTACACAATTTAAAAGATGATTATATCAAATGTTAGGTAATTTTATAGACTTTGAGAAAATGTAAATATCTTAATATGCCCTATTACAAATTTTTCGAGATAATTCAAAAAATATAAAGTCGTGTCAATTTTAGTTATGCTGAAACTAACACCAACTTTGGAAGTGTGTGGTTTTGTTATTTTTTACACAATTTAAAAGATAATTATACCAAATGTTAGGTAATTTTATTGACTTTGAGAAAATGTAAATATCTTAATATGCCCCAGTACTAGATTTTCGAGATAATTCACAAAATATAAAGTCGTGTTAATTTTAGTTATTTTGAAATTAAGACTTAACTTAACTTTGACAGTGTAGTTTTGTTATTTTACACCCAATTTTGAAAATAATTATATCCAATGTTGGATAATTCTTTTGTGCCACATTGCCATACACCTTTTGAATTGAAAGAAAAAAACAATTTATTTTATTTTCTTCAGTTTAAATTACCTTTACATGTAGTCTGGTATCACTCTCGTACTTGACGATCATCTTCAGTATTTCCACGTCGTCTGGATAGTCAGTCTTAAAGTTCCTCTTCATAAAAATCACCATCCCAAAAGCAGTTTCGGTGGCGTTCAAATAGTTGTACGTGTTATAGTTTGGAGGGTAAAAGCAGTAGGGTACGTTTAAGGGGTTGTAATTCTTTGGTTTTTGTTTGGCCGGAATGTAACAACACCCCCTAGCCTCGCACTTCCCGGCACTAACGCCATCTTGCGGGTAACAGTCTAAACGGTCGATTTCTTTGGTTAACTTGCATTGGGAGTAATCAGGGGGTGGAGGGGGCGGTAAAACGATTTTTTCCCTTATGAAGGTTATGTTGAGAAGTGAGTGAACCACAGGGCTTGGTTGGTAGTGCTCCTGAAAAAATATTTACATGTTTAATTTCAAAGTTTAATAGGAATTTAAGGCCTATTTAACTAATGAAAAAAACTTTTTCACACAATTTTATACCATCTAAAATGAATTTGGACTTCCTAGACATATTTTTTAATGTTTTTACACTATATTTAGGCAGATGTGAATGGATCCCACTTCTGATGTTATTTTGTTCCAATAATCATACAAAAAAAATTGTGTTTTTGAATGTATTAAATATTTATTAATAAAATATTACTTACAGCTTCTTTAGGTAGAATGTAGTGTTGGTGAGCAAAAATAATTCCTAGATATCTCAACAAATAGGCTACTGGTAACAAAAAGAAAACCCCAAGTAATAATATCCCTGTTATGCAGAACGGGAGACTTGAACTGTGTAACTTTTTCTGCTTATGTATTAGACGTTTCTTTTTGTTTTGCGGAAAATCATTCGACTAAAATGATTAATTTATTAATTATAAACAGTATTAGTAGTACATTTAAATAATTACAATGTTTAATTTGGCGGGAGATAAGCTCAAGTCCCCATTCAGAGATGATTCTTTGGTGTCATTTAACTTATCCGCAGGCCCTTCATTGTAAAAAGCTTCGAAAGAAACCGAATCGCTCACGGATAACTGTCGCACTCTTTGCGAGCGATAACGCTTGAAAAAATCCCTTAATCTCATAATTTTCTTCTAAAAAAATCAGACACAACTTTGTACCTATGTATCTTACATTTGCAGGACCTTAAACGCACAGAACAAAGTTATTTTTAGCGTTACGACTAATCATGTTTTTTTTATCACTCTAAAAACGGAAATAACAATCACAATTGTTTTGTTTTTGTTTAAAGGACGGTTGACTTTTTGACACCTGCCCCCACCTTGATTTACATTTCTTTTGTTGGCAATACTGAAAATTTAACTGACGTCAAGCGACGTTTCTAGATGTAAGTCCAATCATTCAGAAGGTTTTTTAGGTCTATAATTAATCTGCGTGATTTATAATAAATCCTAAGAAACTGTATTAACAAATTTTTAATTAAATATCTAATAATAAACGGGTTTTTCCACAAAAATCTACTGCCTGAACGTGAAACTGATCACAAACTGGCAACACTGCAAATTTAAAACTGTCAATGTAACGAAGAAGAAGAGCCGCATAACCAAACTTTTTTTTTAGGTTTGGAATGTAAATAATCAAGGCTAAAAATGAAGTAATATTATGAAAATAACATGTTTTAATGTATTTATTAATGTTATTTGTTTCCAGGATAAGCGTCGATGGTTTAATTGTGTATTTTCCCTATGATTACATATACCCCGAACAATATGCATATATGTGCGAGCTCAAAAAATCCTTGGATGCCAAAGTATGTTAAGAACACAGACCTGTGGTTAAGAACAATCACTAAGATAAGTATATTTTATTTTTTGTTGTATTTTAGGGTCATTGTTTGTTGGAAATGCCCTCCGGTACAGGCAAAACAACTACGTTGCTGTCTTTAGTTGTAGCTTACATGTTAGAACATCCTCACGATGTTAGAAAGCTCGTGTATTGTTCTCGTACAGTCCCAGAAATCGAAAAGGTTATGGAAGAGTTAAAAAAGTTGTTGTTATATTATGAAAAACAAGACGGGCAATACCCCAGTCTCACAGGCTTGGTTTTATCTTCAAGAAAAAATTTGTGTATTCACCCCCAAGTAAGTGACTTTAATTTATTCAAGAAACATTTAACAAGGCTTTTTTAAGTGTGCAAAGTTAATTTTTTAAGATAGTTACTTTTAGTTTGGTTTAAAAATTGTAGGCAGCTTAATTTGACATTCTTAGAATTCTAAGAATGTCTAAGAATGTTAACAGTTATATCTAGCTTAAATTGACATTCCTAACAATTATAATCCAGCTTAAATTTGGCATTCTTAAAACAGTTATATCTTGCTTAAATTTGACATTTATCTTTCTCAAAATTACATTCTTCAAGATAGTTATTTTTATTTTAGTTTGACATACTTACTCACAGACAGTCATATATAGCTTTATTTGGCATTCTTATGACAGTTATGTCTGGCTTAAGTTGTCATCCTTAAGACAGTTATATTCTAGCTACAATTGACATTCTTAAAACAGTTAAATCCAGCTTAAATTGGACATTTTTAAGACGGTTATATCTTTCTCAAATTTACATTTTTTAAGATACCTAGTTTGTTTTAGTTTAATTTGACATTCTTAATACAGTTATATTCCAGCTACAATTGACATTCTTAAAACAGTTAAATCCATCTTAAATTTGACAATAAATTAAGACGTTTATATCTTTCTTAAATTTACGACAGTTATATTTTAGGTACAATTGACATTTTTAAAACAGTTTAATCCAGCTTAAATTTGACATTTTTAAGACGGTTATATCTTTCTCAAATTTACATTTTTTTAAGATGGTAGTTTAATTTGACATTCTTAATACAGTTATATTCCAGCTACAATTGACATTCTTAAAACAGGTAAATCCAGCTTAAATTTGACAATCTTAAGTCGTTTATATCTTTCTTAAATTTACGACAGTTATATTCTAGGTACAATTGACATTTTTAAAACAGTTTAATCCAGCTTAAATTTGACATTTTTAAGAGGGTTATATCTTTCTCAAATTTACATTTTTTTAAGATAGTTAGTTTAATTTGACCTTCTTAAGACAGTTATATTCTAGCTACAATTGACATTATTAAAACAATTTAATCCAGCTTAAATTTGACATTCTTAAAATATTTATATTCCTTAAGATAGTTATTTTTAGTTTAATTTGACATTGGTTATATTCTAGCTACAATTGACATTCTTAAAACAGTTAAATCCAGCTTAAATTGGACATTTTTAAGACGGTTATATCTTTCTCAAATTTACATTTTTTTAAGATAGTTTATTTTAGTTTAATTTGACATTCTTAATACAGTTATATTCCAGCTACAATTGACATTCTTAAAACAGTTAAATCCATCTTAAATTTGACAATCTTAAGACGGTTATATCTTTCTCAAATTTAAATTCTCTAAGATAATTATTTTTAGTTCAATTTGACATTCTTAAAACAGTTAAATCCACCTTAAATTTAACAATCTTAAGACGTTTATATCTTTCTTAAATTTACGACAGTTATATTCTAGGTACAATTGACATTTTTAAAACAGTTTAATCCAGCTTAAATTTGACATTTTTAAGACGGTTATATCTTTCTCAAATTTACATTTTTTAAGATAGTTTAATTTGACCTTCTTAAGACAGTTATATTCTAGCTACAATTGACATTATTAAAACAATTTAATCCAGCTTAAATTTGACTTTCTTAAGACAGTTATATTCTAGCTACAATTGACATTCTTAAAACAGTTAAATCCAGCTTAAATTTGACATTCTTAAAATGGTTATATTTCTCTCAAATTTACATTCCTTAAGATAGTTATTATTAGTTTAATTTGACATTGGTTATATTCCAGCTACAATTGACATTCTTAAAACAGTTAAATCCAGCTTAAATTGGACATTTTTAAGATGGTTATATCTTTCTCAAATTTACGTTTTTTAAGATAGTTTATTTTAGATAAATTTGACATTCTTAATACAGTTATATTCCAGCTAAAATTGACATTCTTAAAACAGTTTAATCCAGCTTAAATTTGACATTTTTGAGACGGTTATATCTTTCTCAAATTTACATTTTTTAAGATAGTTAGTTTAATTTGACATTCTTAAGACAGTTATATTCTAGCTAAAATTGACATTCTTAAAACAGTTTAATCTAGCTTAAATTTTACATTTTTAAGACGGTTATATCTTTCTAAATTTACATTCTTTAATATAGTTATTTTTAGTTTAATTCAATATTCTTAAGGCAGTTATATTCTAGCTACAATTGACATTCTTAGAACAGTTAAATCCAGCTTAAATTTGACAATCTTATCACGGTTATACCTTTCTCAAATTTACATTCTTTAAGATAGTTGTTTTAAGTTTAATTTGACATTTTTAAGACAGTTATATTCTAGCTACAATTGACATTCTTAGAACAGTTAAATCCAGTTTAAATTTGACATTATTAAGGCGGTTATATCTAGAGATGTAAAAAAAACGGTTTTTTTTCAGATGTGAAAAAAAACATGAAAAAAAACCTAAAAAAAAAACGGTTTTTTTTGTTTTTTTTCAAAATGAAATTTTGAGTAAAATAATAAAGTGAAATGTAGAATATATTAAATTTTTCATTATTGAAAATTTTGACTGAGACTAAAAAATCTGATTTCTTATTATTTGGTAGTTTTCACATTGGAAACCAGTAGCAATGTAAAACTTCTACACCAATACAAAAAATTAAAGGATAAAAAAAATTGTTTTGCGATTCTTCGGATAGCTGTATCTTTGTTAAAAATGGTCGTATTGGAGCCGTAAAAAAAGCAATTTGAAGCTTGAAGTTTCCAGTTTTGAGATTTTTAGATGAAAAATGTGCAACGCTTAATCCTAACAAATACCGTAATAAAAAAAATCGATTTTTTTTGGATTTCTGGTCCACGGAATGTTCCTACTTAACCACCAATGAATAAATGTTCTACAAGAATTTGCTATTGCTTTTTTGAAAAAAAAATTCCATACTCTACATGAATTTGAAAGATCATGAAAAAAGTGCTTTTGGAAGCTTTTTGAAGAATCAAGCGCTGAATCAAAAATATTATATGTAGTTGCTTTTTTTAGGACCAAATCAAAACAAGCGCGGCCCTTATTGGTCAATTCGGTGCTGGTGGCGCGTGCATAGCGCGAGACTGTATTTACATTTACTAATTGTCATTTAGTGGCTAATTTTAGTCCATGAAACCTAAAAAATTAGGCAAATGTGACTAATTTTGAAAAAAAACCTAAAATGTGAAAAAAAAACCATTTGAAAAAAAACAATGAAAAAAAACCTGAAAAAAAACAAAAAAAACGGACCGTTTTTTTTCAAGTCGCATCTCTAGTTATATCTTTCTAAAATTTACATTTTTTAAGATAGTTATTTTAAGTTTAATTCGACATTCTAAAGACAGTTATGTTCTAGCTACAATTCACATTCTTAAAACAGTTTAATCCAGCTTAAATTTGACATTCTTAATACAGTATTATAACTACAATTGACATTCTTAAAACAGTTGTACGTTAATTTTTTTTAAAGATTAGTACAGAAAGGGAGGGTAAAATTGTGGATGGAAAGTGTCATGGTTTGACAGCTAGTTATGTGCGTGAAAGATACAATTACGATGATACCACACCCATTTGTCAGTATTATGAAGGATTCTCTTTGGATGGAAAAGAGAACACAATTCCTCATGGTGTCTACAGTTTGGATGATTTAAAAGAATACGGTAGAGCTAGAAGTTGGTGTCCATATTTTTTATCCAGATTTGCGGTAATTATTTTGTTAAAATATATGTAGGTATGTTAGAATAAATATATTTGTTTTTTTTAGATTAACTATGCAAATATAGTTGTATACAGTTACCATTATTTATTGGACCCTAAGATTGCAGATGTGGTATCAAAAGAGCTGGCTAGGGAATCTGTAATTATTTTTGACGAGGCCCATAATATCGATAACGTTTGTATTGATTCTATGAGCGTTAAAATACACAAAAGAACAATAGAAAAAGCCACTGCTAATATCACTTTATTGGAGAAAACAGTGGCAGAGTGAGTATTTTTTATTTTTGACTTATAAAAATGTTTTATGCTCTTTTTTTAGAATGAGGGAAGACGACCATAAACGGCTACAAGAAGAGTACCAAAGACTTGTGGATGGTTTAAGAGATGCCAGTGTTGCCAGAGACACGGACGTCATTTTATCGAATCCTATTTTACCTGATGAAATTTTGCAAGGTATGTATAATATCTATTAGGGTGATTCAAAAAAACCAAATATTTTTTTTTACTTCTGACACTGAAAAATTGGTTCTCAGGCTCCTCTAGAAAGTGCTCACTAAATTTGAGCTCTTAATATTAATAGGAAGATCCTCCTCCACGGTTTTTAATTTTTTCTTTGGTCCCTTATAAAAAAGACCATATTTCATTATTAATCAATCGTTTAATCATATCTTTATATACACTTTTGTAGGAAATTATATGCTCTACAAAAAAGTACTTATGTGTTTAAGTGATTACTTTAACCATTTAAAAGGTATTCAAGATCAATGTTTGAAGAATTTATAAAAAAAACGAATATCTTCTGAACGGTTAGAGTAATCAATTAAACTCATCAGACCTTTTTTGTAGAGTGTTAAATTTTCTACAAAAATATGTCATACTCTTATGGTAATAAGTATTTTTCAACGAAATAGAAAATTATTTAAAATATTTTTTTTTAATAAATTTTTCAAACTTTGATCTTGAATACCTTTTAGATGGTTAAAGTAATCGCTTAAACAAATCCTTTCTCAAATTTACATTCTTTAGGATGGGTATTTTAAGTTTAATTTGACATTCTTAATACAGTTAAATCCAGCTTAAATTTGACATTCTTAAGACGGTTATATCTTTCTCAAATTTACATTCTTTAAGATAATTATTTTTAGTTCAATTTGACATTCTTAAAACAGTTAAATCCAGCTTAAATTTGACAATCTTAAGACCTTTGTATCTCTCTTAATCTTCTTTAAGAAAGTTATTTTTAGTTTAATTTGACTTTTTTGAGACCGTTACATTCTAGCTACAATTAATATTCTTAAAACAGTTAAATCCTGTTTAAATTTGACATTCCTAAGACGTTTATATCTTTCTCAAATTTACATTCTTTAAGATAGTTATTTTTACTTTAATTTGACATTCTTAATTCAGTTATATTCTAGCTAGAATTGATATTCTTAATCCAGCTTTAATTTGACAATCTTAAGATGGTTATATCTTTCTCATAATTTACATTTTTTAAGATAGATATTTTTAGTTTAATTTGGCATTCTTAAGACAGTTATATTCTAGATAGAATTGTATTAATTGACATTCTTAAAACAGTTAAATCCAGCTTTAATTTGACAATCTTAAGACGGTTATATCATTCTCAAATTTGCATTCCTTAAGATATTTATTTTTAGTTAAATTTAATTTCTTAGGACAGTTATATTCTAACTACAATTGACATTCTTAAAACAGTTAAATCCAGTTTAAATTTGAAATTCCTAAGGCTTCCTCTAGCTTAAATTTGACATTCCTAAGACGGTTATATCTTCCTCAAATTTGCATTCCTTAAGATATTAATTTTTAGTTAAATTTACTTTCTTAAGACAGTTATGTTGTAACTACAATTGACATTCTTAAACAGTTAAATCCACCTTAAATTTGACATTCTTAAGACGGTCATACCTTTCTCAAATTTACATTCTTTAAGATAGTTAGTTTAAGTTTAATTTGACATTCTTAAGACAGTTATATTCCAGCTACAATTGTCATTCTTAAAACAGTTAAATCCAGCTTAAATTTGACATTCCTAAGACGGTTATATCTTTTTCAAATTTACATTCTTTAAGATAATTATTTTTAGTTTAATTTTTTATTCTTAAAACAGTTCAATCCAGCTTAAATTTGACATTCCTAAGACGGTTATATCTTCCTCAAATTTGCATTCCTTAAGATATTTATTTTTAGTTAAATTTACTTTCTTAGGACAGTTATATTGTAACTACAATTGGCATTCTTAAAACAGTTAAATCCAGCTTAAATTTGACATTCCTAAGACGGTTATATCTTTTTCAAATTTACATTCTTTAAGATAATTATTTTTAGTTTAATTTTTCATTCTTAAAACAGTTAAATCTAGCTTAAATTCGACAATAATAAGACGTTTATATCTTTCTTAAATTTACATTCTCTAAGAAAGTTATTTTTAGTTTAATTTGACATTTTTAAGTCAGTTATATTCTAGCTATAATTGACATTCTTAAAACAGTTAAATTAATCTTAAATTTGACAATCTTAAGACGGTTATAAATTTCTCAAATTTACATTCTTTAAGATGGTTATTTTTAGATTAATTTGACATTCTTCAGACAGTTATATTCCAGCTACAATTGATATTCTTAAAACAGTTAAATCCAGCTTAAGTTTGACAATCTTAAGACGGTTATATCTTTCTCAAATTTACATTCTTTAAGATAGGTAGTTATTTTTAGTTTAATTTAACATTCGTAAGATAGTTATTATATTCCAGCTCTAATTAACAATTTTTCAGTGACGGAAGTAAAAAAAAAAAATATTTTTTGAATCACCCTAACATCTATAGATATATTTTTTCTCAGAGGCGGTCCCCGGTAACATAAGAAACGCAGAGCACTTCATAAGTTTCCTGAAAAGATTCGTGGAATACATAAAAACGAGGTTAAGGGTGCAACACGTGGTCCAAGAATCCCCAGTGGGATTTCTCAAGGACGTTCAAAGTAAAGTTTGCATCGAACGAAAACCGTTGAGGTTCTGCGCGGAAAGACTGGCGTCTCTGTTGAGAACTCTGGAAATCTCGGACATGACGGATTTCAGTCCCATCATTTTGATCACCCATTTGGCAACGTTGGTGTCCACTTACACCAAAGGGTTCACCATCATTGTGGAACCGTTCGACGACAAAACACCCACTGTGTCAAATCCTATTTTACATTTCAGGTGAGTTTTTATTTTACACTTTATAGCGGTCTGTATTTTTGTTATTTCTTACCCAATTTTGAAAATAATTATGTCAAATTTTAGATAATTTCATACACTTTGAGAAAGTGCAAATATATTTATATGTCCCAGTACTAATTTTTTGAGATAATCTACAAAATATGAAGTGGTGTCAATTTTAGTTTTCTTAAAATTATCACCAACTTTGCAAGACTGTAGTTTTGGTATTTTTTAACTTATTTAAAATATAATATATATCAAATGTTAGATAATTTTATAGACTTTGAGAAAATGTAAATATCTTAATATGCTCCGGTACTAATATTTCGAGATAATTTACAAAATATAAAGTCGTGTTAATTTGAGTTCTCTTCTAATTAACACCAACTTTTATTATTTTTTACACAATTTTAAAAATATTTATGGCACGCCGTTTTAGCATTTATTAGATAAAAGTTTAAAGATTAAAGTTTAGCACTTAAATTATGTTTTAACAGAAATTTATAAAGTTAAATTTTTTTAAACTCAAAACAATTGATAGTCAACAAAATATTTTAAATATAAAATGCAACAGTAACAATTTATGTTTAAAATATTGATTTTTAAAAGTTTTGGTTATAATATTTTATTCTACAAAATTATTGGTTTAAAATTTTAAAGAGTCATTTAAATGATAGTTGATAAATTTTTAATACAAAAATTCTCAAATTACATTTAAATGTAAGTTTTAAATTTTAAAGTAGGAATTTTTGGATTAAAAATTTATCGACAATCATTTAAATGACTCTTTACAAATTTAAACCAAAATTTCTTATTTTTAACAATTTCAAAGTGATATATTTTTAAGACAAATCTTATAACTTTACATTTAAATGTAAGTCGATAATTTTTAAATTACAAAGTGTAAACGTAGCTTTAGTAGAAGGCACAAGAGTCTGGGATCGGAGCCACGATGCAGCCAGTTTGATCCGCAGTGTTGCCAAATCGTGCATGTTCCATAAATATTTGACGCGTTTTAGAAATTATCGTATTGAAATGTTTCTTTATTAAATAAATTTAATTATAGAATAACAACATTTTTAGTTAATTTGACAATTAAAAAACATTTTTTCTAATTTTTAAGAGAATTTTTTTTAAAATGTAGTGCCACAATATTATGTGGATGCAACCCTATACCTATAACTTATAGGTTATAGGTATATGGATGCTTTCCGGCTTTAGTGGTGAGGTTAAGTGTTAAACCTGATTTATAGATTGCATTCCTCCCGTAGAAGATGAACAATATAATCCCGTACGGAAATCTATAAATGGCACTGGGAATTTGTATGATGCATCCACGTAAATTGTGGCACTACATTTTAAAAATTTTTCTCTTAAAAATTAGAAAAAATGTTTTTTAATTGTCGAATTAACTTAGTAAAATAGGCACTAAAAATGTTGTTGTTCTATTATTAAATTTATTTAATAAAGAAACATTTAATTACCATAATTTGTAAAACGCGTCAAATATTTATGGAGCAAGCACGATTTGGCAACACTGCGGATCAAACTGGCTGCATCGTGGCTCCGATCCCAGACTCTTGTGCCTTCTACTAAAGCTACGTTTACACTTTGTAATTTAAAAATTATCGACTTACATTTAAATGTAAAGTTATAAATTTTGTCTTAAAAATGTTTCAATTTAAAATTGTTAAAAATAAAAGTTATTGGTTTAAATTTGTAAAGATTCATTTAAATGATAGTCGATAAAATTTTAATGCAAAAATTACCACTTTAAAATTTAAAACTAACATTTAAATGTAATGTTCAAATTTTTGTATTGAAAATTTATCGACTATCATTTAAATGGCTCTTTACAAATTCAAACCAATAATTTTGAAGAATAAAATATTAAAATTCCATTTTTTTAAAATCAATATTATTAAACTTAAACTTTTACAGTTGCATTTTATATTTAAAATATTTTTTGATTATCAATAGTTTTGAGTTTACAAAAATTTAACCGTTTAAACTGTTTTGGTAGAAAATGTTTTATATGTGTTTTTATTTTAAATGGCTTGATACTATTTTTAAATACTACAAAATTTAACTTTACCAAATTAATCTCAATAATTTTATAAAATATTTATTTAAGTTTACAAAATACCACCCAAATAAATTATATATTATACTTAATTGGGAAATTATTTTTATTAAAAAATGATAGTTAAAAATTTTGCAAAAATTGATAGAAAATAATATTGTTTAATACAGAAGTGAACTGTTAGTTAGTAAATTTTGTCTTTCAATACATGATAGTTGAAAAGATTTTAAATTTATAAATGGAAACCTAAAATTTTTAGTTAGGAAAATTTTAAAGCAATAACATTTTAAAATACAAAATTATTTAATAAATGTTAAAACGGCGTGCCATAAATATTGGATAATTTATTTATATTAGGAAAAAGGCTTTTATTTTGTTTTTTTAGTTGTTTAGATTCTTCCATAGCCATTAAACCAGTGTTTGATAGATTTCAAACGGTGGTAATAACATCAGGTACTTTATCACCTTTGGATATGTATCCGAAAATTCTGAATTTTCATCCAGTTGTGATGTCATCATTTACCATGACCTTGGCTAGACCATGTCTCCTACCAATGGTAATTTTTTGGTGTCATTATTTGTTTTTTTCGAGATAATAAAAAATCTGTTTAGATTGTATCGAAAGGGAACGACCAAGTGGCTATATCATCGAAATATGAGACAAGAGAGGATAATGCTGTGATAAGAAATTACGGTCAACTTTTGGTCGAGGTAAAATACCGTTTACATAATCTTTTGTAACATAAAATCTAAAGGAAATATTTATATTTAGGTGGCTGCAAATGTACCGGACGGTATTGTGTGCTTTTTCACGTCGTATTTCTACCTAGAGTCAGTGGTTGCAAGTTGGTATGACCAAGGCGTCATAGACAGCTTACAGAGATACAAATTGTTATTCATAGAAACGCAAGACTCCGCCGAAACTAGTTTTGCTTTAATGTACTATATCAAGGTAACAAAATAGCAAATAACAGGTTTCTCATGTTCTTCTTAAATCGACCAGGCAAAAAGGGTTATTTTTTAACGAATTTTTTTTTACAGTTTCTCCACCGAAATCGATGAGACCTGTATATTTTCTTTTTGCTTAAATTTGTTTTTTCACCCGCAGGAAAGTTTTGAAAAATGGGCATCGACATCGATTTTTCGCTTTTTACGAGTGACATTTTTTATTGAAAATGCGCCAAAAATGTTTCGATTGTTAAATTTTTTTTTAATTGTAGGTAAATGTTAAATTAAGGGTATTTTCACGAAACCTTACCCCACATTGTCAAAAAATCAGATGTGTTATTTAACAAAATAACAACTATATCTTAAGTCAAATAGTTTAATTACGACGTAATTTATACCCTTAAAATATTCGTACATTGTGATGCTAAGAAGCTAACGTTAAGAATAAACACGGAAGAGTTACAATACTCGATAAAATGTTCAAATGTCGCACCCGTTACATTTTGAGAAAATTTTAGAAAATAAAGTATACAATATTTGTGCATTTAAAATACGTGCTTGTTTAAGGTACTATTCAAGTTTTACACAAAAAATTATTACTATAGAGTCAATCCAAATGAAAACACCAAAAATGAATTTAAAAGTGCGCTGCATGATTTTTTATTTTGATGAAAAAATTTGAGGATGATCTTTTAGGTGTCAAATATGAAAATCCGTTGCCGTTTTAATTTTTTGTTGCTTTACTTTTATTTGGCACCCCTTAGAAGTCTGAAATAGTGTCAATTTCTTACTCTCTTATAGTGGGCCAGAACTTTTTTTCTGTGACAAATATTGAAATAATTTTAATTTTGTTTTACTGTTCAGTAAGTGTGTTTTCGATATAAATTATTATTATCCAATTAGTTAATCTCATAAAAGAATGGTAAACCACTAAAGATTCATGATAATTTGCCAATTTTTGTGATTTTTGTCTGGCTCCTGTGCCTATTCTACTGAATTTAGAAGATTCATTTTTTTCAGGTATAAAGTACTTATACAATAGAAAACGTAACTATTATTTTAAGTTTCTAGACTATCAATTTCTTTATTAAAAAAAATATTGAAAATTGATAATTCTCAAAATTAGCCAATTTTGCCCTCAAAAATCATTATGTTGAGGAAAAAATAAAAATCTGAAACTTTCAGGAAATGTAGTCCCCACCTTCATATTTTCAGTCCAGTTAGTCTTTTTTTGTTATTTTTATTCCTTTAAAAGATATATTAATTTTTTTAATGCCCGTTTAGTAGCGATATTGTTAGTTTTATTTATAATTTAAAATTTAGATGTCTTTCATGTTTGGTGGAGAAGTGTCAGAACTGTCAAAAATATTTCATAAATATTATTTGTGCGTATTTCTTTGGTAAATTTTGTATATAACATAATATGTAATATTATGTTATATATAAAACACAGGAGCCAGACAAAAATCACAAAAATTGGTAAATTATCATGAATCTTTAGTGGTTTACCATTCTTTTATGAGATTAACTAATTGGATAAAAATAATTTATATCGAAAACACACTTACTGGACAGTATAACAAAATTAAAATTATTTCAATATTTGTCACAGAAAAAAAGTTCTGGCCCACTATAAGAGAGTAAGAAATTGACACTATTTCGGACTTCTAAGGGGTGCCAAATAAAAGTAAAGCAACAAAAAATTAAAACGGCAACGGATTTTCATATTTGACACCTAAAAGATCATCCTCAAATTTTTTCATCAAAATAAAAAATCACGCAGCGCACCCCATTTGGTGTTTTTATTTGGAATGACTCTATATGCTTTCATCCAAAATTTTACAGTACCAACTTTAGAAGCCAAGTTGGTCGCATTTGCCGATTTTCTAAGGTCGCGCCCGTTACGCTATTTATGACGTTATAAAAGGTTTTCTATACAAGTTTTTATTGACATTTTGTTTGAGTTAAATACCTAATTTTTTATACTATTTTTTTATATTAACGTATCTATATATATGAACAAACACTTTATTTTCATGAAACTCGTTACAATTAGGGTTGGGACAGTTGAAATTTTCAAATGAAAATTTTAACTTTAAAAGTTTCAAACTTGAAATATTTCATTTAGTTGGAAAAGTGAAATTTTAAAAAATTTCAAATGAAATTTTCAATTCGAAAATTTCAACATTGCCTGTGAAAGTTTCAGAAATTTCATTGAAAGTTTCGCAATTTACTGAAAATTTCGAATAAATTTCACATGCGGCCTCCCCTGGGACCTTTAATAATAATTTACAACAGATTCCGAATCGACCAATATGAACGAGTTATCAAGCGTCTGGGCGTTTTTGTTTAGTTCGGCTTGGATTTGAATACACTATAAGTAATTATTGTTATTTATATGCATAAATTAATTTAAATAATTTAATTCAGTTACCAATTTAATTTGTAAATTAAATCAGACTTTAAAAGTCATGATTAATTTAAACTTTTACTTTTGCTATAATTGCATCGGAAAACGGATAAAAAATGCCTTTGGCTCATAAAATTTTGATGAAGTTTCTTCAATTTTCGTAAAATTTCAGTAAAATATTAAAAAATAATAAATATATATATAAATATAAGACAATGAAAGTGGCACAATCTCATTAGCTTACCAAAAAGTGCTATATCTCTTTTAGTTTTAGTAATTTTAAAAATATTTTAAAAGGAAATCTCAAGAAATTTGTGGTAAACATAGGTATTGTCTATTTATATTATTGGTGCAGGGGCCCACAGAGGGGTAGGAGGTAAGAGAGTGGGCTTATTTCAATATTAATATATTACACTTAAAGTGATTGAAAGTTTCAATAAATTTCATGAAATTTCAGAAAATTTAGGAAATTTTAATAAATTTCATAAATGTCATGAAAATTTCAAGTGAAATTTCAAGTACAAGCAAAAAGTGAAATTTTCCCAACCCTAGTTACAATGGAAATACCCTTAAGTAAATTCACTCATTTTTTTAAAATTGTTTTTTCTAAAAAAGGCAAAAAAATTGAGGTCAAAGTTTTGACATTGCCACATATTTCAAATTTTTGAAGGTAATAATATGTACAACTTTCACCAAAAGTTGTCTAAATTCGTCGTTTCGGAATTATTATTTTTTTAATGAAAACGCCATTTTCTAGTAATTTTGTGGTTCATCGCAAAAATTTGGTATTTTATCTAGGATCATGAAAATGGGGTGACCTTTATAAAGGTTAATTTAGAACTTCTTGACATATTTAACATATTTTTGTAACTTTTTATTTTTTAATGAAACACCCTATGCATTTTTACATATTTCGATTTAAAATCAAATTCTGAATACATACATACATTTGACAATTTTTGACAGGTCAAATCATTTTTTGATTAAATTTTATTTCTATATCTAGAGTGCCTTGAATTGGCTTTTCTGCTTCATGTTGGGCCAAGTAGTCTGAAAAAAATACAATTTTATTCTTTTTTTGCAATGCTGGTCTTAAGGAGCTTTCAAAAATTGAAAAACCTTACTTTATGCCAAAACTATTTTTTTTTAATAAAAGAGGGTGGTCATAAAAGTAATACACTTTTTTTAAATTTTATACCAAATAATAATGCATTTTTTAATAATATCACTTTTAAACTCTTAAATATTAAATTTATTTGTTTATTAGGTTTTAAAGTGTGTACAAAAGTAAATAAATTAAGAAGGCTTTGAAACCTTTGTGTTTAAAAAAAGAATCAGATTTGACAGTTTGTTAGTTTGTTTTGCTGGTAAGTGAATATTAACATTTTATTTTACTATTAAAACATAGTTACGCTAAAACGTTTTATAAAATAAAATAAAAATAATAATTGAGGTGGTTAGAATCAAAGGAGTGCAAGTAATTGCTCAACATTTTTTGGTTTTAAATCTACTAAATAAAATTATTCAAATATTTTAAAACGATTATAAAAAGTTATATCTAACCGTCCCATAGTGTGGCCATTTTAGGGAATCTCTGGCAATAAATAAAAAAACGAAATATGAAATCATTTGATTTGATTTGATTTGATAGAGCCTCAGTCAAAAAGAGTTGTGTGTGTTTCTTGTGCATTCAATTCATTACTTTTAGGTATATAATACTTACTTTTTATTATTTTAACCAAAATTAACTTAGGTAAACTTATAAATTATAATTCCGAAACGACAAATTTAACCAACTCAGGACTTTTGGTGAAAGTTGTTCATATTATCTACTTCAAACGAGAAAAATATAATAAAAATTCGTTGAAAAATAACGACCTACCCCTTATTGCCTGGTCGATTTCAGATGGAAAGACCCTATGACAACGGCTATATCACGTTGAATACCCAGTTCTCGTCCCTGTTTGAGTTTTTAGAATATTCTCGGTGTTTTAGGCTTGTGAATCTGGCAGAGGGGCAGTTTTATTGTCTGTAGCAAGAGGTAAAGTATCTGAAGGTGTAGATTTTGATCATCATTTGGGCAGGGCTGTTCTCATGTTCGGAATTCCCTATGTCTATACACAGTCGAGGATATTAAAGGCTAGATTGGACTATCTTAGAGATCAATTTCAGGTTAATATTATTAAAGACTAACCCACTAAAATACACGATACACGAAAAACGGTATGCTGATGAGCATGTTATAGCTATCTCTCTCGCACCGTGTGACGTCATATGCGAACCAAAAGCAGCAAGCGCTTCTAATACTAATGTAACATATTAACAATTAATTTCCTACCTTCCTATTATTATTTTTTTAAATATTTTTTATTTAATTGAATTAACTAAACTTACGCTAGACCGAATTTTATATTTTTTTAATATGAAAGGTAACAAAATTATAAAAATGCATTTATACAGGTAATAATAACGCACGTCCGCTTCAAAGAGTCTGATACAATTGTGTTTTAATTTTTATTATTAGTAAGTACCTACTTATGCAAGCTGTAAACAAATATGTGGTTATGGTGAAAAGTTACTTTATGTACCTAACAGAAAATTGGGTATACCAAAAATTGCCTTTACTTACCGTTTTTTATTCCACTGTGCTGCCAGATCTTTATTTTTTGGAAATCAAAAATATTTAATGTTAGGTTGGTTGTTTGAGTTTGATATTTATCACGAAATATATCGATATTTATAAGCAATGATATACAGGGTGTCCCAAAAGTCAACAATATCCTTTAGAGGACTAATAGACCAACTCATGACTAAGCAGAAAATCAAAATATGACCTTAGTAAAAAATCGTTAGTTTTTGAGATATATTAATTTTTATGAATTTTGTAAAACTTGACGCCTTAGATCAGTTTTTCAAGTGCCACAGCTACAAAATCTAATATTAATTTAATTTTGAATTGTAATTAATAGCAGTCCTATTCAGGGTTACGCAAAATAAAATATAATCTAAGAATATAGAATGTTGTAGTTGTGGCACTCGAAAAACTGATTTTGTGTCAAGTTTCACAAAAAAACATAAAAATGCCAATATCTTAAAAACTAATGATTTTTTACTAAGGTCATGTTTTGATATTCTGATTAGTCATGAGCTGACCTATTAGTTCTTCAAAGGTTATCGTTGACTTTTGGGACACCCTGTATATCAATGATATTTATAAAACTGTTACAATTAAATATTTAATAGCTTTTTTTTCAAAGGTGATCTATTATAACATTTAAAAAAAGTATATAATGTTTTTAATAGATGGCGCTACTACTGCCTTCAATCATATACATACTTATACCTATAGGTACTTGTGTGGTATACTTACCACACAAGTAGGGTAAATTGGCCAGTGAATAAAAATGCCAATATCAACAGTTTTAAAGAAATTAGGGTTAAAAAAAAAGCTCACACAACTCTTAGATCTTCGCCACTGACTATAAAAAAATTGAATTGGGACTAAAAAAGTAGCTAATATTATTGATAAGATGTGTACAGTAGCTTAGTTTTAAATCTCAAACGTTTTCTGAGATTTTGTTAAAAAACCAAAAAACAATCATTTTTCGACACCCTGTATCTCGAAAACGGTGCGTTTGCGGACACATGTGAATAGGACATTTTTTCCCTGGAATTAGTCAAGGAACACATGTTTTGAAACACCCTGTATGCCTTCAATTTTTATTTCCATTCTACGAATTTAATAAATATTTGTAGATTTTATTGAACACAAAATTTACAATTAATAATTTAAAAATGTGATTATTTTTTTAATTTAAAATTTGTTTAATTTGTTCGTTTAATCCTGCGCATTGTTTAAAAGACGACCGTAGTGCCATCTATTGTCACAATTGTATACTGGCCGCGAAATCGTCGTTTTATTGTGTTAGTTTTATATTCTTAATCTATGGTAGGGCTGTGTTATAATTGCAGAGATAATATGCCAAAGAAAAAAGATTTAATTAATAATTTTTTAAATTAAAATTTAATTTTTTTGTTAAGAAATTATTTTTTGTTTTATAAGTGTATTGCTATTCAATAAATGCAGTAAAAACTTTACGAAAAACTTTGCAGAACCATCATGCGTGGCTTATACTTAAAAAACACAATAATTTCGGAAAAAAATCAAAACAAAACTGTCACATTTGAATCTGGTTCGCAGGTGACATCACATGCGTGGAGCCGACGAGTTTTCGTTTCATAATCAGCACACTGGTTTTTGTGTATCGTGCTAAAAGATTGTATGGTCACTTTTCGTTTCCAGATAAAAGAAAACGATTTTCTTACTTTTGATGCCATGCGGCATGCCGCGCAGTGCGTAGGTAGAGCTATAAGAGGCAAAACTGACTATGGTATTATGATTTTTGCGGATAAACGATTTTCGAGGTCTGATAAAAGGTCAAAGTTACCAAAGTGGATTCAGGAACACTTAAAGGATTCCTATTGTAATTTGTCTACAGAGGAAGCAGTCCAGGTAAAACAGTTCTACAATATTTCTTTGTATGCAAATTAATGTTTTTTTAGATGGCTAAAAGGTGGTTGAGACAGATGGCGCAACCGTTCACCAGAGAAGATCAGTTGGGAGTCTCTTTATTAACTTTAGAACAACTGGAGTCTCTGGAAGAAAAGAAGATTAAAGAGCAGGCTCAGCAGCAGTCAAATAATGTATAATACGTTTTTTTAAATTGAAATAAACACGTTTTTTCTAACCCTGACTGTTATTTAAGTAACTTGATAAATAGGTATCCAGAAAAAACTAATAAAAGTATTTCGGGACCTGGGAAAAAAAATCAAAAATGATAAAACATTTAAACGCTCGATAACGTTACAGATGTGTCAAGAATTGCGAATGAATTGAACATGAATTGAACAGGATTTTCTCTACTCCACTACAACAAACAAGAGACCTATTCGCAGTTAAATATCCGGAACTTTCTATTCCTTCAATTGGAACAATAACAAACGTTATCCAAAGTTTTAAAACAAATGGTTGTATTTTGGGGTGTAAATGTCACAGTACTCTCAGAATTGATGTAGATGCGGAGATGAAAGAAGTAATGGTTTGTCCATTAAAAACAGAGTATTTACCGACGAATCCACATTTCTATAAATGGAAAGCACAATCCTGCTATTGTCCAGTACTGGTCTATTAAAAATGAGTACAGACAACTAAACTTAAAGACTCAGTATCCTGAAAAGTTTAACGTTTGGTCTGGTATTTAAAGGAATAATATTATTGGTCCCTTTGTAATTGGTGGCAATTTAAATGGAGCGAGATATTTGGATCTTCTTCAAAATATAATTATTCCTGCAATCCAAAATATAACTCCAAATTTGGATAACGTTTGGTATCAACAGGACGGTTGCCCATCACATAACACAAGAATAGTGATTGAGTATTTACAAGAGATTTTTCCCCAAAGGATAATTTCTACCAGGGGCGCTATTCGCTGGCCAGCAAGGTCGCCAGACTTGGCTCCTAACGATTTTTTGTATATGTAAAATCTACCTTGTACAGTCATAAAAAAATAAATAATTTGGGCGAATTAGAGGCAAGAATGCATACAGCGTTTGAGACAATTACTCCAGATATGCTAGCTAATGTTCGCACCGAATTTTATGACAGACTGGGCTTTTGTTTGACGCAATTTGGGGGAACGTTTGAAAATGGGCTTTGTTTGAATAAATTATTCAAAGCTTTTGTTTAAATAATAATTTATTATTTAATTAATTTATTTACATTTATTTTAAGAAGTTTGATTTTTAGTTTTGTTTTAGGAGTATTGATTTATTCATTTTAATTTGTTTTCAAGAGAAATATTTTACTTTTTTATTTTAGTTTTTAATGATAATTTTTTATGTTTTTTTAAGAAAACGCTTTTAGTTAAATGCAAAACAAATAATGATTTTAGACCTATAATTAATAATTTACTGTTAAAAGTGATTACCTACGTTACATTTAAAGTATCTGAATCATTTTTAAAAGTAAATTAACTTAATAATGCGTAATTCGTATTAATAATCCAGAACAAACTTCAACATCACCAATCGCCGGTAAAGGTTGTACTGCTGATTTACGAATATCATCTCTCCGTCCGAGTATATTAACCGGTCTAGGTAGGATTAAAAACACTCCAATAGAAAAATATTTCTTTACTCAATATGAACAACTATTTACAAAAATAAAAAAAACAAAAAAGTCTAGGAAACGTTAAGTTCTAGTGGCAGTTCTAGTCCGGCTGGAATTGTTATTCCGCCTGTGTCAATTGCATCTTCCGTAGTGTCCATATTTAAAAAGCAGTTTTGAGTTTCATCATCCTCAATATCTAATGCATTATCAGTCTAAAATGCAAAAAAGCCTCTAAAATAACATTCCTAAAAAAAATACAATTTTACCTTATTTGATTGGTTTACAGTGGTGTCATTAGTGGTTATTATAACTGTGTTCAGTAGAATTCCACCTAAAATAGATTTGTAACGTAATTTTAATTTTTTAATGTAATTGAGGTTAAAAAAACTAACCTTTATCTTCTTGACTAGTTGTGGTGTTCAACACCACCTGGTGGCATTTTAGGTGCGACAAAAACGCTGGGAAATTTAACGTGGAGTACTTGCAATGGTCGCATTTTAGGGTACCTTCTTTATCAGGGTGTCTGGAGCTCAAATGGCTCTTAAAAGCTGCACTTTGTATCGACGAATAGTCGCAATAAGGGCAGTTGTACTGAACACCCTGTACAAAAAAAAAATTAGTATGTATTAATTAGTATTAATTTTGTTTACCCCAAAATGCCGCATTTTGTGCCTCCTCAAAGAATTGTGATCTCCAGTTTTGTATGAACACATTTTGCATTCATAAGGTTTAGCACCTGTATGTTGCCTGTGATGCAACTAAAATTTGTTATAGTATAAAAAATAAGAATTTATAGAATTTATATAGTATTATACTTCTAGCATGGCTTTTGTTGAAGTTTTATGCCCACAAATACTACAAATATAAGGTTTAATTTTCTCATGGACAAATTTAACATGTTTTGTGTAAGATTTGTTATTTACAAACACTCTGTCGCAAATTTCGCATTGTTTCATTGTCGACCAATTTGGCAACTAAAAAAAACAATTTAATTTTTTTTTGTATACAAGGTGACCCTGTATAAAATAATATCACATATTCCTGAGACCACAATAATGCAATATAACTAAATTATTTACCCCTATTCAAAACTTGATGATAACCGAGGTAAATTAAGTTATGTTCTTAGGAATACGTGGTAATATTTTGTACAGGGACACCTTGTATAATAAGCAATATTCTTACATTAACTGTCCCTCTTTTGTGAGTAACTTCATGATTTTTAAGTTGTGAAATCTGTTTAAAACTTTTACCGCATTCGCTACATAAAAACGGTTTTTCATCGTTGTGTATTGCCATGTGGGCTTTGAGAATAGCTAAAAAAATTTAATCAAGTGTTAAAAAAGTCTTGGGGTGGGGTAGTTCTGGTAAAAGTGGGGTAATTTTGGGAAAAGTGGGGTAATTTTGGTAAAAGGGAGTAATTTTCTGAAAATTGATCTACACGTTTAGGCAAACGTTTTTGTAAAAGTGGGGTAAGTTTCGATAAATCTGGGGTCACGTTTGGTAAACTCTGGTTTTAGGTCGATTTTGAAAGTTCTGGTAGAAGTGGGTAATTTTCGGAAAATTAATCTATACGTTTGGGCAAACGTTTTTGTAAAAGTGGGGTAATTTTCGATAAATCTGGGATCAATTTTGGATTCTACTTTTTAGACCGATTTTAAAAGTTCTGGTAAAAGTGGGGTAATTTTGGTAAAAGGGGGTAAATTTCGAAAAATTGATCTACACGCTTGGGCAAACGTTTTTGTAAAAGTGGTGTCATTTTCGATAAATTTGGGGTCACTTTTGGTAAACTCTGGTTTTAGGTCGATTTTGAAAGTTCTGGTAAAAGTAGGGTAATTTTGGTAAAAGGGGGTAATTTTCGGAAAATTAATCTATACGTTTGGGCAAACGTTTTTGTAAAAGTGGGGTCAATTTTGGTAAATTCTAGTTTTTAGACCGATTTTTAAAGTTCTGGTAAAAGTGGGGTAATTTTGGTAAAAGGGGGTAATATTCGGAAAATTGATCTACACGTTTGGGCAAACGTTTCGATATATCTGGGGTCATTTTTGGTAAATTCTGTTTCTTCTTTTGAAAAAAAATTACTTACCAGTGTTGACAGTTTTAAAATCATTACACATAGGACAAATCAACACGCCCATATCAATTTTATGGCACTTCCACATATGACTGCTGCATATTCGCCATATGGAAAACTTTTCCTGACATTCAGAGCACTGAAATTGTTTTTTGTTACCGTCTACGTGACAGGCCTCGTGTCTTTTACGAATTTCTTCCTTTGCAAATCTCGAATCGCAACCTTTAATTGTACATCTGAAATAAAACAATCTATGATCCAAGGTGTTATCCATACATATAGTTTAATTTATTGTCTCAAATTTTTCTCTTGAGATAAATTAACGAAATGGGAAGTGGTTCACGTTTTAAAATAAACGTTTTGAATGGTGGGGTAATTTTGGTAAAAGTGTGGTAATTTTGGTAAAAGGGGTCATTTTCGGTAAAATGACCTAAGAGCTTAAATACACGTTTTGGGTGGTGGGGTATTTTTGGTAAATTGAGGTAATTTTTGGTAAATTTGATGGATTATAAAATCCGAGGTTAAATTACTCTTACTCTTTTGTGAGATTTTTGCTGTTTTTTCACCAGTGACTCCGACATACTACAAAGTTTTGTATGATCGAAGGTGTTATCATACATATATTTTAATTTATTGTCTCCAATTTTTCTCTTGAGATAAATCAACGAAAGTGTTTTACGTGTTAAAATAAACGTTTAGAATTGTGGGGTCATTTTGGTAAAAGTGGGGTAATTTTGGTAAAAGGGCTCATTTTCGGTAAAAATATACACGTTTTGGGTGGTGGGGTAATTTTGGTAAATCGAGGTGTAATTTTTGGTAAATTTACTGATTATACGACTTACTTAACTCTTTTGAGAGATTTTTGCTGTTTTTTCACCAGTGACTCCGATATACTTCGAACGGTTTTAACTATTTTTTTTTCTGTATTATTTGATTGTTCAGAATCGTTTTCTTCCTTTTTCGAGTCCGACAGATTGTGTATCTAGTAAAAAAACATGACATAACAAAAATAAAAATAACATTGAAAATTAATAATATTTACATTTATCATGTGTATTCTTAGTTCTTCTTTGCTTGGACATCCGGTCCTGCAAACACTGCATAAAAACGTTGTTTTTTTATTGGTGTTGTTTGTGTTTAAAATTGACATAGTTTTGGGGCTAAGGTTTTTTGGATTTACGGGCAACATCTAAAAAATAGTTATTACAATAAAATTATGCATTTTGTTATTTAAAATGCTGCTTTAAAATTTGTGTTTTATAGTCTATTTTTACCGCAATAAAATCATTTTATATAGGTACATGTAATTTTATATAGGTACAGGTAAAAATATATAGGTACAGGTAAAAATATGTTAAAAAGTAGTATTACAAAACTCACTTTTTCTGAGTGCTTTTCAAGTATGTGAACCTTAATATCATTAACAGTTTCACACAAAAACTTGCATATTTTACATCGGTAAGCATTAATTTCTGAATAAAAATCTTTATAATTCAGTTCTTTTGATTTGTTATCATTATTTTTTGGGGGTATTATCAACATAGACTTATTGAGGCTTAAAATATTACCCCTATTGTCCACCAAGTGCACAATAGGGGTATTTGCATTTGATGAAGATTTTTTAGCATGTTCTTTTTTTAATATCGAATTACATGTTAAGTAAGTATTGTTCTTGACATTTTGTACTTCTTGTTGAACTGGTGTAGTTGTGTCATCGTCTATGTTTAAAAGAATATCGTCACTACCTTCAGTTACTATTAAATTTTCGTTATTTTCAATTGATTCTTGTGTATATGTAATAAAAGGTGTATTATCGATTATCTCCGATTTTTTTGTAGAAATATCATTGTTTAATTGTAAAAGTATATCTTCATCTGCGTCAGTCAATAATAAGTTCTCGTTTGGCACAAATGTTTCAGTAATTTTAGCTGTGTTTTCTTCTTCCAAAGAGTTTGTCAACAATACTGGAAAGTTGTCATTTCTCCAATCAGATGAATCAACTGGGGTAAAAATATGTTCGACTGAAAAATTATCCGGAAATTCATCTTCGTTTAGGAGATAGGCAGTGGAATAATTCTCTGATTCCATTTCACCACGTAAAATCCAATTATTTACACCATAACTCTATATACTCTATATACAATAACCATTTCTCAACTATATATATTATTATAAAACTTTTTTGCTCTAAAAACACTACAAAACATCGTTTTTTAAAGAACTAACAACATTGATCTTGGCAACCTTTTGACAGTTATAATTGAGGTTACATTTCAAAACTGCCAACATAATTTTCCTTCGTTCGAGATTTCTGCGCCACGTTCGCCTACCACCCGGTAGAGGGCGACACGAGCAACTTCTGCGTCTCGACGCTTATAGATTTGAAATGGCGTCGGCTAATTTAATAAGGGTGTCATTACGAAACTGCTGGTTTTAAGGTTACAAAGCACGAAACCGGTGAGTTATTTTAGGCGTTGAAGCATGGAGAATGTATATGTAGAATGTTAATAAATGAGTTAATAGAATAGAATAGTTTTACTTTATTAATGTTGTTTGTTAGATAAGGCCATACCGCGTGCGTATTTGTGACGTAAAAGTTCAAGACCCTCTTTGATATTTTGTTTTAATTTCGCATGTTGTTTGACTTAAATTTTGTTTTGAATAACTATAGTTATTAATAAAATATTATACCTAGTTATAGCAATATGTTTGTATTTAGTTTATTTTAAGTTCACGATATTTTTGAAGACTTAAATTTAAATATACAATATATCTAAAGACTTTTAGAATCTCAATAGGATACTTTTAATTTAGGTATATATTTTTTTTCACAAAACCGATTTTTAATGAAATTGAAATTATTGTAAAAGATATAATAAACAATTTACGAGGAATACTGCAAAAACAATTTTTTGACTTTAAAGTTAATTTTTGCATTATAGCAGCATATGTTTAGATAAATTAGGTACTGTAAAAAATATTTTTTCTACTCCCACCTTTAAAACGCCCTTTATCGTACATGTTTCCAGGACACTATAGTGTGACATTTTAAATACACGTTGACAAGTTGTGGCTTTATGGCGCTTTAGTCACGGGCTAAAGTTAGCAACAGGTTTTTAGTCACAGTCTGAAGTTAGTTTTAAGTTAGTTGAAATTTCAACAACTTAAGTTGTCAAATGTCATACAATCGTTAAAACAAAGTGCCTTTCTTGTAAAATAATACTAAATGTGAAAATTATTTTATTATCTCAATACAAAATTACAAAATTATTAAATAGTTTCTCAACGCCAATATTTAAAAAGTTTATATGAACATTGTACTGACCTTTTAATTTCGCCGGCAGTACACTATAACTTAAATTCGGGCACGGACTCCACTAAAGTGCTCATAAAACATTTTCTTTACTTTCACTGTGAAAAACTGTCAATTTTCAAGAAATAAATTTCGATTTATAACCTTTATAATCTGTGTTTATAAAATATAAAAATTTGACATTTGACTGTGACACACAGATTCCCCTATTGTTTCATAGATGGCGCTCTATACAAATTTTTGATTTAAATTATTTTAAGATAATATTAAGTATTTGTCGTAGAAAAAGTATAGAATGCACCTCGTTTATACTTTTCTATACACTCATTAATTAAATTAAATTAAATTCGTGTATAAAATGGCGTTTATCAAACTTGATACATAATATACTATTTTACAAAAATCCATTTTTCCACTCCCACACATTGACAAGGCTTTATGGCGTTTTAGCCACAGGCTAAAGTAAGCAACAGGTTTTTAGTCACGGGCTTAAGTAGTTGACAGTTGTCAAACGTCATGCATTCGGTAAAATAAAGTGCCTTCTTTGTAAAATAATACTAAATGTGAAATTTATTTTATTATCTCAATACATTAATACAAACTTTCAAGGGAGAAATTTTAATTTTGAAAGAAAAATTTGACGAACCACTTTGAAAGTTGATATTACAGATTTATAAGAACAATTTGGTTGCTCTATTTTTGTATAGATGTCGCTCTATAAAACTTAAATTAATTAGTAATAGCCAACTTGATGTAATTTTTATAAAATAAAACAACAATGTTATCAAGCTTGCTGTTCTATTTATGTTAATAGCCCATAATAGTGTAATGTTTATTAGATAATATTATTAAGTGCTTATATTGGCGAATCTGTTTCCCATACATTTGCAGCTACATACATATGTTACATTTGTAAAACTACTACAGAGAACCGATGTATGTTTATACATACATACATAGAAGGATGTAATTTAAAGTAATTACATAATGGAAGTTGGCGTAGGAAACACTTGTATTGATTTAGTTTATTTTTGTTAACAGTTTATAAATAAGCATGCATATCAGCATCAGTTGATGCGAAGATTTATTATCTCCTTAGTAACAGATTCATGTAACAATAGGCAGAGCAAAAAATTTTTTTTTTTTAAATAATATTATCGAAAACGAATTTTAACTTTGACGGTTAAATTTATTTAAATTAATGGCAAAATGTATTAATAAAAATTTGTTTGCAAACTAAATTCAGAATTTATTTTAATTAAATTTTAAAACAGTTTTTTCAATATTATTTATTACACATTTTTGTTAATTATTTAAACATAAGGTGAACATTGACGTACGTGTCTTCATTAATGTTAAAGTTAACGTCTAAATTTATCTTAGCATTTGGCATTGTAATCAAGAAATGTGTGTTATTCAAAAGGAACTTAAATTAAAAACCTTGCTCTTCAAAAATAAATATAAAACCTTTAACAAATTTGGACGCATTCACCATTTTTTCAAAATGAAAAAAAATCCCTGAACAAGTTTTTTATAGGTATCTAAAATGCAAACAATTTAACAAAAAAAATCATTTTTAATTTTGTTTACTCAGAATTGTATCTGACTCACTTTGAGCCAGTCAATATATGAAATGTGACTTTTAAAAATACATAAAGCAAAAGATAGATTATTTCTAAAAATATATCCACCAGATTTGTAGCTTAACTACGCGATTTTTCAGTATGAATTTAAAATATAGTTTGAGGAAAACTACAAATTTTATACAAAATAATTTATTAGAAATTAATTTAAATAGTTTTATAGAGCTACATCTATACGAGGTGTGTTCAGAAAAAATCGGGAATTTTCGTTTTTTGAAACAAATATTTGTTTATATAATATTCGTCTACATTAATGTTGTCGCCTTCAAAATAGTCCCCATTGGATATTAAGTATGCACATGTGCCAGCTCTTCTTCCAATACTCGAAACACTTCTAAAACTCGATCTTTGTGATAGCCTTTAGTTCTTTCAGCGATGCGCTTTTAATGTCATCTATGCTTGCAAAACGACGGCCCTTTAAGGTTCTCTTTATTTTTGGGAATAGGAAAAAGTCAGACAGAGGCATGTCTGGCGAATATGGAGGCTGGGGCATCAATACAGTATTGTTTTTGGCCAAAAATTTTGTTCAAAATTTAACAATTTTAGAAGAAATTTTGCTGCCACGCGTTTCATACCCAAAACATCCAAAAAATTTCATGGGATGAGCCAATCGATATACCAACATCATCAGCGACTTCTCTGATGGTTTATAACCATTTCTTCCACTTTTTACATGTTTTTATCGGTTTTTTATGTGCTTGTGCGTTCGGGGCGTTCGTCATCTTCAACGTCTTCATATATATATATAGGCCTTTGTTAACATTTCACAGAATTTATTTTATTTTTTAAGCAAAATTGGATACAAATGCTTTGATTCATTTCTTTTAACGAACGAAAAATCGCCGAGATCATAAAACACGTCTAACCTTAGCGACTGCCACAAAGTAAACAATGAAAACAGCTAAAGTTTTTATCATACTTCGGGGGTATGTATACCAACATAATAAAGAAAATTTTATGACAACCGGACCCTCCGAACCTGCGAAATTTAACAATTCCCGTTATTTTCTGAACACACCTCGTACAAATGTCAACTGAATAAAATCTAACTTCAGCCCGTGACTAAAACGTATGTCACACCTATCAATATGTATGTTTAAGATCACTTATTATCATTATGGTGGGAGTAGAAAAATAGTTTGTATGCACTCTAGATAGGCATGTGTTCATTAAAATTATTGAGACAATTGACATTATCAATTACAATTGTTAATACTTGAGTAGTTTAGTGAAAGTAATTTAAATATTTTGCTCTTCTCTATTAAAGCAATTAAAAGGAATTTGCTAATTAAAAATTATTGCACGAGAATACCATACGTTAAATTATGTTGTTTTATTTTTGGCAATGATATAAAAAAATATTGAATATTAAACAATAAATATTGAATATTTAAGAAATTGAAAATTTTATTTTGTTGTAATAAGCATAGGTTTAAAAAAATTCTGGCTCCTTCTTTGTTTTTTGTTGCTTTCGTATTCTGTTTCTCGTATGAGGGACCAAATGTAATCACCCATCATGGCTGCATCCCAGAAGCCGTGATACCGCCGCTCTATAGCCTTCATTTGCTGGTGAAAACGTTCTCCGTGCTCATCACTTACGTGGCCCAGATTGTGCGGGTTAATTACGCACTCGAATTCTCTAATTTTTTACTCATTTTTATTAACTAAATAAAACCATGATAAAAATACCTTGTTGAAATATCAAAAAATAGCAGTAAAATGTCACTATGCCAACACGAGAAATAAAAGAATTCACGTTTGCGGAGTAATATCAAATTTAAATTTTGTTTCGGTGAAAAAAGTACGTAAAAAACTCAAAAAATTCCAATCATGTACTTTACTTAGGCTTTCATTAAAGAATAAACATATTATAAAATAAAAGAACAAAATAAATTAAAATCGTCAAAAAGCTGAATTTTGGTCTTCCACTAAAAAATTCATAACTTCGCCATTTTTCATGTATTTTTATTAACATTAGCTTGTTCTTTTTGTAAAAATATCGGCTTCACGAAAAAAAATTCAAACTGGAGTTATCTGTTTGATTTAAACCCTTCCCAGGACGATATGTAAATTTTCGACCTCAAATTTTGCCATAAAACGAACTTTTTAAGTTATTAAAATCGCTAGCGTCAAAATACTTATCCGATATCAAAAGTATGTAAAAGAAAGTTTTAGAGGGTTCAAATACCTTCAATTTAAGGGCTTGTTAACCAAATCGATTCGATTTCAAGCTATAGGTATACCTATACGTTTTTGAGTATACTCAAAAACGTCAAAAAAATTGAGTGTGATTTTCGTGTTTATGGGTCAAAATCACAGACCACCAAAACAATTTGTTTTGGTGGTCTGTGGTCAAAATACATGGAAAAATTATAATGGGATATGGTTGGCAGATTTTAGGGGAAGGTGGGGGAATTTTGCGCGGTGGGTAATTTTACGCATAAACAATTCTTCCAGATAAGAAGTAAATAATACATTTTTAGAATGTTGCAAACTTGGAAACGTTGCTTTGGGTATACGGGGACTAAAGTGTACCGCAATTAAGCTTGTAGCTGTGATACATGTACGTTGATCTAAGAAATCCATGTCGTTTCCGCTACGAGTTAAGTTTAAATTTCTGTCCAATCGCTTAAATGTTTATAACAGAACTTTATATGATCTTTCCTCGTAATCTGGTGTATGTTTAAATTGTTCAGGTTAACTTTTGGAAAGTTTTTTAGTATCACAATATTTTTCTTGCAATGGGGGTAATTTTACGCTGAAAAATTGGGGTAATTTTGCGCTGCAAAATTTGGCCAATATGGGAGCTTTGGTATACAGGAGCCTAGATTGTTCAGCATAAACAGTTCCATTTGGGCACACGCGGAGTGTAGCGAAAAAAAAACCCTAAAACTACATATGACAAATGCTGCATGTAGACCCTCTTATTTCTAAGAACAAAAATTTTATTTTTAGTTATTTATTTTTGATTTTGTTTGTTTTGTTTGTTTCATAGGAAAAATAGTTTTGTTTTATTTTTATGTTTTAATATAATAATATTATAGAAAAAAACGGTTTGTTTAGATACCTACAAATCTTTCTCTATACAGCGCAAATTTTCCCACTATAATGCGCAAAATTACCCTGATAGGTGGGTAATTTTGCGCAAATGCATTATTTAAAAAAATGTAGTTTATGCATACCAAACATTGTTTTTATAAATTGCGCATTATATACACATAGTAAACATAGTAGACTATCGCTGGTATTAATTGCAAAATTTCACATTTAAACTTAACAAAGATACTGGAGATTTTGCTTAGATGCGCAGAATTCCCCCACCTTCCCCTAATCGCAACAGGTGATAGGGAATAAGAAAATCAACAAACAAACCTAAAAATTATTATTTAATATTCAAGAATTATATTAAATTATAATAAATAAACATAATTTTTATAACTGTCAATCTCAGCGCATATTTGGCTTGATCTTTACACTTTAAATTACAAACACATCCGTGTTGATAAACTATCCAACCCAGATATATTTAAAATACCTATCTCAGATTTTAATCGGGAAAATTTAGTAGGTATAAGCAAAGATAATTATTATTATTATTATCTTTGGGTATAAGTACCTATAACATCGACTATAGTATACTATAGTCGATGGAACTCTCAAAAATAAGAATAAAACTTGTATGTTTTAACGCTTAGTTTTCTAGATACATGGTAGTAATGGATAAAGGGCTTAATTTATTGTAATTAAATTTTAATTTAGTAATCCAGCGGCGCTAGGACATTCCAACAAGATAAAAAAAATCTGGGTAAAATTATTTTTATTTTTTCAATCAGAACATTTTTTTTCCATTATTAAAAAAACTTTTTATTCATTCGCTAAAAAATTTCGCCGAAAAAATTTAATTTTGTTATATTTTTAATTGTCGATAAAAATACAAGATTTTTTTAAGGGTACTTACCATCTTTGTAATTACTAAAATTAACTTAGCCGACAATATGCCAGTTAATATGAAAAAACCACTGCGGCATTTTAGCACACTTTACTCTATACACTAGAGCGATTAGATTTTGTTTGTTGCTGGCAAAAGCTCCTTTGATCATCTCGACTCAGTTCTCGTTGGTCATTCTATGCGTAGCAGTGTTTTGTTTCTCACAACATCGAGTAGTTTAGAGCTCATTGTGATTATTATTTCCATTTTAATTGATTTTGAAAACAGACTGGTAAGGATTGTTTTTATTATATAATAATTTGTTCGTGTTGTGGGATTGTTTTGATTTTGTAATGCTGAGTGGTGAAAAATATGATAAAAGTGTAATTTGAAATGTTAAAAATTAAAATGTGTTGCATATAAAAGATAGTCGTATAATTTTCAACCTTAATAATAATTTTTGTAGTAATTTGAATCATTTTCGTGAGCAAGATAAACAACGAAACACCCTGTATATTGATAAAATATTAAGCATTTATATTTTTAATTTTTCAAAATATAAAATATTTAGGTGCACCTAAGTATACATATACAGTGTGACCCATTTGACATACCCCTCTAAAATCTTTTATATTTTATTTCAATTTTTTATTATAGATAACACGACAAAATTAATTTTTGCAGTTATTATTGTGCATTTTTTTCTTAAAAATTTTCAATAAAATTTAGTATAGGGTCGTTTTGAGGGATGGTCAATCCAGTGCCGTGCATAGATTTTTTTTTAATCGTTAATATGAATTCATAAAAATTTACTCTAAAAAACTGACATAGTAGGCCTTGTATTTTGTAAAAATATGGTGTTTTTTGCTCCAAAAATACAGTTTATCAAGATCTACACTTTAAATCAAATGCGGTTAAAATGGCACAATAAATAAAGTTTAACAGGGGTAAGTCGCAAACAAATTGTATATTTGTATATATATTGGGTATATTGTATATATATTGGGTGGTACCTAACTAACATATTATGTTTTTTGTCACAGATTACTCTTTAAGAAGCATTACTTTGGGGTAGGTAGTTTTAGTTACTTTTATTTGTTATAATTAACATAGATACATATTTATTTATTTCAATAAATGTTTACCATGTATATTTATACTTAATGATAGACAAATAACCACTTCAGGCTGAAGTCTTCAGAGTATTTAAAATCCAGTAATCTTTTTAAGGAAAATCGTCTTACCTTAAATGTTAAAATGCACTTTTTAAGACTTTAATCACATATACATGGTATAGTAAGGTGTAAAAAAGTTTTACATATTTTGTCTGTAGACACTCGACAAAAATGCCCTGATGAAGAAAAACTTGAAATGACACAGGTACAGGGTTTAAAATTAAAAAAAGGTTAAATCCCAAATTTGATGTGAGGATGTAGTTTTTATTTTTTGGGGATTACATACATGTTAGTAGCCTAATTATTTTGTAATAAATAATGATGTTTATTAAATTTAATACCAATCTAAACTGATTACATACATGGACTTGTTATTAAACATATTTGATTTTTTTAAATGCATATGACTTTAACTTGACCCTACCGTCAATACCAATAATTATTATACTGACCGACATTTGAAGGATTTGTACCTACGAGTCTAAATTATTATTATTATTGACAATTCATGTTTACTGTTGATTCAGTGAGATGATTCTAAAAATAGTTCATGTAGTCCAAAACCAAGCCTACTACTCCAAATTGAATTATGTCTGCCTACCATGCTTTATAAATAACCCCGGTTAAATAAACCTATTTAAATAGGAAATTAAGTGATATATTGTGCTGTAGAAATTGGTGAATGCCCAACATAGTGGCAAACAAAACATATTTACTTACTGGTTTTATATGAAGCCTTCTTATAATTAATTGTAGTATAAAAGGCTATTTATAAATAATTAATTTTAATGTTACAATAAGGTTCTCTGTAAGACTGACTTTGATCATGTTCTTACATGCAGGAAATAAATATTGTTTCCCCTTATCGTCCAATTAGCTAACTAGAATTTTATGAAAGGTGTTGTTAGATGAGAGTTGTTATAACATCATCATTATAATGATCTTGAGCAAAAAAGGTCGATTTAGATACGCGTTTTTAATGAGAGGCATCCAGGCAAAAATGTAGGACATCAATACGTCAGTAAATGAACAAATTACACTAGTTTACAAAATTTAAAAATTCTGCCCACCATATCCCATTATAATTTTCCCATGTATTTTGACCCACTAAATACGAAAATCACACTCAATTTCACGAAAAAAAAGACATGGTTGGCAAAATGGCTAGTGTTATCGGTCATTTTGCTGTAGAATTTACATCCAATTCAAAAGAAGCTGCTTTAACAAATTTTCGTGGGTTGAATATTATATTGTTCTAACCCCTTCAGACCTGGTGTACATTCAGATGTACATTAGCTTTTTAGTGATTTATTTACTATAAATAGGCATTAAATTTCATTTAGAACCTAGTTTTCACCCCCAAGTACATTTTTTTTGGTAAACTAAGGTACATTTTGCGACTTCTCTTACTTAAACTGCCCCTTTTGATTGAAAATTCTCTCATATAATGGAGATGCGCATAATGACAGCAACAACTCGTTGACGACAGTTTGTCTTAGCGGGTCTTTAGATGATTTGTAAAGATATTTTTTAAGTATAAACTGGTGTAGTTTGTTCCTAAAGGTATGTACTAAGCAGTGTTGTAACGTATCTAGTTACAAGTAACTAGATACAGTATCTAGATACTTTTTATGTATCTGTTTGTGTAACTAGTTACTTATCCCAATCTAGTAACTATAACTGTAACTAGTTACAAATTCTAAGTAACTAGGTGTGTTAAGATACAAAGATACATTTTTAATTAAACTGCGACTATTTTTTATTAAAAAAAAAATATTATAAAAAATAAGTTATTTTAAATAAAATATTAATATTTAAAATTCCCTTTTATTTCTATTTTAAATTTTTTAAAGCAAAAAATAATTTGTATGTATCTTAAAGTATCTAGATACTTTTTGAAGGTAACTGTATCTGTAACTAGTTACTGCAATAAAATATGTATCTGTATCTGTATCTAGTTACAAAAGTTGGTAAGTAACTGTAACTGTAGCTAGATACTGAAAATAATGTAACTGTTACAACACTGGTACTAAGACATGTAAAAACTATTTTGGTATTATCCACACCTAAACCGTATAAAACATTCGATGTACATGCATGTGAACATCCTGAAATTATCCTAAAATTTCACAATTAAGATTTTTTAGCATCAAATATGTGTTATTTAGGTCCTAATTCGATAGATTTAAGAGCCATTTATTTTTTTTTATCGTCGTAATATAGTTCAGGTCTGAAGGGGCTAATAAAATAAAACTAATTTTTTGAAAATCAAATTTTCAAATTTCAATTATTAATATTTTTGAAGTTTGTAAAGATAATTTGTACTTAACGCGAGTAAGCTAGTGCATAGTGCTTAGTGCACTTAATTTTAGTATTTTGGTTAACTAAAAATGTTAATAATAATAATAATAATAATCAAACAATTGCTAATAGAACATTTTTGTTTTATTATTTTTCAAAATTTTACAAAACGTTCCAAAATGTTTTAACAGTATAGGGTGAAAAATTACTCTTGCAAAAAAAAAACAAGGCTTAAGTAATACCAATTATTTATGATAACTCAACTTAACAACTAATTATTGTCTTTTTTTCTCATTTGCAAATACAGCAGCATTATTAAGTTGTTTAAAAAAAGTTTTTTAAAAATTACATCAACAGGCGGCATAAACTTAAATAATTTGGTTAGATCAGCAACTTTAGCAAAAGACAGGAGACATTTTTTTAGTTCAGGAGCATTGCGAATATCTGGTATCAACATTGGTGAAAATACATCGCCATACTCAGGTCTAAAAACAAAACAAAAACCAATACAAAATTATAAAAAAGTAGACTAGGATTTACCTATATTACCACATTTTGCATGTGATTTCAAAGCTGCTTCATTTGAATCTAAAGCCACATAATCTGGATCTGCACAGGAATTATCACTTTCTTCAAAGTATTCAATGATGCACAAAATGATTATTTTCGAATACGTCTGAACTTGTTGAACAGCAACTAAAAAATATAGTTTGAAAAAACAAATTCGTAGAAATAAGCTTATAATGTTCTGTTAGTAGCTACGTTTGAGTTTAGGGCACAAATCACTTATAAATTATTAGTTTTATTTGGGTATTTTATAAATATTTTATCTATTTCGCGTTCATAATGACTTCATTATAACACCGCTTTTGGTTCTTTAATGAGGTACTTTATTCCACCCAAAATTTTGATTTTATAGGTTGGCTACTAGTAAAATAAAATATTGAATACCTATAGGTTATAATATTTTTATGATTTGTTTTCTAGTACTTACGAGACTTTTCGTGCAATAAATTTTGTTTAACACCAAAGAAAATCCTTTTTTCTTCTTTAACAGCCGCTTATTGTAAATACTTATTGTAAATTAACGACGCCATAGCAAAAGAATGTGATAATGTTTGAAAGGTTAATGACCTTTCAAACTTTAAACTGAGATACCAACTATGTAAAGTAAAATTCGACCAAATTAAATATAAGGTATAAAATTAATTTGTTTTATGAAATGTTTGCAAAATAGATAAAATAGCATAAAGAACTCATGTCATAAGACCTTTTGTCGCAGTTGTCCATTATAAAACTCGCTCCTTCGTCGCTCGTTTTATAAATTGTCCGCGTGCGACAAAATGACGTCTTATGCATAGATAACAAAGCCTTTTTTTTTTTGGTCATATGACATTAGTTCTTTAATATACTATTAAATAAAATAATCACTTAAATCACCAAGAACCTACGACGTAATTCCTTAAACTGCCAATTTAATTGATTGGTTTGTTAGAACATTATAATAGTTAATTATATTTGAATTTCGCACATAGAACAAAATAATAATGTCGTTTTTAGTATTTCTGGGCTATATTTAACAGTGATACTTATTTAGATAGATAGATATTCGTTAAACCTTCATTTTCATGTAAAAATTTTATTTTCCGCCAAAATTGCTGATAGAACAATATAATATTCAACCCGCGAAATGTTTCCTATTGGTTTCATTCATAAGGTGCTAAAAAAAATAAGTTTTTTCCAATATAAAATTCAAATCCTTATAAGAGGGTAAATATTCAGAGTCTATTATATTAAAAAAACATCTGCACCTTTACAAATTGGTTCTCCCCTCTTAAAATTTAATGTTATGGCCATGAATACGTATCTTCTAAATTTTACTCATTTTACCGTTAGAAAGTTTTGATTTAAAGCTGTATTGTGAATAAGTTTCGAGGTAAATTTACGGTACAGTCGTACCTAATACTTTAAAAAATGTTAAAATAAAATTTCACAACATGAAACGAAAAAATTTGGCAGAAACTCTGGCATTCAACACCAAATTACCTCAAGTAAAACCGTGAAATTTTTCTTTCAGATGCCAGTAGTGAAAAGGCGCGGGATGTGAATGTTCGCCAGGATAAAACAATTGATACGAGGGTGACTTTTCATTTTTGAGAACGAAGAAAAAAATCGCTGGAAAATGCCAGGAGAAAACGTGAAAATGGAGCCTGTAGGGGCTAGCAAGTAAGTGATTATGTGTATATTTGTTTTTAGCTTATAGCTTTTAATTAGATATGGGTAATTCCATAGAGTCGAGTAAAGTCAGATTCACGATTATTTGTTTATTTTTAAATAGTGTCATGTTGTTTTGGGGCCTTTCCATCTCAAATGGACCAGGCCGTTATTTTTTAACGAAATTTATTTTACAGCTGCTCTACCGAAATGACGAGACCCATAATTTTTCTTTTTGCTTAAACTTTTTTTGTTCCCCCGTAGGAATTTTTCTCTTTTTACGAGTGACAGTTTTTATTGAAAATGCGATATCTTGGCCAAAAATATTTGGATCATTACAATTTTTTTTAATTGTAGGTAAATATTTACTACATAAAAAAAATTAAAAAATTAAGTGATTTTACATTTTTTTTTTAAAATTGTTTTATTCAAAAAAGGCAAAAAAATTGTGTCAAAATTTTTACATTGTCACGTATTTTTTTGCTTCATATTTTTTTCGTTTGAAAAGTCCCGAGTTGGCTAAATTTGGCGTTTCGGAATTATTATTGTTTTAATGAAAATGCCATTTTCTTGTAAATTCGTGGTTCATAGCAAAAATTGGTGGTGATCTTTATAAAGTGTATTTTAGAACTTTTTGACATAATTAACAAATTTTTGTCACTTCTGGTTTCACCGGAAAGGGTCTTAACTTTTTATTTTTTAATAAAAAACCCTAAAAAAATTTCCATATTTCGATTCAAAATTAAATTCTGAATATATCATTTGTCAATTTTTGACAGGTCAAATCATTTTTTGATTTTATTTTATTTCTATATCTAGAGCAGTGTTGCAAAAATCCTAATGTAAAAAATAATGCATTCGTCATTTTTTTTATTGGAAACGAATTCTAATCCATATCCCATTAAAAAAAAATGTATGTAAAATATTTTTAATTCTCATTAAACAATTCAATGCATTACTTATTAAAAAGTTTGCAATAAGTAATGGAACATCTTACATTACTCATTAAAAAAATGTGTTATGGGTAATCCCATTAAATTTTTTTTTCGTCAGGATAAAAAAAATCAAATTTTGAAAAAACTTTTTTTTCGATATAAAAAAAATCAAATTTTGACAATTATTCAAAAATAAAAAAAACAAATTTTCCAAAATTTTTATATCGATAAAAAATTATAAAATGCATATTAAGAGATTTTTTAAAATAAATTTGACATAACTTTTTTGAATATTTGTCATAATTTGAATTTTTTTTATTTTTTTGAAAATTTAAATTTTTTTGTTCGCTTTTTTTGAAAATTTAAAAAATGGATTTTTTTTGAAAATTTTAATTATTTATAAAAAAAGTGAATAAAAAAATTTAAATTTTTGAAAAAATAAAAAAAATGTCAATTTAAAAAAATTCAAATTATGACAAAAATTCAAAAAAATTAAGTCAAATTTAATTTAAAAAATCTCTAAATATGCATTTTATAATTTTTAAACGATTAACAAATATTTTTTATCTTTATAATCCACTCCGCATTTACTCTCCAAATGTGTACTGCGACTTTTTGATTGTTATTCAAATAATACTTTTTGATTGACGTAATTAATGGATGACCCCTTTAGAAGAAATATTTCCCCAAGTTCCATAACCACAACATTTTGTTACAAATATTATTATGATATCCAATGCAAATCGTGCGAAAAATAAAAAACAAATGTTATCTACAATAAAAAATAATTTCCCTACCTGTTAAAAATGAGCAATGAAAAACTCATTTTTCCCATTAAAAAAAAGAGTAGTGAAATAAATCCACATTAATCATTAAAATAAAAAATGTAATGGAAATTCATACATTACTCATTAAAAATTGAAAATGAGATATGTACAAGTAACTCTCCATTACCTAAACGAAAAAAAATGAGTAATGTAAATTAATTTTATTACTCATAATAAAGACGAGCAATGAAATATCATTGCATTAAAAAAAATGCGTTTTTTGCAACTCTGATCTAGAGTGCCTTGAATTGGCTTTTCTGCTTCATGTTGGGCCAAGCAGTCTGGAAAAAATACAATTTTATTCTTTTTTTGCAATGCTGGTTTTTAGGAGCTTTCAAAAATTATAAAAACATACTTTATGCCACAACTATTTTTTTTTAAGAAATCCACTAGTGGAAAAGCTTTTTTAAATTTGATACCAAATATTTATGCATTTTTTATATCGCTTTCAAACTCTTAATTAAATTTTATTAGGTTTTAAAGTGTGTACAAAAGTAAATAAATTAAGAAGGCTTTGAAACCTTTGTGTTTAAAAGATGTATCAGATTTGACAGTTCTTTAGTTTGTTTTGCTGGTAAGTGAATATTAACATTTTATTCTACTATAAAAACAGAGGTACTCTAAAACTTTTTATAAAATCAAATAAAAATAATAATTGAGGTTATGCATCAAAGGGGTGTAAGTAATTGCTTGACATTTTTTGGTTTTAAATCTACTAAATAAAATCATTTAAATATTTTGAAACGATTATAAAAAGTTATATCTAACCGCCCCATAGTGTGGCCATTGTAGGAAATCCCTAGCAATAAAAAAACTAAAAATGAAATCAATTAAAAATTTGTTATTATAAACATCTTAGGCTTAATACTTATTTCTCTTCCCGATAGAGCCTCAGTCAAAAATAGTTTCGCGACTGCCTCACTCATATCTGTTAACCGACCAAAATTTTTCGGAATTGTGCATGCAAAAATATTAAGAATTTACATTTTACTCTAAATCCTTTAAAAATATGTTAAATAGGTCAAAAAGTTCTAAATTACACTTTATAAAGGTCACCCCAGTTTTATGACTCTGGATAAAATACCAAATTTTTACGATGAACCACGAATTTACTAGATACCTTTTTCTACAAGTGAACACAACAAATTTAAGCAAAAAGAAAAAACACGGGTCTCATCGATTTCGGTAGAGAAACTATAAAAAAAAATTTGTCAAGAAATAACGACCTATCCCTTTTTTGCATGGTCGATTTGAGATGGAAAGGCCCTTTGATATTCACTTACTAGACGCGGTCGTACTGGAAGGTAATGTTCGTATTTTATCACGATTTTTTTGTTTACATGCCTTTGACCGATTCTCCTTCTGAGGAGCGCAACAAAAGCTACGGAAGTTTGAAGGAAAAGTAAGCTAATCCTTAATTTTGCACAATTTATGGGCAATTATTGGTGACTTAGTGCACGATTATTCAATATAAAAAAGTTCCTATTTACTGATGGTGAACTAACGGTATTCAAGGTATCTATATCAAGTTGCGTATTGTCATTATTTTGAAGCTTAAAAAAGTTTGGTGATATTAAATATTAGAAATATTCCCCAATACCAAAACAACAAAGTGCTTAAAGTACTTTTCCAATGAGACTTTTGCTGAATACTTGAAGTTAGCATCAGCCTGCATGAGGCAAAACTGTTTCCAAGTCAACGGTCAACGGTCTATTAAATTTACATTTGAATTGAAAAAGTTAGGGAACCAAGTCTGCTAGATAGTTTTGAAAGTTTATACGTCTATAAGAATATAAATAAATCTTCAAATAGCCATAACGGACCGGTACCTAACTCTACCCTTGTGGAAATTTTTTCTCTGAGAAAGTCTTACTTTCTCTGAAAAAGTCTGAATAATACTTATTAAGTCGGAAAAAGTCAGAATAAGACTTATTAAGTCGGAAAAAGTCTGAATAAGTCTTATTAAGTCAGACTAATAGCAAGATTTGGGAGTCTTCTGGAAGAGTTAATAAGACTTTTTAAGACTTAATAAGACTTTTAGTAGAGAAATGGTAGGTTCCTATGGCGATAAAAATAAATATCCGAAATAATTCATAGAGATTGTAAGTATTTGGTTATCGTAAAATAAAACACATAGACAAGTATTTATTAACATTTTTGCTGTTGTTATAAGCCAAGTTTATTGCATAATTACCTATATACTAACATAGGTAAGAATCTTACCGTAAGATGTAATAATTATAACAATTATAATTTTATACATACGATGCTTTCATTGTTTCCAACATAGAAAAAGGAGTTAATATCAAGTCTATAGACATGATATTTTCGATAGACTTATAAGACAAATATGGTTGATCTTCGTGTTTCATTCATCTTTGTATCTTCGTGTTTACGTACAGTGTTGCCATAAAAGTTCCTGACCATAAATTACAAAATACTAAAATAATAATAAAAATGTAACAAGATAGAATAAAATAATTGTGCATATTTAGTAAATATACAATATTATTTACTGAAAATTTCTTTTGTTATTATTTTGATAGAAATTTGCAAATCACCCGCAAATATTATGAAAATACCCGATTTTCGAGTAAAATACTTGCAAACGGCAACACTGTGTCCCACTGACAGGTCAGCTGTGCTCTAATTGGTCAGCTAGCTAAGCTGGTCTCTCGATATTACGTCTTACGTCTATTGTTTGTGACAATGTTTAGATAGGTAAATATTTGCGTGTATCAAAAGAAACTATTAAAATAAAACGTACAGTGGCAAACCCTTTTTCTATTGTGGAAGCATGCATGTCAAGCGCATCGTATGTATAAAATTATAATTGTTATACCTAATTATTACATCTTACCTATGTTATTATATAGGTAATTATGCAATAAAATTGGCTTATAACAACAGCAAAAATGTTAATAAATACTTTTCTATGTGTTTTATTTTACGATAACCAAATACAACCTCTATGAATTATTTCGGATATTTATTTTTATCTCCGTAGGTACCTACCATTTCTCTACTAAAAGTCTTATTAAGTCTTAAAAAGTCTTATTAACTCTTCCAGAAGACTCCCAAATCTTGCTATTAGTCTGACTTAATAAGACTTATTCAGACTTTTTCCGACTTAATAAGTCTTATTCTGACTTTTTCCGACTTAATAAGTATTATTCAGACTTTTTCAGAGAAAGTAAGACTTTCTCAGAGAAAAAATTTCCACAAGGGTAGTTTGTACAAATTAGTTTGTTAGTTTCTCTTTACGTGTTTACTGAAGCTGTTACGGTCCACGGTTTAGTAAACTGTGTCCGTTCACTGGTAAGTCAACCTTAGCTTATAATTAGTATAAATATGGTATATTTACCAATTAGATTCAGTTACACGTCGCTTCTGATGATCCAATATCTTTGGCGAAAAGTACTTTAAGCACTTTGTGTTTTGTTTTGGTGGGGAATATTTCTAATACTTGTTTTGAGCGTTTGCATTGCTGTTATCCACCATAAAGCTTGGAATTAACTTCTAGCAACTTTTGCCCTCAAATTTAAAAAATACAACCAAGATATTTGGGAATACATTTTTCTCGTAAACCGACAACATTTGCTGTAGATACCCGAATTGAGTTCCCATCTCTAACACTTTCAGACCTTCCCTTGTATTTCATTAGAGTTATCATGTAACAGTGGGTAATTTTAGAACTAAACATCCAATGTAATTAAATTTGCATTGTCCTCCACACATTGAATATTTTGGCACGCTTATCTCTTAAATAATTTTCTCGTGAATTTCAGGCAACAAGGCGAAGATGACGGCGACGATTATGACCCCCATCTACACAGGGACGTCGAAAGTCCCACCACGTAAGAATTTTTTTTTTTTTTTTTTTTTTTTGAGGAAATGTTATAAATTTTTTTAGCAACGCTGAAACACTTATTCATTTGCTCAAAGGATGTCTCGGGACTGGAATTTTGGCCATGCCAGAAGCTTTCAAAAGATCTGGGATGTCCTGTGGGATTGTGTCCACTTTTCTTATAGGAATACTCTGCGCTTACTGCCTTAACACCCTAGTGAGTATACTTTTTTTTATTCCAACTAATTACGACGCTTAAAGCAGTTTTCTGCCACTCCTTTTTTAATTTTCCATAAAAGTTGACACTGCTTTCCACTTTAACCCACTTGTCGAATAATGAGGGCATCTTGCTAATTAGATTAACCTGAAAACGACACTATGTAGTAATTTGTTTTTGAATTTAAAATGCCTTTTAATGTATTGCCGTCGGGACACACTGCTCTTGAAAAGCTAGCACACATGAGTATAATAAAGCAGATAAAAGTATTAGCTGTAAAAAGTACTTACAGCAGAAGCAAATAGTCTTAGGACAGTTTCCTCCGGAAATTTGGTTTTAACTGCTTCCATAAAACATACTTTTTAAGAACCCTTAACACCAATATACTGCCATAAAGCTAAATCCCAGATAACACAATACATGCCAGAAACATACAATTTATGTACTATTTATGCCCCAATGTTTCGGACTTAAATCGTATATCCCTGCGATGTTTCCTCAGTAACATTTCTGGTGTGATTTCCCCAAGATGTTGCATAAACATTTTAAATAGCTGATATTGGTACAAATATAAAATAAATTTATATCAAAACACATAACACACTATTAAAAAAATAACCAATCAATTTTTAGCAAAACACCAAATTATTATACTTTGTAATTTTTAAATTGACCGCGAACAATGACGTCGTACTAGTTACTTTTTAAGTGATTTTTACCTGGGGAATTTTGTTTTGTTTTGTAACCAACTTGTTAGAAATATTAAATAAATTTATATCAAAACCATATACCTATAGGTATATGATCAAAACATATAACACACTTTATTAAAAAAAATAACCTATCAATTTAGCAAAAACACCATATAATATCAATAACTTTGTAATTTTTAAATTGACCGCGAACAATGTCGTCATGATTGTTACCTGGGGAATTTTGTTTTGTAACCAACGGCATCTCTGTAGATTCGCGGCTTTTATTGCCAAGAATGACATTTCGTGAAAATCGAGAACGTTCTGTGTCGAGAATTTTAAGACTTAAAATAAATTTTAAGTTGTTCACTTTAAGTTATTGTTTTGTGTGGGTTGCCTGAGGCGTCTTTTTTGGTAAGTAAATTATGATGATTTGGTAAGAAAACATTATAAATATTATTATAATTAAATTCTATATTAGTTTCTTTTTTAAGGTTTTATTTTTTGTGGGTATTGGTGGCAATAATTTTATTTCAGACCAGGTCGCACAACAGTTTTCCTTTATTGGGAAAAAGGGCAAAAAAGATTTTAGCCAATCCAAGATTTCTAAAGCTGTTTTAGGTAATAACTCGTCGAATCCGCAAAACCTCGTATGAAAAAAACTGTAAGTAGTTTTACAGGAGACGAAAAAAACATTAAAAGCTCTCATATCTGGCTTTTTTTAAATATACCTATAGGACAAACTAATTTGTTTTTAAGGGTCTTGAGATTATCTTGGGAGATAAGAGGTTTTACAATCATGTGCATTATTATATGAGGTATATACTTATAAGTACAAAATTATGCAAAAAAAATCGATTTTGTCAAAAATGTCTCAAACGAGTTTTTGCGGATTCATCGATGAAGAGTTTTGTAAATTTTTATTTATGCGTATTTTCGGTCATGTTAATGGTTTTATGTTAATTAAATGATAAAAGTATTTAATGTTTTTTATTTAAGGAAAAAACCTATAAAAATTACATAAATGTTTTGTATGAAACATTTCTGTTATGTTCTGAAAGTAAATATAAAATGTCTTAAAGACATACCTACAACATTCTAAGATGATCTCAAAACATCCCAAAAGGATGGCCGAGGGACGTTAAAAAGGGCGACATGGTCATTGCCAGAAACATTTCTGGTATATCTGTGGGAAAATAGGGTCATTCCTGGGATGTTTCTATTGTCGCATGCATATGTTTCTGGCATGTTTCTAGTATATACTTGTGTTATTAGGGATAGGCCTTAAGGGTCTCTTAGGTAAATATGGTTTTATAAGGGTATGAATGTGTTACTTGGGATTATACAATTGAAGGGGTCAATGCAAGAAGTGCCTTAGTCACAAATAGGTGATTCTGAGATATTGCGATTTGAAGGTTTATTTTTGATTATGAAATATTACACAAAATATTATGATGAAAATGTGTGATGTATTGTATTCTTTGTGAATAGTGGGTTGGACTTTAAAAAAGAAAAAACGTTTTGTTATATTAAAAAAATATATATAAAATAATTTGGGACTTAAGCAGTTTTTGTGATGAAATGTTTTTATTTTGTCAAAAACTAATGGATATTTTGAGGAAAAATTTGTTTTATATATATATATATATATATATATTATAACGCCGTAAAAAATATATAAATTGTAAACAAAAAAAAGACTAAGACATAACTTGAGGAGGTCCATTTCAAAACTCGGCTTATCCACTTTTTAATAAAAATGAGTTAGTGGTGTCTGTACATTTAACATGTAGCCCCCTATACCCTGAAAAGGTCATAATATTCTAAAACTCACCTTATTCCATTTAAAATTCATTTAAAAATTTACTATCGTTCCAAAACTTCCCTTATCTATAGGTTATATCATGTCAGAACTGGCTTAAACGTATGAATAATTTAAAAAAATTTAAAATTACATACGTCGTATGTAATTTTAAATTATTTCAAATTGGAGCTATACCTTTTTAATCAAGGTATATAAATTTTATACTATATGCCTATTAATTTTGTTTACAGTATTCTGTACTCCCATGTAAGGTTTTTGACATTTTGCTCAAAATCACCTAATATGGATAAGCCGAGTTTTGGAATGCACCTCCTCACTTAGGACATAACTTAAAGCAAAACTAAGAATATAATATAAAGGCCGGCTATTCATAAACAGCGTCGGCCTCTTGTAACTGATCAATTTCTTTATCAATGACATCATTTTGCTGGATTATACTTCCATTATCAGACAAGGTTCGAGCAAAAAAACGGAAACTGGTATGTTTTAAGGTTCCACATTCTATTTTATTTTACTTTACATAGTTGTTTTTAATCACAGACATAAATTATTAGGATTTACACAGTTTTAATAGGTAATTTGCTCAGATATAACCTAATTTAAATAACGTGGACTAAGGCACATGTTGCATTGCATCTGTCAAAATGATGACTTAGGTACTTCTTGCATTGAAAACCAGGTAAACTCCAATTGAAGTAAATGCAAACTAAGGCACTTAGACACATATTTCTGCCACTCTGCAAATACCACCTGAAAGCTGAACTGAAACAATTTTATGTGACTTAGGCACTTCTTGCAATGACCCCTTCAATTATACATGTACGAAATTTTGTTTCAGGTGAAATCTCAATATGTAATTTGTAAAAGACTTAAAGTAGGACTGCTAACTTATCCAGAATCTATGAAAGTAGCTTGCGAGATTGGCCCAAAGTGCCTTAACAGATTTGCTCCACATGCACCGTAAGTAAAAAAAGAATATATTGGTGAAGTAGACGTCATGGGACATTCCTATACTATTCAAGTGCTGATATATATTTTTTTTAGGTTGATAGTAAACATCTTCCTTATCGTTTACCAACTTGGTATTTGCTGCGTTTACATAGTTTTTGTTGGTGCTAACGTTAAAGCAGTGGCTGACTATTACATGCCTCCAGAGAAACAGATAGCCTTGCCTCTCTTTATGCTGATATTTTTCATACCTTTCCTGGCTATTATCTGCATTAGAAACTTGAAGTTGCTGGCTCCGTTTTCCGTGGTTGCAAATATAATCACGTTTGTTACATTCGGAGTGGTGTGCTACTATGTTTTCCAGAATTTACCTGAATTCAGCAAGTATGAGAGTTTCGGGACTCTAGTGGACTACCCGTTGTACTTTGGTACCACTCTTTTCTCTCTACAAGCGGTCGGCGTTGTAAGTATCATTTATAATTGATTACATCTTCACTAAGATTACAAATATTAAACAAAACACAAAGTGCTTAAAGACCTTTTCGCCAGCGATATTGGCATTTTCAGAAGCAAAGTGTAACTAAATCTAACTGCTAAATCTAATATATTTATACTACTTCCCAGATAGCACAGAGACATCTTGAAGATGTCGGACTCGGACGTTTATGACATCTTTAATACGTCCAGTTTACGACGTAAGTTATCTTTAAGACGTCTTTAAGATATCTATAATGTTACAAAACACATCGTCTTTAAGATGTCTTTTAACGCCATTATTAAGCCGTAGCTAAAGGTCGTTAAGACGTCTTAAAGATGTTAAAGACTACCTATTGAAAACGTCTTGGTTATGCATTGCTAGATCGCCAAAACGTTTTTAAGGTATTAAGTACTTTAAGCACTTTTGTTTTGTTGTTGGGGAATACTTCTAATATTTGCTTAACATAGTAAAATTACAAACTATTCATTTAACAGACAACAAACTTGGACGCGTGGTCACCGATTGGCAGGTGGACAGCGCGGTCCTTATTGGTCAATTCCGTAGTGGTTGCTTCACATTCTTAAAAGTGTTAATTAAAGTGTTAATCTTGTTTTAAAGAGTTACAAAGAAAAACACATTTTTAAAGGCTTTTCCCACGGTTTCAATCGTTAGGAAAAAGACTATTTTCCGTGCTCTTAGTAAAATATATTGTTTTATACAGGTAATTGCATTGGAAAACAATATGGCGACCCCGAAAAGCTTCTTGGGTCCTTTTGGAGTGCTCAACATCGGTATGGGTCTTGTCACCGTAATTTATGTCGGCATGGGTATGATGGGTTACTGGCAATATGGCAAAGATATTAAAGCATCCGTAACATTGAACTTCCCTCCAGCTGATTAGTAAGCCGCCATTAAAAAACCTCAACAAACAATTCATTATTTTTGTATGTTACAGCCTAGCCCAAGCCATTAATATCATGTACTCGATAGCTATCTATATTTCCTACGGCTTGCAAGGGTTCGTTCCCGTGCAGCTATTGTGGTCCAACTATATAGTACAAAGATTAGAAGACAGCCAACACAAATTAAGATGGGAGTACCTGCTCAGATTTGGCTGTGTTGTTGTTACATGTAAGTAAATATCGAAATGGCGGATTACCTCTCACCGCTGTCGCTGTACCTGTATCACAACGCCCCCCAAGTAACACAAAGCTATTTGTACTTTAATGCGCTGTTACAGCAGGCTTTCTTAGAACCAAAAAGGAAAATCATTTTATTGCCTTTAAGGCCTATTTTTGCATCGATAATAAAACCTAAAGGTTTTATTATAATTGCTTTAATGAGGTTGTCACAGCTTTTATAAATCCTCCTCTGACACAAAGCATTTTTATGTACACAATAATGGTGGTCATACGCCTTTAAGAGCAGTATCTTTTGCATAAGGAATTAATAAAACCTATTTATATTATTAAAATCAAAAAAGTATGTCATAAAATCAATAGGCGGTTAACAAGGTAATCACTAGAGTGTTTATTCTAATTTAAAGCAACATTTCTTGTCCGGAAAGAAAGTGGTTTTATGAGGGAACCTCATAAGAATATAGCCCTATTGTAAATGACCGATAGAATCCAATAAAAATAAGTACATAATTGGTTTGAATTGGTTTGAAATGTGTTTTGGCGCTATGAATCACCAATTCATTCCAGTTGCATTCGTATTGGTAAGTTCCAATGAAGTCAGCGGCTTAAATTGGAATATACCAATCCATGCCTGTCTTGTCTTGTCTTTATTGGCTAAATCCTGGAATAAATTGGTAATTCATAGCGCCAAACCCATTCAAACCAATTCGAACCAATTAATTTTTTTAAATTTGGATTAAAAATACCAGTTGATTTTTCATTCAAAAATAATTAAGATCCCAGAATAACCGGGTAAAAACCAGAATTCATTTTTTACATGTGAAGAAGAGACAAAAAAATTATAACTGAGTAACTTTATTTCTTTATTATTTTTTTGTGTTAGTGAGATATGTATTGATACATATAACTTACTAACACAAAAAAGTAATAATAAATAAATAAAATTACTCTGTTATAATCATTTTTTTGTCTTTCTTGCAAAGGATGTTTGTAGGCATGGTCGAAATCAATATTATTTATGTCAAATTTTTTTTATTTTGTCCGCTGTAACCACCATTCTAACGCCCCATCATCCCTAAAACTTACACATATAAACATTTTTGTAAGGTATAAGTACACACCACTATAAGTACACAACTACCACTAAGCACAGAAACCCATAGATTATAAAAGAAACCGACTAATAGAAAAACGACATTAAATAGCGTCCAAAGACTTGTTTGTTTCTTTATGATGGCGTCTCAACCATTGGAACAAGGACTGCGTACGTTGGTTTTGCGCAGTTACACGAGATCCCTCTTGCGATATTTTAAAGTATTGGGAATAATCAATTAGCAGATTTCTTTTTACTTTATTTCGTATACTGGGAATGCTCAATTGAATTCAATTGGAAATTACCTATTGGTAGCTTTAACCAATCGAAACCACTAAAAAACAGTAGAATCCTAATTGAGGGGCTCGATGCAAGAACCGGGTATCTCCATATTTTTGCTTAAATTGAGTTAGGTATATGAAGATACACCCTTCAGTAGTCCGCATCGTTCGATGCACAAACCGTGTAGATCCACGTTAGCGTTAACTAAATATATCAGATACAGGAGATACCGCAGAAATTATACTGTGCAAAATAGTTTTTAACAAGGTTTTTCTTTTCTCCTGAATATTTTCCGAATATGTTTCTTGCACCGAGTCACTCAATTGGACTTTTCCATATTTTAAAGTATTGGGAATAACCAATTAGCAGATTCCTTTCTAGAATCTTACTGGAAATGCCCAATTGAATTCAATTGGAAATTACCTATTGGTAGCTTTAACCACTCGAAACCACTAAAAAACAGTCACATGTGTTACTTGGGGCCCCTCCCTGATAGCAAAATTTGATTTTAAGAATCTTTTAAGAAGATATGACCCGGAATAATGGAATATTCTTAGAAGCTTCCCTTATTGCTAAGAATGTTCTTAGGGACTTTTAAAACATTCAATAGATACCCTTTTAATGATGCAATTAGCATCCCAAGAACATTTTAAGAATACGTTTTCGGAATATTCCGAAGAACATATGTTCTTAGAAGGTTTCTTATGGAGCTTCCAGGAAGCTTTTGAGAATATTCCCAAATATGTTAGATACCCACGCTCTAATATGTTGTATTGTACATTCGTAAAATTCTTCAGGAGACGACAAATACGCCTCAATATGACAGTGAAATGTATTTGTCGCCCCCTTAAAAAATGTTGCGACATATTAATATATGTATTTAAAAATATTAAATAAACAATTTGACCTCTAAACCATAAGTTGTATAACATTATTTCATAAAAAAAATTGGAAAATTTTGTGGTATAAGTCAGATTAGATTGAAGTTGAAGATAGTTAGGATTATTATACATAAAAATGTTAATTCAGAAATAAAAAATCGATATACAAATTAATAAATATTTATTTTAAACCTAAAATTAAATACCTATACTAAAAGTATTTTTGTTATCGAATATTGTTTTTATTTAACAAATAACTATAAAAAAATATTTTGGATTGTGTTTTTTACGTAGTATTTAATACTAATTACTAATTAGGTACTTAAGTATGGGTATAAGTATACCTTTATACGTAGTTTATGGTATATTTTAACAGAAATATTCCTACATGAACTTTCTATAGCAATTACTTTCTTAACATTCTAAGCATATGTTTAGAGAGTAGACTAATTTTTACCACTAAAACTTTGCACCTTCTAAGAACCTGCCTATAGGCCAGTAAGAATATTCTTAGGATCATGCTATATTTCTTTTAAGCATGTTCTTTAGAAGAAATATAGCATGATCCTAAGAATATTCTCACTGGAAGGTTTAAAAAACATTCTTAGAATAAAGTGTGCTATCAGGGCTATATATATATTCCAGAATGCATAACACACTTAGAAAACTAACCAATCATCTTTAGCTACTTGTTTACCAATGGTTGAACTTTTTTTCAGTTGTTTTGGCGATGACCATTCCCCTATTGGGTCTGTTCATCTCTCTGGTGGGTTCTTTCTGCCTCTCTGCTTTGGGCATCGCTTTTCCGGCCATAATCGAGCTGTGCGCCTATTGGCCGGATAAACTTGGCCCTTGTCGCTACGTTCTCTTCAAGGACATCCTTCTGATCATCATTGGGGTGGTTGGTCTCCTTGCTGGCAGCTACAGCGCCATCTTGGCCATCGTTACCGAACTGACGAAGTAGATATGGGCAACGAAGATCGAATGAATCATGTCATGTTTTTTTTCTGTAGTATGTTTAATAAGTAGGACTTACGACACTCTGTATCCGACGCGCACTATTCAAGCTGTAATGGTTAATGGGACGATGTGATATTTATGTAGGTATTATTTCCTATTTACACTTTATCAATTTATTTCTTTGGAAGGTCAGTTTTGAAGACTAAATCATCAGAACTCAGGAACAATGAGTTTATAATCTAATTAAGCCAAATTTATTATGATTTTTGCGCCGGTTGGAACTTTTTTTAGTGTGGATTTATAAATTTGCTGACCGGCGGACATACATACATAAGTAAAAGACAATGATTTATTTTGATAATTTAAATTTTTTATACTATTACCGAATAAGTAGAAAGTCAATTGCTTTAATTTATTTTTAAATTAAATTTTAAAGAAAGCATATTGTTGAAAAATAAATATTTTTCAAGAATTAACTATGTATACCAAAGTTTTCCCTGCTGTTTGTTATTAATAAAGGTTTTTATAAATACCATGAGTTTTATTGCAAGCCCCAGAAATACAATGCCAACAGAATAAGCTTTGTTTATAAATACTTCCGTATAGCCACTTATAGTTTTCGTACCAAGATGTTTGAAACGTCGTGAATATTGCTAACCCTGCCTCTTATCGTTAAATATTGATGAAATTTTTGGCGTTAGACGACTGCCCAATATTTGTCTTTTTTCAGTTTCGTTTCTTCTTAAAAAAAATAATTAATTATTGAGAGAATAAGGCCATGAACAGGATTCATTTTAGAAAAAACAGAATATTTAACTAAAGAAAACTTACCGGTATTTTGAAAACCTAACCTTAATTGAAACTCAATATTGGTAAACAGAAAACAAGGAATGGTTAATTTAACTTTATTAATTTGGTTGACCCGTATTTATTATATTATTATATATCCCAACTGTGGGAAGGTTAATATAAACAAAGATTAGTTATTATATGCTTTTAAATTGGTTAATTAACCCAGAAAACTTAAGTTTAACCAACCCGTTGTATGGTTCAGTTTACTAAATATGTTTTTTTATAAAATAAGAGTTTCTTCAAGCCTAAGCAATCTGTTAAAACGATTAAAACATTTTGCCGTGCATTCTGGTTGCATAGTATGTAACGATCGCGGCAAAGGCGTTGTGTATCAGTGATGTTCTTACATCTCGCCTCTGTCAGTGTTGCCAGAGGTGGTACATTTCTACCTTTTTGGTACATTCTCATGAAATTTTTGAATTTTGATATATTTTTAATATTTTGCCTATTTTCAATAAAGTTTCTGCTTTGTTTCTGTTACTTCGCGGCCATTTCCTAGTCTCCGCTTCCTTATTCTTTATATTTTCATATTCAATTTTGGAGAAAAAACGAAAAGCCAAAAAACGTTTTTGTTTATTGCATTTAATCGAGAGGTACATTTCAGGGAAATTTGGTACATTTTAAAAGTCGAATTTGGTACTTTATCTTTCCAGCCACTGGCAACACTGTTTGAAGTTCAATTCTCTTGAATAATACCACTAATGGGTCTATGAAGTTTCTTGAAGACACTAAGAAAATTCAATGATTGGCTTTTCTACCCCAAATATTTAAATATTTTAATTGTTAGGTATATAAATGCGCCAAACGGTGTTGGTATATAAATTCTACCAAGCCGTTAACCTATAGGTTAACTATAAATAGGTTAACAAATTATATTGAGTCATTTCAACGGTATTTAGTATATCGGACTAAATGCAATTATTAAAATAACCTAATGTTTATTTGGCTCTATTGAAACAACAGATTTAGTTAAATGAAACCAATAATATTTAGGCTAACAGTTAGCCGCTGACTAAACCTTTTTTTCTGTGTAGGTTAATAGTTTACACTCTTTGCTGGTAAGTAAAGCTTCACAAGCTATTAATATTTCGCCTCTGTTCGGTCGACTCTCAACGCAAGAAAAGTAAATTTAAAACGGTGTTAGTTTTGGATCAAGCTAAAACTTTTATATTATATTATAGGGATATTTTTTTCTCGTAAAATGAAAAATTATAAAGTTTCTTCCCATCCAGATTTTTAGTTTTATGCTGTCATTGGTATATTTTTGTTTGTAACTACTGTCAAGTTTCAACCTCAAGTTTTGCGAGTTTTGTCACAATTGAAAGGTAAGGATAATTTTTTCTAAATTTTTGCAATATTTTTGTTTGCATGTCTTTGATCAAGTCTCACCTTGAAGAGCGTTAGAAAAGCTATGGGTGTTTGAAGCAAAAGTAAGCTGACCCTTAGTTTTGCATATTTTATGGGAATTTATTGGTGATTCAATGCAAGATTCTTGTATTTATTAAATATAAAAGAGGAGGTTCATATTTGTACTGTACTAAAGGTTTTTATATCAAGTTGTGTACTAACGTTGTTTTGAAGCTTTGTTCAAAGAATAATAAAATTGCATCCCAAGAAGTATTAAGCATAAAATTCAGGTGTAAAGTGGAAAACATTCCCAAGATAATAATAAATTTTAATGGCGTGCAATAGGCAATGATTTACAAAAGCACGAATTTGATTTTTAAGCCCTCTAAATTTTGTGGTCTGTTGATGTGGACCTTTGATTTAAGGTAGCCCTATAAGAAATAATCGATAGGGGTGAGATCTGGAGATCTCGCGGGCCACTCTATCGGTCCTCGGCTGCCAATCCACCTCTCAGGAAAATATGTGGAGGTGCCCCGTCCTGTTGAAACCAATTGATATCACTTTGTATATTCTCATTGAGAAATATTTCTGCTAATGTGACAAGAAGATAGTTTTGCAAAAATTACAAATACGTTCGTCCTGTCATATTCTCGTCAAAGAAAAAAAGGCCTATGATCCGATTTTCCACCATTCCTGCCCAGATGTTCACTTTTTCCTGTATTGGGAATTTGCCTCTACTACCCAATGAGAATTTTCTCTTCTCCAGTACCTACAATTTTGACGGTTGACTGTACTATTTAAACAGAAGGTAGTTTTGTCCGAAAAAAGTATTTTACGAGGATAATTGTTACCTACATAAATTCATCATAGTTTCACAAAATTGTGGTCTACGGTCCGGATCATCTTCGTTAAGTTCCTGCATTACTTTTCTTTCTTCATAAGACGTAATACTGTTGGCTGACTTAACTTTCAGCTGCGACTAGGCCAGAAGCACTGTGAGGATCTTCTTCCACACGTAACAAAATGTCAATTTTGGTGACTTCACTAATACTCGGATGGCCAGGTTTTGGAATATCTTTGACATGTCCAGTCTCTCTGAATGTCCGTTCAAATTTACTAACCGTAGCACTTCTTATTGTGGTCTAGTTTAATTGCCACATCCTATGAGAATTAAAACTTAAATTCTCTGTGTTTCCGGTAAATGGCCCATATTTAAATACTTCGAAATATTTTGAGAACGCTTAAGAGGCAGATACTTCACTGAACGCTCAACTAAAAGTTTTTACATCTAGTAGTGAATATTTGGTTTAAATTATATGCTAACAAAGAAACTTTTCTCGTGCATTTCAGGCAACGAACCGAAGATGACGAGGACGATTACGACCCCCATCTACACAGGGAAGTCGAGAATCCCATCAAGTAAGACAAACATTCTATTCTGCGAGGTGTGTTCAGAAAATAACGGGAATTGTTAAATTTCGCGGGTTCGGGGGGTCCGGTTGTCATAAAATTTTCTTTATTATGTTGGTACACATGCCCCCGAAATATGATAAAAACTTGACGTGTTTTATGAGCTCGGCGATTTTCGTTCGTTAAAAGAAATGGATCAAAGTAATTTGTATCCAATTTTACTTAAAAAATTAAATAAATTCTGTGAAATGTTAACAAAGGCCTATAGTGAGTCTGTTATAAGTAAAACAAGAGTTTACAAGTGGTATAAGAGTTTCCAAGATGGCCGTGAAGACGTTGAAGATAACGAACGCCCCGAACGTCCAAGCACATTAACAACTGATAAAAACATGGAAAAAGTGGAAGAAATGGTTATAAACCATCAGAGAAGTCGCTGATGATGTTGGTATATCGATTGGCTCATCTCATAAAATTTTTGATTGTTTTGGGTATGAAACGCGTGGCAGCAAAATTTGTTCCAAAATTGTTAAAATTTGAACAAAATTTTTGTCCAAAAACAATACTGTAATGATGCGCCAGCCTCCATATTCGCCAGACATGCCGCTGTCTGACTTTTTCCTATTCCCAAAAATAAAGAGAACCTTAAAGGGCCGTCGTTTTGCAAGCATAGATGACATTAAAAGCGCATCGCTGAAAGAACTAAATGCTATCCCAAAGATCGAGTTTTAGAAGTGTTTTGAGTATTTTGAAGGCGACAACATTAATGTAGACGAATAAATAAATATTTTATTCAAAAAACTAAAATTCCAGATATTTTCCGAACACACTTCGTATAAGAACCTGCGGCATCAAATATACACTTACAATATACATTTACAATGTTTTTAGTAATTCTGAAACTCTAATTCATTTCCTCAAAGGATGTTTCGGGACGGGAATTTTTGCCATGCCAGAAGCTTTCAAAAGGTCTGGGATGGCCTGTGGGATTGTGTCCACAATTCTTATAGGAATCCTCATTACATACATTGTTGACATGTTAGTGAGTATCTTTTTTAAAGGAAAACCTATTGTGATTTTAATATTGTTGGTTTTAGATAAAATCTCAATACATATTATGTAAAAAACTCAAAGTTGGAGTGCTAACTTATCCAGAATCTATGAAAGTTGCTTGCGAAGTTGGTCCAAAATTTCTTCACAGTTTTGCTGCGTATGCACCGTGAGTAATATTACAATGTGCCGCGAGGACTAGGCAAAACTAAACTCTATGTTTTTAGCCTGGTGATAAACATCTTCCTTACATTGTACCAACTGGGTACCTGCTGCATTTACGTGGTTTTTTGCAGTGAAAACGTGAAATCGGTAGCCAATTATTACTTGCCCCAAGATAAACAAATACCACTGCTATATTTTATGTTGATGTTGTTTTTGCCGTTTTTTGGTATAATGTGCGTAAGGAATTTAAAGTTGCTGGCTCCATTCTCCTGGGTTGCAAACATCATAACGTTGGTTACTTTCGGAGTGGTTTGCTATTACATTTTCCCTGGTTTACCTGAGTTTACCAAGTATCCTCATTTCGGAAAAATAGAGGAATACCTGTTGTATTTTGGTACCACTCTTTTTGCTGTACATCCTATTGCTTTGGTGAGTTTTACCTTAGATAAAACAGTAGACAAAAGCGTTTTGCTGAATCACAATATAATTTTCTACTAAAGATAAGTGCTGAGGAAAACAATATGGCGACCCCGAAAAGCTTCTTGGGTCCTTTTGGAATACTCAACATCGGTATGGCTATTGTTACCATAAGCTATGTGGGTATGGGTATGATGGGCTACTGGCAATACGGTGAAGACATTCAATCATCGATAACCTTAAATTTTCCAACCAATGAAATGTGAGTTGATATTTATATTTTTCATACCACCT